GCCCTGACTCAGCGTGGGATTGGATCCCGGGGGAGCCAAGTGAGAGAGATGGGGCTCCTGAGGATTGAGATGTGTCCAGAATGGAAGTGGGCAGGGCTGGGTGAGGAGCCATGGGGGTACTCCCAGGGGAGCTCAGCTAGCCTCTCCCTGGGTGGAAAGAGGGGACCTGAGCAGAACTGGGTTTTGTCAAATAGCAGTGCAGGTAGGTGGAGAGACATGAGGTTCACAGGGCGCCCCCCCACCCCGCCCCCAGGTCAGTGATTCTACAAGGGACCCATCGAGATTGGCCCCCTGCAGGGTCGTCGGGACAAAGGGACCTACCCATACGGTAGCTGGTGGCATCCAGGGATCCAGAGGAGACAGAACGGCCTGATCAAGGGCGGCCCCACGGCCGCCCTGCCCACTACATGCACATTCCAGAGTCTGTCCTAGTCAGATGGATTCCTGGTAACTTGAGCCCCGGCACTTGGCAAGTCCAGCCCCAGGGGTCTCCCTGGCTGCCTTGCGGCCTTGCTGCAAGGCCTTGCTGCCGGCCTCCTTGGCTTGAGGGGCCCCCCTCACCCCCGCTGAACTCCCCAGTGCCTGCCGCAGCACGTCCGACTCTCTGCTGCCTCTGACACCCCCGGGATTGTTCCGCAGGGCAGTGTTTCAATCTCGTCCATCCCCCCCACCTGTGGTGTGACTCAGCACTGGCCTTCCGAGTGGCCCTGGCAAGCGGGGCCATCCTTCCCCAGCCCTGGCATCTGTTCCGGGTGGCCCTGACCTTAGATGTGCCCCATACCTGGCTTCCCGAGGAGCCTGTGGAGTGTGGCCCTCTAGCCAGAGACCGGAATGTACTGAGGGAGGGAAGGAGGGCGGATCCAAGCGTGGGTGCGGGGTTCAGAAACAAGGCTTGGGAGCTCAGAGGTGGAGTGAATCAGTTTCTTTTTCTTTAAATGGTTACTTATGGGGTGGGGTTTGGGGCCCAGTCAGCAGTGCTCAGGGCTGACTCCTGACTCTGTGCTTGGGGATCACCCCTGGTGGTACTCAGGGCACCCTCTGGGCTACCAGAGATGGAATCTGGGTCTGTTGCATGCAAGAAAAGTGTCCTACTGTCTGTACTAGATCTCTGGTTTCTGAATTTTTGTTTTACATTTTTTGTGTTTGTAGGGGGGTGGCTCATACCAGCCGTGCTCTGGGTTCTGGTTTTGTGCTCAACCCTTGTCAGAGCTCAGGGGACCATGTGGTGTCAGGGATGAAAATGGATTGCTTATGTGCAAGGAAAGTGCCTTTTACCCTTATTCTTTCTCTGACCATATCTTCAATTTTGTAAACTTTTTTTTTTAGGGGTGTGGGAGGGGCTACACTGAACAGTGCTCAAGGATTACTCCTGGTTCTGTGCTTGGGTCACTCCTGGCAGGCTTGGTGGACCATGTGGGGTGTTGGGAATTAAACCTGCATAGACTGCGTGCAAGGCAAACACCCTACCTGCTGTGCTATTTGCTCAGGTCCCATTTTTTTTAAATCTTGAAAATTAAAAAAAAAAGCATTTAAAACAACTGCCATCAAAGTCGTTCCAGAAGCATTTTTTTTTGCTTTTTATTTTATTTTATTTTTTTTGGGGGGGGGTTATACCCAGTGATGCCCAGGGTTTACTCCTGGCTCTGCACTCAGGAATAATTCCTGGTGTTGCTTGGGGAACCACGCGGGATGTCAGGGATTAAACCCGGGTCAGCTGCGTGCAAGGCAAGTGCCCTTCCCACAATAGGACCATTTTGGCCCCATCTCCAGGAGCATTCTGATTATCCGTACCAAAAATAGCGAACAGGGATTCCAGACTCCACATCTGCTTTATTTGTTCATTTATTTATTGTGGGTGCTACAATCAGAGGTGCTCAGGGTTTACTTCTGGCTCTACGCTCAGGGATCACTCCTGGTGGGCTTGGAGAATCCTAAGGGATGTCAGGGATCGAACCCAGATCAGTTGCATGCAAGGCAAGTGCCCTCCCCACTGTACTTTTGCTCTGGCACCCCCCTTTTTTTTTTAAAACATTTTATGTGTTTGACTCAGACTTCAAACAAGAAACTCAAGTGACAAAGAGACAGGGTGATGATACAGAGTGGGAGTGAGAAGGTGCTTCTAGGGTGCTGGGGGGGCCTCCAGTCAGTTTTTTTTTTTTTTGCTTTTTGGGTCACACCCGGCGATGCACAGGGGTTACTCCTGGCTCTGCACTCAGGATTACTCCTGGTGGTGCTCAGGGGACCATAAGGGATGCTGGGAATTGTACCCTGGTCGGCCACGTGCAAGGCAAAAGCTTGCACTGTGCTATCGCTCCAGCCCCCAGAGACCATTTTTGTTGTGTGACTCTTCCAGCAGAGAGGCCTGGACAAAGGTTCTGGGGTATATAAGAGCTTGGCATAAAGTTTAAGGGGCGGTGCATAACCCCCCAGCCGAGAGCCAGGAGTCAGCCTTGAGCATAATTGGGTGCGATCCATTCCCCCCTTACCACCCACAACAACCAACCCTTTAACTAAATTGAAGCAAATCCATCATGGCCTCAAGGTTTATACATTTATATCGGCATGTTACTATTTTTATTTAGTGGCTTTGGGTTGAGGCTTGTATACCGTGGTGCTGAGGGGCTACTCCCAGCTCGGTGCTTGCAGACCAGGCAGTGCCAGGGATTCAACCTGGGCTTCCTGCCCTCAAAGTCCCTTGAACATGAGTCCCTTGCACTGTCTCCTGTATCCCGCCTTGTCTCTGTTCATTCAGACAGGAACAGCTGGCTGACTTCTGTCTCATCGTAAATCATGCTACAGTGAAGACACACGTGCAAATTTAAGATCCTGTTTCGGGGCCAGGGATGTGGCTCAGTGGTCAAGTGCATGCCTCACATGTGGGAGACCCTGAGTGTAATTCCTCGTATTTCAAGGCGAGAGGAAAAGATCCTGTTTTCAGTGGTTCCGGATATATGCCCAGAAATGGGATTGCTGAATCATATGACGATTCTATTTTTAATTTTTTTTGAGGAACCACTGCACTTTCTAAGCAGCTGTGCCTGCTCAGACATCCATGAGCCCGACACAAAGGTGTTAATCGGCACCTTCTCTTCAACATTTGGTTTTCGGACCCCACTCTGGGGTGCTTGGGGGTCCATGCAGTGTTAGGAATCAAACCTGGGCTTCCTGTCTGCAAAGCATGAACTCCAGTCCCACACTTAGCTGTTTTTTCTTTTTGGGCTACATGTGGTAGTATTCAGGAGATAGTCCTGGCCCTGTGCGCAGAGGCTGTTTCTGAAGATTTCTGGGTCCCATATAGCTGCACACAAGCTGCACCTTAACCCCTGGGCTAGCCCGCTGGCCCATTCTGTTTTTGTTTTCTTGGGGGCCACATCTGGCAGTGCTCCAGGCTTACTCCTGGCTCTGCTCAGAGATCACTCCTGACAGGTCTTTGGGGACTATATGTGGTGCCAGGAATTGAACCTGGGTCAGCTGTGTGCAAGGCAAGCACCCTCCCCCTTGTGCTACGAATCTGGTCCTCTTGACTCCTTCTTTTCTATTTTGGGCAAAGGTCATCTTCAATCTAAGAGGGCATAACTCCCTGGGCATAGCTTTCTGGGCTGTGATTGGTGAAGCTGACCCTTCGGGTATTTTTTGAGAAACGCCTTTTCAAATCTCTGCCCATCTATTTATGTTCTGGGGCCACACCCAACTGTGCTCAGGGTTCACCCCTCGGCACTCAAGAGTTTAGGATGGAACCCAGATTGATTGCATGCAAGGCAAGGTCCTTATCCATTCTATCTGTCACCACCCGATTTGAATGGATAGTCTCTTTGGATTGTTTTCTTTTGGGGGGTGTGGGGTAGTAACTAACACCCAGCGATGTGCAGGGGTTCTTCTGGCTCTGTGCTCACAGTTTTTCTTGGTGGAGGTTGAGACCAAATAGGATGTTGGGCTAGAACCCGGTCAGAACCCGAGTCAGCTGCGAGATGTTTTAGTTTGTGTTGCCATTCAAGAAATCTTAGGCAAATTCACAGCACGTGATTTTGAAGCTTTCCCCATGTGATTTCCGGTTCTAAGGTCCTTGATTCATTTTGAGATTTTCATATAAGATGGAACGTTCAGCTGGACTTTTCTCAGTGGGATTAACATACTTTTTAATTTTGAGTCACACCTGATGGGTGCTCAAAGCTCACTCCTTGGGTGGGTTGCTCAGGGCACCCTATGGGGTGCTGGGGATCCATGGAGTCAGCTGCGTGCAAGGTCAACTCCCTATCCGTTGTACTTTCGCTAAGGTCGCATCCTTAAGCACCTTTGTGTAAGAGTGTTACCTTTCCTAAATTCTGCTGAGTTCTTTAGTTTTTGGGTGCTCCTCTTACCGTGCTAGGGAGATCACTCCTGGCAGAGCTAGTGGAGGGACCCGTGCCGGGGATCGAAGCATTTTGTGCATTAGAAATTGTTTCCAATGGGCTGCAAAGTGGGCTGGATCTTCCTACCCAGCGAGATTCCTGGTCCCAGCTCCATATTTCGCGCCCTCCCACAGTCCCTACGACCAGGGGATCTATTCTTATAGACTCCTCCAGCGCCTAAAAAGACCCCGCCGCAGGGATTTTAGGGAGCAAGAGGTCGCTAGGGTGGGGACTGAGGGCTTTAACTCGAGAGAGCCCCTCTCCCCCGCCGCAGCCCCCCTGCCCTCTGGGCGCGCTCCCCTGCCAGCCGGAAAGGACCTGAGAATGAATGAGAGCCGGCTCGGCTTCCCAGCGAACCGCGGGGCGCGGACGAGCCCACTGGGCCGCGCGGAGGGGTGCGCGCTCGGCGCGCGCATGCGTGGCCCCTGCCCGGGCCCGGCGTGGCGCTTGGGGCATCGGGTGCGGGGTCCGGCCTCGCCCGCCTGGTGCGCGCCGCCTTCCCCGCGCCCGCGCCGGGGTGGTACGTTCCGCCTCCGCTGCTCGCCGCCCCTCCCTGTTGGTTTCGGCGCGAAAAGCCAGGCCGCTCTGTGCTGTTGCTGCCGCCGCCGCCGCCGCCACCGCCGCCACCTCTGTCAGCGCTGCCGTAGCCGCAGTCCGCGCCGCGCGCCCCGCGATGCCCGCCCGCACCGCCCCGGCCCGAGTGCCCACGCCGGCCTCCCGGGCCGACTCCCTGCCTGACGACGTGCGCAGGCGGTAGGTGCTCCCGAGCGGGATGCTTGGGGGTGGTGCGGGAGACTGGAGGCGCTCAGGGGGCTGGGGGTGGGGGACCGCGGCGGAGGTCTCCGCCGGGGTCGCGCGTGGCCGCGACTGACAGCCGCGCGCGCATGCGCAGAGTGCTTGGCGCGCGCCGGGCGGCACTTCCGGTCGCGCGCCCTGGGCCCCGTTTGGCGCCAAAACGGGCCTCGGGGCTCTCGCGGCTCCCTGGTGGCTGGAACCTGGGGGGCGCAGGGTGACGCCTCAGGGTCGGCGAGCAGACGGGGCCCGGGGTGGGAGTCCTGGGGCCAGAGGGGTCCCCCGATTTCCGGAGCCGCCGTGGGAGCCGGGTGGTGGCACAGGAAGTGGGCAGCCCTGCGGCCTCGGGACACCCCTGGGTCCCCCTCACCGGCCACTCCGGCCTCCACTTCCGGTGCCCGCCCCACTTCGGGGTTCAGGCCCGGCGGGATTCCTGGGAGGGTTTTTTTTCTCTTCTGGGGGGTTTGGAAGAGAGGTCGCCTCCTCGCCCCACGGTGTGTCCCCCGTGTCCCCTCATTGCTGCTCATTCCGATGGCGGCTTCCAGAGAAGGACGTCGCCGCCTCTCGGGGCCTGGGCGTGGCCGGCTCAGGTTTGCGAGCCCCTATTTTTTGGGGTGGGACCCCCTCCATCCTTCGCTGCTGGGGAAAGGCACGTTTTTTGCAAGGAAGTGCCGGCGCTGGGGGACAAAGGCTTGGAGGGGGTCTTTGACTTGGAGGCCCCGGACGGTGCACGGGGAGTCCCCTGCAGATTGTCGGGAGTCGGGGGGCCGATGATGGGTGGTAGCCGACATGGGAGATGCCCCTCCCCAGGAGCAAGCCAGTTTGCACCGGCTGGACTTGGATGGGGAGGCCCCTGCCGCTGAGTTCCAAAGGCTGCTGCTCCCCCACTTCCAGAAACCCCTCCAGGTTTTGCAGATGTTCCCTGACTTCACACAGGCAGGCCCAGGGACCCCCCCCCCCACTCTCCTCCTTCACCCCTGCAGGCCTGGACCCTGGAGACGAGATTGGCTGGCCCATCTTGCTTGATTGGGGTTTGGGAGCGGGGACAGAAGTGAAATTCTGGGGGTCAGGGTGTGGGGAGCGTGCATTTGGGTCTTCTGCCAAATTGAAGCCACTTTCATTTGATTTTTTTTTTTTGGATCCACTCAACAGTACTCAGGGGTGACTCCTGGCTCAGCACTTGGGAATTAGTCCAGGTGGTGCTGGGGGGGAACCCCTGAGGGATGCCCCGGTCGAACCTTGGGTGGGCTGCGTGCAAGGCAAACGCTCTCCACACTGGACTATCACTCTGGCCCCTGAAAACCACTTTTTATCCTGTGTGATTTTTGAAGTTGGTACCTGGGGGCTGCATCCCCCACCCTTGAACCCTGAAACCACTTGACCAGCAAGTGAGATGGGAGGGGGGTGTTGCTGAAGAATTTGTCCACAGCCATGGCTTGAAAGGGATCAGACTTTAAGATTCATGATAGAATTTAGGGCCCAGCCACCCTCCCTTGAACCAGAGCCCTGTGCCCCGCACCATTTTCTCCTGGTGTCCTTGTCTCGTGGTTGATGTTGAATAATTATTAGATCATTATTTTTTTGTATGGCTCTCAGGGATTACTCCTGGCAGACTCATGGGACCCTATATGATGCCAGGGATTGAACCTGGGTCGACCGTGAGCACAAGAGCAAGGCAAGCACCCACCCTGCTGTGCTGTCTCTGTGGCCTGCTGTATCTGTTCAGAAGCAGCTGATCTGCACTGGAGTTATTTACCTGCATCCCCGGGGCTACCTGAAAGCTGTCAGGTCCCCTATGTTGTTAGCTGGTCATCACTTCTTTTAGCTGGGTTTTATCAGCACTGCTGTCTGTCGCTAATTGCTTTGTTGTCCTTTTAATCCTCCTGGCATGGCTCTCATTGTGCCGGGCAGGGGCTGCGGGAACCCAAGATTCCCGCCTGCGTCTGTTCTTTCTGCGCAGACCTTGCTGTGAGACAGCTCAGAGCTGGTTTGTTGGAACTTGGAATGTTCTTAGACCCACGATCTGCTGTTCTGTGCTAGGATTGGCCACTGACGATTCAGAGGGTTTTTGTTTGGGGGCCGCACCTGGCAAGGTTCAGGAGTTATTCCCAGCTCTGTGCTCAGGGATCACTCCTGGCGGAGTGATTGGTGGACCTTAGTGGACCCTACTGGATGCCGGGGATTGAATGGTGAACGCCCTCCCCACTATACTGATGCTCAGACCCTGTTCCGTGCCCCTTAACCCTGCACTTGCAGACTGTTCCCTCGCCCTCACAAAGGGTCGTCAGGGCTGGGCCTGCCTTACCACTCTGGAACCAGCCACATTCATCGTCTTTGGTGCCTTGGCACGCAGCTGCGAGCTTGCCCGTCAGACTCCGCCCTTCAGGGGAGCCCCGTCGTGAGCCTTAGCTACGATACCAGCTTGCTTCTCGGCTCCTGGTGCTGGGTTCAGCAGTTCCTGAGATCTGGTGACTTGGGTATTAGCCAGGGCAACGCTGCTGTCGTTCTCCCCTGTGGAATGACAGGAGAGCAGCTGTGAGGGCTAACATATTTGGGGGTGCTTTGTGGTGGTGCTCTCCGCTGTCCCAGGGCATTAGGGATGGCCATGGGAGAGCCGCCGTATGGGGGCGGTCAGAGCAGGCATCTCTGTCAGGGGACTCTGAAGTCCCAGCCTGCAGGACACATTCGGGAACACATGATAGTGGCAGTGCATGCTGGGTAAGAAAGTGCTGAGTTCTAACCATTAGGCAACCGGGGAGGGCTTCCTGCCCCCCCCTCCTCTCTTGGAGGTGGGCATGGTTGCAGTCCGCGTCTAGGGTCACTTGGGGACTGATGTGGCCTCTCTCTACTCTGTATGTTGTCCCATTGTTGAGACCCTGATCTTATGTGACGCTCTCTGCTCCCCGGGGCCACTCCCCACCTCGCTGTCATTTCTCAGCCCTGATTTCTCCCAGTCCTGGCCCTGCTGTCACCTGGGGTGCTGTTAGGGTTGCAGCTACCTCCAGTTTCGATGCCTCCACCCCTGTCTCCAGCCAGTTCTGACTGCCAGTCGCCAAGCGCCCCAAAATCAGTGTTGCCTGAAACGCTGGCCAGCGCCCCCCACGAGCCCCACCCCCATCCCTTCTTTCCCACTGGGAAGTTGTGAGCTTCTGATGCTGTTTTGAGAGCTTGAGTAAAGCAAGGGTTGAACCTTTTCTTTTTTCCTGCTTTTTGGGTCACACCCGGTAATGCACAGGGGTTACTCCTGGCTTTGCACTCAGGAATTACTCCTGGCGGTGCTCAGGGGACCCTATGGGATGCTGAGAATCGAACCCGGGTTGGCTGCCTGCAAGGCAAATGCCCTACCGGCTGGTACTATCGCTCCAGCAGCCCCCAGGTTGAACCTCTTTAAGTCTAACCTGTTCCCACCTATGTCACAGATCGAATGTTCTGGAGGGCCAGGAAAGAATTCTCCTCTTCTCATTGTGCCTCGTGGGACAGATTCAGGTGCCACCGAGGCCCCTCTGTTTTCTGGCTTTAGTCCGAGGCCCGTTCTTCGTGCCTTTTCTGCGCACGTTCCCATGTTCAGGGGATCAGGGCTTGGAGCCCTCTGGGCGTCTGTGTGAACACCACAGCCCTTCACACCACACCCATTCTCCCGTGCAGCCTGGCCTCCAAGGCGCAGTGAATGGTGGTGTTCCTCACCCCAGCCCTATTTCGCGCCTGTAGTTCTGGTGTTGGGCAAAAGCGAATGTAATCTCTCTGCAGCTCATCTGTTTGTCCGTCCTGTACATTTTGGCTGGACCCATTTTCTTGTAGCTTGCCACTTCCCCTTCCCGTCCCCCTTCAGTGCGTTGCTCACTCCGAAACCAGCCAAAGACTGGCCCAAGGTTCTGGCCTCCATCAGACTGGCCACCGGCCTCTTCTCTCTGGACCTGCTTCCCTGCTGTGCAGCCACCCTGCGCTCCTCTCCACCCCCCCACCCCATCCCGGACCTTTCAGTGCTCCGTCTCTGGAGCGGGGGACCTCGGATTTGCCCTGTCCTTGCACTGTGGGCAGATGTGGCAGGAAGTGAAGCCTGTGGGCCTGAGCCTGACAGCAGCAGGCCTGGCTCTTTGTAGAAGCTGGCAGCAGCCTCAGGCCCCCCTTGGAGAGGGAGGGAGGTCTCTGCGGCGGGCACCTGGGTTTCAGGGTGCTCCAGTGCCAGCAGTTTTACTTCCTACCCGGCCCTCAGCTTCTGGGGTGCCTGCCTGGGGTGCCTGCCTGCTTCTGGGGCTGTTGGTTTGGTCTAGTCTTGCCCTGGGCCAGCCACTCCTAGGAATGGTGGCAGGTTCAGACTCCAACCTCAGGAGCCCAAAGCAGACAGTGAGAAATCTGCTAGATTCTCACTCCTTTGTCTGGGAAAGGGCACCAGGAGCTTCTAGGGAACTCGATTTGGAGTTACCGGGTGCAGGTTAAGTGTGTAGCCCACAAGGCGGGTAAGCACCACACATAGCCCTGCAATTGGGAGAGCCCTGCCTGGCTGCCTGGAGCCCGTATGTGCAGCCACACGGCCCCTGCCTGCCTGTCCCTGGCCTGGCGTTTACACTTGGTCCCTCTTCGGACAAGAGGGAACTCTTCTCTGCCCCTGGGTACCTGGCCCCTGTGGGTGCTGGGGTGAGGCCCGCTCAGCGCCCAGACACTTGCCCAGCTGGTTAGACCTGCGTGTGTCTTGCACAAACACACACACACCCAGACACACGCACACGCACGCAGGCCCCAGGCTGGGAACAGCCGTTCCTTGCCTCCCTCTCATCTCCTGCTTCTCTGCTTACCCACCCAGTGGGGCAGACCCTCATCTACTGGGGTGGGGGATGGTGCAGGGGCGTAGCCCACTGCCTCATGCACGCCCCCAGGGCAGCAGGTCTTCAGGGAGTTGCTGGCTGACTTTTCCCGCCAAACTGTCAGATGGTTCCGCGCCACCGAGCGCTGCGGTGGGAGGCGCCTGACAGCTGCCAGCTTCTCTGACTTGTGCTGCCTCTCCAGCGGCACGAGGGCACCCCCTGCTGCCCGGATGCCTGGATACCCCATTTTGCATTTTGCAGCTGCCTCTCCCAGACAGGACTGGAGCTGTTCCGCCCTGCTGTGGCCTCTGTGGCCTGGCACTCCCTGCAGGGGGCGGGGTCCTGGTGGAAAGACACCCCCCCTGCATCCTCCCTTCCCGGTTCCTACAAGCAGCCCTTCTGGGGGACCCTCTACCACCAGACTCTGCCCCCCTCCCCCAGACCGCCAGTGACTCATGACATAGACATGGCCCTGTGGATTCCCACGCCCTGGACGTATGTGTCTGTGTGCGTGTGTGCAGTTGAGCCTCACTGTTCCCCAAAAACCTGCATGCTTCTGGGGAAACAGCGTTGCTTAATGGGCCTTTCTTTCTCCCCTGCTTCCTTCCCCAGGCTCAAAGACTTGGAACGCAATAGCTTGACAGAAAAGGTAATTATTATTACTATTATTGTTGGTCTTTGTTTCCTCCCCAGTGGGGAGGGTTTGGGCCATACCCAGGGGTGCTTAGTGGCTGTTCCCGTGTCTGTGTTTTGTGGGGACTGGGAGTGGAATTGGGGTCAGCAGCACTTAGGGCCAGCGCCTTAGCTCCTGTAGCCTGTCCCTGCCCCGCCACGGTGGGGCGGCCACCTAGAAATGCCTCATTTCTTTGGCCCCAGGCCCATCAGCCCACTTGGTCGGTTGTATGTTGCTTTGCTCCTGAGTTCCAGGCTTCTAGGGCCTTACTTGAAACCCACGTCTTACCCTTAGGAATGTGTGAAGGAGAAATTGAACCTCTTGCATGAATTTCTGCAGACAGAGATCAAGACTCAGTTATGTGACTTGGAGACCAAGTTACTGACGGAAGAGCTGTCCGAGGTAAGCGGGTTCTTGAACTGCTAGAAATGGGGGGTCGCTGCCCGCACGACCTGGCGTGACTGGGGCGGCCAGGCTGTTCCACCGCGCCTCCTTCCCTGCTCGCTCAGAAGGAAATGCTTGTGATTCCTGATTGATTTCTCTGACCGCCACCGGTTTCCATTCACTGTTCCTTAAATTATCCTTTCCTGCCGTAGGAGGGCTACCTGGCTAAAGTCAAATCCCTTTTAAATAAAGATTTGTCCCTGGAGAACGGAGCTCATGCTTTCAGTCGGGAAGTGAACGGGGCACGTGCGAACGGGAAGCACCTCGGTAGGGAGGAGCGGAGAGCGGCCATGGCCTTCAAGTCACCCCGGTCTGCGGCCAAGCCGAGCACGCCCCGGAGAGGCAGGGCCGACCGAGAGACAAGGGGTAAGACGTGCGCAGCTTCTGTGACCTGGAGTGGACTCGGGGCCCCGGGAATGAAGAGACGGACTCCTGCGCAGCATTGGGGTCCCTGGGCTTATTCCTTAAGTTCCTTGCTCTTGGCCTGTGGTGACCGTTGCTTCCCCGACAGCTTTAGCAGGATTCTCCTTCCTGCCTGCCTCCGCACCCTGGCGTGTGGGCCAGATTCCTCACTAAGCGTCAGAGGGACCAGCCACCCAGGGCGATACTTGTTATTTTGGGGAAGGGCTCCAGCTCGCAGCTGCATCCCTTCCCACCTGCTCAGCCATTGAGCAGGCCAGCGCCCCTCTATGGGACCTTCTTCCTCATGGGGCGCCTTCCTTCCTTCTCAGAAGCCGAGGATTCCCCGACACCCCGGGTTACACGGCAGAGCACCAGACAGACCACCATCACGGCTCACTTCTCGAAGGGGTCAGTATGTGGTGTGTGGCCAGCGGCCTCCTCTTGGGTATAGGAGAAAAGCAGGAAGGGCAGGTGTAGCTTGCCTTTCGTCAATTGCTACTTGAATGAAGGATTATTTTGAGGGTGGGGCCAGAGCGGATAGCCTAGTGGATAAGGCGTTTGCCTTGGCACATGGCCTACACAGTTCGATCCCCGGCATCCCATATGGTTGCTCCATCCACGGCCAGGGGTCACTCCTGGGCATCACTGGGTGTAGCCCAAACACCAATTTTAGGGGGTTAGGGGAACCAAGAGACAGTACAGCTAGTAAGACACTTGCCTTGTACGTAGCTGACCTGGGTTTGATGCCCAGTGCCACATAGGGTCCCCCAAGCCCAAAATCATTCTTGGGAGTTCTGTGACACCCCTGGTGGCGCTCAGGGGCTGTTCATTCCTGACTCTGCTCAGGGATCGCTCCCAGTGGTGCTTGGAGACCATCTGCGGTGCCACGGATAGAACCCCGGCACTGGCCATACGCATGGCATGCACCTTCACCTGCTATAACTAAGCTCTTGAATTTTTGATAAGCAGTATCTTTCTCTGGGGCTGGCGGGGGTTGGGGTGGGCTGGCATTGCCAGTATTGCTCAAGACTCAACTTCCGGCTCTCTGCGCACTTATTTGTGTACTCACGGGACCATCTGTGCTGCAGGTGATCTTCTGGGGCCTGCCACATGCAAGGTGGTGCCTTAACCCCTGTACTTTCCCTCCAGCTCTTCAACTATTATGTAAGACAGCATGAAGACTAGTGAGGACATTTTTATTCTAACTTCTAGGATACCTCTACTATCCACCCCACAAAGTGAAGGTAGGGCTGGAGAGAGAGTACAGGCTTTAGGGTTGCTTATCATGTGTTCTGCCAAGTCTGATTTGTATCCCTGGCACCATGCTGGTCTCTCAAGCACTCCCCACACAAAAAAAGTGAAGTTAGTACAATTTTGTTTTGTGTTTTGTTTTAAAGCCACACCTGGCGATGCTTAGGGCTTACTTTTGGCTCTGTGCTCAGGGATCACTCCTGGCAGGGTTTGGGACTGTATGGGGTGCAGGGCGTTGCACCCGGTTGGCTGTGTGCAAGGCAAGCACTCTCCCTGCTGTCCTGTTGCTTGAGTCCTGAACTTAGTCCAGTGGATTGTGCACTCACGTGCCAGTGGTCAGTGTGAATCCTGAGTGTAGATGGGTCCATCATGCTCCATCCCACTCTGCCCCCGCCACTAGGGTTCCTTTGAAATAGATGCCAGCTGTGTGGTCTCATCTGCGGGCACTCGGTAGTTTCCTAGATGTGACCTCGGGGCGGGCGGGACGTACACATGATGCTTTCGTTCCGATTTTGCTTTAATGGCCAACGTTGGCCAACGAACGCCCCCCCACCCTCAGGAAAGGAAGCGGTAGCTCGAACCCTACTCTTGTCTCACAAAGCAGAATTAGCATGGCAGCTACCTTCTGGGATCCATGGGACACGCCCTGGGGGACCCCAGCACAGCGTAGCATTGCACGGCTGGTGCATGGGAGGGGTGTCTGGGTAGAATAAAAGCAGGGGTGGGCTGGAGTGATAGCACACCTGGGGACATTTGCTTTGCAGGTGGCTGACCCGGGTGCCTACCCTGGCATCCCATAGGGTCCCCTAAGCCCTCCAGGGGGTGATTCCTGAATGCAGAGCCAGGAGTCTACCCCAAGCTTCGCCGGGTGTGTCCCCAGAACAAGACCCAAACCAAGAGTGCAATAGGTGGCGAGCGCTCACGTTCTCCCCAGTGTCCTTCCCTCTGATCTTTCTTGCCGGTGGCTCTGTGCTCAGAGCCCCTTCCATACTGTGGGTCGCCCCTTCCCTGCTCGTGTGCAGATGAGTTGGCCGTTAGGTGTGGAGACCGGGGCACAAGGAGCTGCGCCTGCTCAGGCTTGCGCAGAGACGGGGCTGTGTCCTGCTGTGGCCCTGGCCATGACTGGTGCATGGTGAAAGCCACGTTTTCCTGGGGCTGGCAGGATGGTGGCCATGTGCACCTGTGGCTCGGTGGGACCATTCAGCTTCAAGCCGCGCCCGCCACGTTTGCCACAAAGATGCATCGGGGAGAGTGAGGGGTGTCAGTGCCACAAGCCTGTGCTGAGGCCGTCGGGCAGGGCAGGACGGGGTTGCTGGAGGCCGGGGTCAGCCCCTGACAGTTGGTTTTTGCTGTGTGGACAGTCCGGCCAAGCGGAAGCCTGATGAGGAGTCTGAGAGGACATCCACAGAAGACTCTGGTGATGAGAAAGACCAGGTGGGGACCCTGGGTTCTCCTTCCCTGTGTCCAGTCTGCCTTCAATTGTGGCTTGGCCCTGGGCCTGCCTTCAGGGGACATGGCCCTGAGGTGGCCCAGCACCCGGGACAGAACCGTGGAGATGGGCTGAGATGCAAGACTTGGGCCTCTGGGGACAGCCTAGGGGAGAAAGTGGACCATGGGCAGCATTTGCTGCTGACCTTGGAGTAACTTCTTTCCTGGGTCAGTTTCTCTATAAACGCTGAGAATTTCGGGGCCTGCGAGGTAGTACAGCAGGGAGGGTGCTTGCCAGGCTGGATCCCTGGCATCCATAAGGTCCTCCGAGCACCATCAGGCGAGGATTGCCAGATGTGGCCCCAACAACAAAACCCTGAGAATTCTGGCGTGGTTCTGGCCCACTCAGGAGCCAGTGGGTGGGGCCTGACCAATATCCACAAAACAAAAACAAAAGCAAATTGCTTTTACTTGGAGTTAAGGTAGCACCTTCCACCAGTGTTAACTTTGTTTGACTTTCTGGGCTGTGGGGCTGACTCCTGGCTCTGTTCAGGCATTGCTCCTTGGGCTGGGGGAGTGTGTCTGGTGCAGGGGGTGGAACCGGGTGGGCACATGCACAGCCGAGGCCTTACGCCCCATCCTGTCTCGGCTCAATGCTGATGTGTGGATGTTTTGTCTCAGCACTTGGTGCTGGACACTTGGAAATGAATCTTCTTTGTAGCTCCCTCCTTTCTCTGGGCAGGATGAGAAGCGACGGCGAGTCCTTACCCAAGAATCGTAAGTGCCACTTGCTACCTTCTCGTTTTGGGAGTCCCTGTCTTTTGTACGCCAGGAACGTGCCCTCACCTGCGTGAGGGGAGCCGCGCGGTGGCACCCGTGGACACTGGGCCTGGGGGCTCGTGTGAGTCCTGAGGTCAGGCGGGTTCTGGCAGCAGCTGTTCCTGGAGCTGGAGTCCACACTTGGGGTCCACTATGCACCTCTGGGGGCTCCCAAGATGATGCCGTGGGTGGGGGGTTGGTGAGGCCCGGGTTGGTGTCCCCAACTCAGAACCCTGTGGTCTCGCTGGCAGGGTTGCAGGTCCATCCTCTGAGGACGTGGGGCAAGTCCCAGCAGAAGCTGGCATGGAGGATGGCGCCCGTGTGAAGAAGGTAAAGCCAGCCAAGTTCATTCCTCCCTCTGCAGCTGCCCTTGGGGGCCTGCAGGCTGGGCAAGAGGGAGCAGAAGGACCTTCTATTATTATTATTATTATTTTTTTTTGCGGGTCACATACAGCAATGCACAGAGGTTATTCCTGGCTTTGCACTCAGGAATGACTCCTGGCAGTGCTCAGGGGAGATGTGGGATGCTGGGAATTGAACCTGGGTTGGCCGCGTGCAAGGCAAATGCCCTGCCCGCTGTATTATCGATCAGCCCTCGCAGAAGGACCTTTTATACCTGTCTTTTGGGGGGAGGCCACATCTGGTGATGTTCGGGTTACTCCTAGCTCTGCACTCAGGGATCAAACCCGGGTTTAGGCAGATGCCCCTCCCCGCTTTCCTGTCTCTCCAGCCTCCTCGCTGGAGAATTTCTAAGGCAGCTGGTCTACACCCACCGTTGAGGGGATGGGATCGGTTTAGATACTTTTTCTTTCACTGGAATATTCTTTTTTGTTTGCTTTTTGCTTGTTGGGTCACACCTGGCTATGCTCAGTGGTTACTCCTGGCTCTGTGTTCAGGAATTACTCCTGGCGGTGCTCAGGGGACCATATGGGATGTTGGGGATTGAACCCTGGTCAGCCGCGTGCAAGGCAAATGCTGTCCCTGCTGTGCTATTGCCCCAGCCTCAAACGGCTGTGACTATTGCTCCAGCCCCTCACTGGAATATTCTGAACAGGAATATCCTAACCAAGCGGGGGAAGAAACTCACCCTTTCTTTCTCCTCTTAGGAAGAAAAGAGATTCAGAAGTCCAACTACAGAGCTGTAAGTAGAGCTGAGGTGGTTCTGTGCAGTCTGTGTCACACTTGCTGCCAAAACGGAGTGGCGGGTCACCAGGTGCCCCTAGGATCCTGGTGACTGGGGGCCGGGGGGTCACAAGGGGCTCTAGTTTGGGGACGTCAGGCCCACTGCAAGGCCTGCTCAGACCTTCCACATGGGCCGCAGATTGGGGGGTGGTCACAGCATGGGTGAGCCGTGCCTGTGACCCAGGGCTTGGGGCATGCTGGGGGACCTAGCCTGGGTACCCCGAGGAGGGAGGAACCTCGCCAAGACCCCGTGCCGGATTGGCTAAAGCCCCAGGGTGGGTGGGGCCTCGGGACCCTGTGACCTGGCCAGCTGTGGCAGTGGGGAGAAGGCAGGAGGACAGCCTGGGTCCCACCATGACTCTTCTCCCACCGGCCATGTGCTCAAACCCCGTGTCCCTGTGGGCCCTGGCAGGCAGTGGCGGGGGGTGCGCCCCTTCGCTGTCCCCCTCAGGTGGCAAGGTCTGGGCGAGGGGCCTGTGAGCCTGTGGTAAGACCCTTTCTCTGCTCTGCCAGGACCCCCAAGTCGCGAATGAAGCTGGAGGCAGACACAGCTGTGGGACCCGGAACCTCTTCTGAAAGCGCGGATGAGACGGTAAAGACCCCCTGGGACCCTGCTGCTTGCTCCTCCACATGGCTGCTGGCCCAGCTTTGTATCAGGGCGGAGCGAGGTGGGGTGCGGAGGTCTCAGCTCTGCCTGCTCCCCTGCCTCCTGTACCGCCTTCCCAGTGTGGCGTCACAACCCTGGGCCCTGCAGACACTGACTTTGCCCTTCGCCCTCTCCAGGAGGAAAGGAGACCCCAGAGTCAGTCCCGAGATCTGTAAGTGGCTGTGGCTCGGAGTCAGTCGCTGGGCTGTGCTGGTGCAGAGCCCGGCTGGGCAGGGGCCTGGACGGGCACGGGAAGTCACTCTGGGGACCCCATCTGAGCCTGCCACCACACCTGCTATCCGTGTCCGAGCATCCCTTTCTTGGCCCCTGCCCTGGGCCCCTGCCATGGGCTGGGGGGTGGGTCCGCCTCAGGCTGGAGAGGCGCCTCCCCTGGGCTGTGCTGAGGGGGTCCCCCTAGACCTGGTCCTGACAGGGCGATGATCCCGGTCCTTCCCTGGCGAGTCAGGAGTTCCGCTGGACTCCAGGCTCCCCTTGACTGCCTGTCCCCTGACAGCACTGCCAAGCGGAGGTCAGAGGAGGAGCTCGAGGAAGGCAGGCCCCAGGTTTCTGACGAGAGGGACGAGGACGAAAAAGTAAACTGGGCAGCTGACGGGGTGGGCTTGGCGGCCGCGTTTGGCCGAGGCTGCATGGGCAGCGCAAGCCCGGTCTGGCGGGAGCCCTCTTCACCCTCCCCCTGTTCTTGCCAGGATGAGAAGCGCCGCAGGACGACATTCTCAGAACCGTAAGAGCCACCTCTTGCCTTTCTGTCCAAGGCACCGTTAGACTTATGGGACCTGGAGAGGAAGTGGGGGTGGCAGTCGGAACTCCCGGCCGGGAGCGGGGAGGAGGCACCCAACAGTCCTCGCTGTGTCCGTCCTCAGGGTGGAGAAGAAAGTGGCACGAGTCAAAGCTGTCATGACCTCCAAGGTACACACAGGAGCTCCGGGAGTGAGCGGGGACTGGGGGAGGCCCTGGGCACTGACGCATCCCCTTGTGCCCCCCCCAGAGTGACCCCCTGAAGTGCATCCACTGCGGACAGAGCCTGGACAATGCCAACCTCAAGTACGAGCAGCACCTGCCCGATGCGGTGAGTCTCTGCCGCCCCGCGGAGCCCGTGTCCCTGCCCCCGCCCCTTGCTGAGTCCCCCTATTTCTCCCCCAGCTGGAGGAGCCACAGATGCTGACCAACGAGATCCTCAACATCTTCGGCAGCGAGTCCGGCTTCGGGAGCTACGAGGAGCTGCCCCAGCACAAGCTGACGTGCTTCAGGTAGGCGCAGCCAGGGGCCAGTGCGGTGTGACCACTGATGGGCGTCTGGGGGCGGAACCCCGTCACAGGAGGGCAGAGGGACCGTGCTTCTGGTGGGAGTGCGACAGACACGCGGGGAGCTGACTGGCGCCCTCTTCCTGTGCAGCATCTACTGTAAGCGCGGCCACCTGTGCCCCATCGACACGGGCCTCATCGAAAAGAACGTGGAGCTGCTGTTCTCGGGGTCAGCGAAGCCCATCTATGACGATGACCCATCCCCCGAAGGTGAGTAGGGCCAGGCCACAGGGTCCTCTTGGCCGTCGCCTCTGGGAGCCCGGCCCACTCGGGCGCCCCCATCTCTGCTCTCGCCCAGCTCTCTGCGAAAACGCTTTCCCCTAGGCGGCGTGTACGGCAAGAACCTGGGCCCCATCAACGAGTGGTGGATCACGGGCTTTGATGGCGGCGAGAAGGCGCTGTTGGGCTTCACCACCTGTGAGTGTGACTGCCGCTTCCGGGACCAGAACTGACCTCGGTTCCTGTTCCACCTGGGCTGTGGGGGGGCCCGGGGCTGGGTCTCCGCTAACCTTGGGGGTGCTATGTCAGGTCCAGCTGGGGTGGCCAATTCTTTCTCCGTCTGCCCTGGGCCAGAGCTTCCGGTTCACGGGTGCCTCCTCGGCAGTGCTTGGGGCCCCAACCGGGGGTGCTGGAGCATGTGGTTTCTGGGGCTTGAGCAAGCGGGGCCTGGGGTCACACCTGCAGGGCCTTGCTCTGAGCCCCCTCCCCCCATCCACACCTGTCGTGGTTTCCCCAGGCTAGCCCTTCAGCCTGGTCTCCCTTCTTGGGCTGGCTCGTGCTGCCTCAGCTAATGTGGCTGCTGGTGCTGGGAGGGCATTGACTTCCTGTAACTGGCCTGTTCTTGAAGTTTCCTCAGTTCTTCCCTGCCCTCTGAACACGCGTCCACCCCACCCCCCACACCCACAGCATTCGCCGAGTACATCCTGATGGAGCCCAGCCCGGACTACGCCCCCGTGTTCAGCCTGATGCAGGAGAAGATGTACATGAGCAAGATCGTCGTGGAGTTCCTCCAGGGCAACTCGGAGGCCACCTATGAGGACCTGATCAATAAGATTGAGGTGCGGCCCTAGGCGGCAGCACCCCCCCCCCCCGCCCCCCCCCCCCCCGGCCGGCGGGTGTCCAGTGTGGGCCTGTGCCCCGCCAGCTTGCGCCAGCCCCCAGCGCATCTGTGTCCTCCTGCAGACCACCGTGCCTCCTTCCTCGCTTAACCTGAACCGCTTCACTGAGGACTCGCTGCTGCGCCACGCCCAGTTTGTGGTGGAGCAGGTGGAGAGCTACGACGCGGCGGGTGACAGCGACGAGACGCCCATCTTCCTCACGCCCTGCATGCGAGACCTCATCAAGCTGGCCGGGGTCACCCTGGGGAAGAGGTGAGGCCGCGGCCCCCATCCCCGCTCACCCAGGTTGGCCCCCTGCCGCTCTCCCGCCATCTCCAACCGGCCTTCGCACCCCGCCCCTGCAGGCGGACAGAGCGGCGCCGCGTCAACAGACAGTCCAAGGAGAGCAAGGCCCCGACGAAGGCCACCACCACCAAGCTGGTGTGCCAGATCTTCGACACCTTCTTCGACGAGCAGATTGAGAAGGACGATCAGGAGGACAAGGAGAACATGTACAAGCGCCGGCGCTGTGGCGTCTGCGAGGTGGGGGCCTGCGGGGTGCCCGCCCTGGGGACGGCGGCTGTCACACGGGGGCCTGCGGGGTGCTGCCTTGGGGATGGTGATTGTCACCTGGAGGCCTGCTGGGGCTCGTGACACAGCGTCCCTGGGAGGAGGGTCTGTTTGGTCTGGATCCGAGCAGGCTCCTCCAGAGACCCGAACGCTCGGTTGCCCCCTTGCAGGGCTAGGGGTCCCCTCCTGCAGGCAGAGCCTGTGCCCAGGTCTTTTTAAGAAGATCTGCTTGGGGAGACCACCACGTGTCCATCCCACAGCCTGGGAAGCAGATGGGACTTTGTGTCAGAGGGTAATGACTGCAGGGGCTGGAGCAATATGATAGCGGAGAAGGCGTTTGCCTTGCACACGACCAGCCCGCATTCGGTCCTCAGCATCCCATGGGGTCCCCTGAGCCCTGCCAGGAGTAATTTCTGAATGCAGAGCTGGGAGTAAGCCCTGAGCATCGCCAGGTGTCACCCCCAAGCCCAAACCAAACCCATGACTTTGGACAGGGCCTGGGCGGCTCAGCATCTCCTGAGCTGAGTGCTGGGGGCTCGCCCCCAAACTTGCACTTGTTCATGTTTATCTGGACCCCACGCTGCTGGCAGTGCTGAGGGGCGTGGGCATTGCTCACAGGGTCCCCCGAGTACAGAGCCAGGGAGGTCTCTTGTGGCCTGAGAACCAGTGAAACGTGGGGCCAGAGAGACCAGATTGTGGGGAGGCCTCTTGGCCCGAGTACCCCCAGTGTGATCCCTGAGTGCAGGGCCAGGAGGAAGCCCTGAGCACCGCCGGGTGGGGCCCAAACACTGGAACCCAGCTCGCTTGGAAGCGGAGCCCAGCCACTGACCTGCAGCCCCGCCCCGCAGGTGTGCCAGCAGCCCGAGTGCGGCAAGTGCAAGGCCTGCAGAGACATGGTGAAGTTCGGCGGCACCGGCCGGACCAAGCAGGCCTGTCTGGAGAGGAGGTGGGCCCCCCTCCTGCCCCGCGCCCTCCCCTGCCCTGCCACTCACCCCCATCCACCACAGCCCTCATGCCCCTCCCACTGTAGGTGCCCCAACTTGGCCATGAAGGAGGCAGATGAGGACGACGAGGTGGACGATGACATCCCCGAGGTCCCGTCGCCCAAGAAGATGAATCAGGGCAAGAAGAAGAAGCAGAAAAAGAACCGGATCTCCTGGATCGGGGACGCCATCAAGGTCAGTCCACAACCCCCCTCCGGGAGCTTCTCCCATGGGGAGTCGCGCTCTGCCAGTCTCTCTGTGGGCAGCAGCTGGGGGTTCCATTGCTGAGGGGAGAGCCATGCCCCGGCTCGTCCCTGCACAACATGGCCCTGTGTGGGAAGACTGGGGCGGCCTGGAGGGCTTCCTAGAGGGTAGCCGAGCTGAGGCCTGGCAGCGCCCTGGGGTGGGCCGGGAGATGGGGGCTGTGGACCGGATGGCAGAGCCCCTTAGGCCCCCGGCCCTCCTGCCACGCCACCCTCGTTCCCAGGTTGAGGGCAAGAAGACCTACTACAGAAAGGTGTGCGTTGACTGGGACACTCTGGAGGTGGGCGACTGTGTCTCCGTCTTCCCTGACGACCCTTCCAAGCCCCTTTACTTCGCCAGGTCAGGACGCCCCCTTCACCCCCGACCGCGCTCGCCCTACTGGGGTGTTGGAGGGGGGCTGCCCCCGCCCGGCCAAGGGTCCCAACTTCCTCTCTGGGCAGGATCACGGCGCTCTGGGAGGACACCAGCAACGGGCACATGTTCCACGCCCACTGGTTCTGCCCAGGCAAAAACACTGTCCTGGGGGCCACCTCGGACTCACAGGAGCTCTTCGTGGTGGACGAGTGTGAGGACATGCAGCTGTCCTACGTCCACAGCAAGGTGACCGTCCTCTACAAGGGACCGTCTGCCAACTGGGCCCTGGAGGTGAGCACCCGCCTCCTCCCCCCCGCTTCCACCTCGTCCCCCTCCCCTGCGCCCACTGCAGGCCCCACTGTGTCCTTGGCCCCCTGCAGGGCGGCATGGAGCCGGAGCCTCTGGTGAAGAACAAGAAGGTCTACTTCTACCAGCTGTGGTACGACCAGGACTACGCGCGGTTTGAGTCCCCCCCCCAGATCGAGCCCCCCGAGGACAGCAAGCACAAGTGAGCATGCACCAGGGGGCCTCTGTCACCCTACCTGCCATATACTGGGGGAGGGAATGGGGGTGTCTCGCGTCTGTGGCCCGTATCCTGCCACCTGTGGCCTTAGAACTGGGGATTGGGGGTGGTGGGGGTGACACTGAGGTGCCTCCCTTAGGGGCCGGAGCAATCACCCAGCGGGGAGGGAATGCAGCAGGCCCGGCACCCCATAGGGTCCCCCAAGCACCATGAGGAGTGATTCCCGCTCGCAGAGCTGGGAGTAACTGGAGCATGGCTGGGTGTGGCAGTCCCCCGCCCATCCAAAAAGATGCCTCCCTTAGCTGGACGCTGCCCCTCAGGGCCACTGGACTCCAAGCGCCTCTTCTCTCCACCCTTCTCGCCATGCTATCTTGCCGCAGACACTCCTGCGGGCATGGTTGGCAGTGGGGTGGCTGGGCCCACGCCGGGGCTCCGAGGCCGGCTGCTCAGGACCCCGTGCCTGCTCTTCCACCCCCCACCCCCCACCAGGTTCTGTGCCAGCTGCGTGCGGCTGGCAGAGATGCGGCAGAAGGAGATCCCCCGCGTGCTGGAGCAGCTGGAGGACCTGGACAACCGTGTGCTCTACAACATGGCCACCAGGAACGGCGTCCAGTACCGTGTGGGCGACGGCGTCTACCTGCTGCCCGAGGCCTTCACCTTCAAGTGAGTCCCCGCACCGCAGCCTTGCTGCTGTTCTCGTCATCCCCTGAACCTCTGGACGGTGCAGGGTTGGGTGGGTGTTGAGTGGGGGGTTGTCATCTCCCTGGCTAGGTGCCCGTGAGGGAGACACTGGGCTTCCCGAGGGTGGGGTAAGCTCTGAGCCCGGCAGGGCTGTAAGTGGGGGGAGGTAGAATGGAGGTAACTCCAGTTTGTGTCCCCAGGTAATGCTCAGCGTTCCCTTGTGGAACCCCATCCCTGTCCTTTGTTCTGTGACTAAGAGTCACAAACCCCCAGTGAGGCTTTTTGTGGTGGGGTGGGCTGCTCAGGTCAGGGGCGTCTAGAGCCTGAGTCTGCACAGATCCCCCCACCCCAGGCTGTAGACACTGTGTGGCCTGGATCGTGAATCCAGTGTGTGGTGCCCGGGCTTGGCCCATTGTGACCTCTGGGCTCATGCCTCCGTCACCCCGAGATGGGCTGTGCCCCTGCTAAGTGCTGGCCTCGACTTACGGTGGTATCTCTGCAGCATCAGGCTGTCCAGCCCCGTGAAGCGTCCACGGAAGGAGGCAGTGGATGAGGATCTGTACCCTGAGCACTACCGGAAGTACTCGGACTACATCAAGGGCAGCAACCTGGATGCACCCGAGCCCTTCCGCATCGGCCGCATCAAGGAGATCTTCTGCGCCAAGAAGGTCAACGGCAAAGCCAACGAGGCCGACATCAAGCTCCGCGTGCACAAGTTTTACAGGTTGGCATGGGGAATGCAGTCCTCACCGTCCACAGCAGGACCCCACAGTTATGGGGGGACTTCCAGGTCCATCTCTGCTCCACCCGGCTCCCCGGCTGGCTTCTGGGTTTTTCGTTGGGATTTTGTTCTGTGTTTTATTGGGGGTTCACATCTGGCAGTGCTCAGGAGTTACTCCTGCCCCCGGTGCTCTTGCTCCAGCCCCTCGTGGTGCTGCTTTGCCCGAGGCCTTGGCCCCACTCACCTTTCCTGGGACCCCAGAAGTCTCTGTAGTTCTCCCCACGTCTGTAACTGGCATTTCCTCTTGGTTTCGAGCATCGGGGCCTTCATGGGTGGGGAGCCTGGGATCTCCCCAAGTCTCTAGACCTCCAAGCAGGGGGCACACTGCACTCAGCCGGCTGCAGAGCCCCCCGAACCACCGCTTGTGCCCACAGGCCAGAGAACACGCACAAGTCCACGCCGGCCAGCTACCACGCGGACATCAACCTGCTTTACTGGAGTGACGAGGAGGCAGTGGTGGACTTCTCGGCCGTGCAGGGCCGCTGCACGGTAGAGTACGGCGAGGACCTGCCAGAGTGTCCACAGGACTTCTCGGCCCGCGGCCCTGACCGCTTCTACTTCCTGGAGGTACAGCTGGGCGCCTCCCGCCCCCCACTGCCTCCCATACAGGGTCGTGTCTCGGGCTGGAACTCTGAGGGGGCCGGCCCAGAGTGTGTGTGCGGAGCGGGGAGCTGCGACACGGCTCCTGAGCCAGGGCCCTGGGGTACCAGGCCCGGTTTCTGGAATGTGTGGTCGAGCTCCCCTCGGGGCCTTCGGGGGTGACCCATACAATCCACTTTTGGTCTCCAGTGTTAGGAAGTGTGGGGGTGAAGCGCCTTGGGGGCGCACTGTAGCGGCTGTGTCTGGGCCAGGGACCGAGCTCTGCCCTGCCCAACACTCCCGCGCTCCTCATCCTCAGGCCTATAACGCCAAAAGCAAGAGCTTCGAGGACCCTCCGAACCACGCCCGCAATCCCTGGAACAGAGGCAAAGGGAAGGGCAAAGGTGGGTACTGGGGTGCAGCCTCGCGGCAGGGCTAGGACAGCCCCGGGCGAGGCCGCCGGCTGACCGCAGGTCGGGCCATGTCTCCACAGGGAAGAACAAAACCAAGTCGCCGCCGAGTGAGCCGAGTGAGCCCCAGGCCACCATCCCGCTGCCCAAGCTGCGCACCCTGGACGTGTTCTCGGGCTGTGGGGGTTTATCCGAGGGCTTCCATCAAGCAGGTGGGTGCCCCGGGCATGGGCCCCTTGGGGCCCCCGGCCTCTGCCAGCTCCCCTGCACTCAGGGGGCATCAGAGACTCTGCCCATGTCCCCCCAGGCATCTCGGAGACACTGTGGGCCATTGAGATGTGGGAGCCCGCGGCGCAGGCCTTCCGGCTCAACAACCCAGGCTCAACCGTGTTCACGGAGGACTGCAACACGCTGCTGAAGCAGGTCATGGGCGGCGAGCGCGTCAACTCACTGGGCCAGTTGCTGCCGCAGAAGGGTGACGTGGAGCTGCTGTGCGGCGGCCCGCCCTGCCAGGGCTTCAGCGGCATGAACCGCTTCAACTCGCGCACCTACTCCAAGTTCAAGAACTCGCTGGTGGTCTCCTTCCTCAGCTACTGCGACTACTACCGGCCGCGCTACTTCCTGCTGGAGAACGTGCGCAACTTCGTGTCCTTCAAGCGCTCCATGGTCCTCAAGCTCACGCTCCGCTGCCTCGTGCGCATGGGCTACCAGTGCACCTTTGGGGTCCTGCAGGTAGGCGCCCCCGGGGCTGCAGGGGCGTTGGCTGAGGGAACTGGATGAGCCACGTGGAGGGCCCGAGCTGCCCTTTCCACAGTCCATGGGAACTGGGGAACCATGTCCCCAGCAGGGTGGGGAGATGGGCCGGGCTTGGCATGGGGTGGGCAAACACGTTTTTCCCAGGGAGGTGGCACACTGCCCCTTCTGAAGGGACCACAGTGACAGGGATACTCGGGGCTGTAGGGCTCGGGCCGGTGGGTCAGCGCAGCTCAGTTTGCGAGTGTCCGTGTCCACTCACAGGCTGGCCAGTATGGCGTGGCCCAGACGCGCCGGCGGGCCATCATCCTGGCGGCGGCCCCCGGGGAGAAGCTGCCCCTCTTTCCCGAGCCGCTGCATGTGTTCGCGCCCCGCGCCTGCCAGCTGAGCGTCGTGGTGGACGACAAGAAGTTTGTCAGCAACATCACCAGGTCGGGCCCTCACGGAGGATTTGGGGACTGGGACACTCAGCTGCCCCTGGAGCCTGCCGTGTTGTGTCTCTAGAAGGTCACGGGTCCACCGGGCTCTGTTGCAGGCTGAGCTCTGGCCCCTTCCGAACCATCACGGTGCGGGACACCATGTCGGACCTCCCAGAGATCCGCAACGGGGCGTCGGCGCTGGAGATCCTGTACAACGGGGAACCACAGTCCTGGTTCCAGAGGCAGCTGCGAGGCTCCCAGTACCAGCCCATCCTCAGGGATCACATCTGCAAGGTGAGGGCGTCTGGACGGCTGCGACCACCCTCGGTGACCCTTTCCTGGGGATTGCTGGGCTGGTGGACCCGGCATCCCACTGGGTCCCCCGTGCTGAGCCCTGGCCCGGCTTCTGCAGGACATGAGCGCCCTGGTGGCCGCCCGCATGCGGCACATCCCCCTGGCTCCCGGCTCGGACTGGCGCGACCTGCCCAACATCGAGGTGCGCCTGTCGGACGGCACCATGGCCCGCAAGCTGCGCTACAACTACCATGACCGCAAGAACGGCGCCAGCAGCACCGGGGCGCAGCGCGGCGTCTGCTCCTGCGCGGAAGGTGGGTGCCCAGGGCCCCCCCTCTCCCCCGGCACGCCTGCGTGCACAGACACCGCGCCCCCAGCTTCTGAGATGCCCTGTTGCCGCAGGTAACGCCTGTGACACGGCCGCCCGGCAGTTCAACACTCTCATCCCTTGGTGCCTGCCGCACACCGGCAACCGGCACAATCACTGGGCCGGCCTGTACGGGCGCCTGGAGTGGGACGGCTTCTTCAGCACCACCGTCACCAACCCCGAGCCCATGGGCAAGCAGGTAAGTGGACGGGCCTCACCACACAAGCTCGGTGGGGACCCCGCCCGTTGACACGCCCCATGAGCACTTCGTCCAATCCAGACCCGGGCCCATCGAGACCCCGCCCATTTTTGTCAGGCCCCGCCTCTCGCCAGAGACACCAGCCCAGCACCGCCAAGGCCCCCCCACCTGCCTCTCCGCCACACCGTTGCCCACCTGTCGCCCTGCCCCTTCCAGACTGCTTCCAATTCAGACTCCGCCCGCTGACACGCCTGCACCGAGGCCCCGCCCCTGACACGCCCCACTTACCACCCGGTCCCCACTCCCTGCAGGGCCGTGTCCTGCACCCCGAGCAACACCGCGTCGTGAGTGTGCGGGAGTGCGCCCGCTCCCAGGGCTTCCCTGACACCTACCGGCTCTTCGGAAACATCCTGGACAAGCACCGGCAGGTGATTGGGGGGGAGGGGCAAGAAAGGGGGAACCTGTCCTCAGGTCCTTCTGCTCCCGGAAAGCAGGTGAACCCAGAGTTCGTGGGTGCAAGACATGGTTCGGGGTGGGGTCTCAGGCGAGGGGCGGGGTGTGGCACAGAGGTGGGCGGGGCCTCGTGGGTTCTCTCCGTCAAGTCTCACACTTAACAGGGCATCCAGGGCTAGAGCCATAGCACAGCAGGTAGGGCGTTTGCCTTGCACGTGGCTGGCCCGCGTTCGATCCCAGCATCCCATTTGGTCCCCTGAGCACCACCAGGAGTAATTCCTGAGTGCAAAGCCAGGAGTAACTCCTGTGCATCACTTGGTGTGACCCAAAAAGCAAAAAATAAAAAAAAGGCATCCACTGCACCCCTGCCCCCGTCTCCCGTCTCCTGCACCTGACCACTGTGATCGAGCAGTTCATAGCCCTCCAAGGGGTGCCAGGACCACAGCAGTGAAGGGACTGGGGCTGGACCGGTCACTGATCCCTGTTGCTTTTGTCCCCCTGCAGGTGGGCAATGCTGTACCCCCGCCCCTGGCCAAAGCCATTGGCTTGGAGATCAAGCGCTGTATGTTGGCCAAAGCTCAAGAGAGCTCCACAGGTATTGGAGGGCGCGTGTGTGGCATCAGCAGGCGGGCAGTTGGCACTGGGGGGCGTGGCCACTGACACCACCTCTCTGTCTGCAGATAAAGAGAAGCCTCTGAAGGACTAGTGTGACCCCGCCCCACTCCCAGTCATGCCAGGGACCCCAGCACGCGCCGGTGGTCTCGTTGTCCGTGACCTTGTCGCTGCAGTCTGCTGCGTGGTGGTCTGCACTATCTGGGGCCCACCTTGCCCCGGCAGTGTCGTCGTTGTCGTCATCCCACTACCGCGCCTGTCGGTTTTAAAGGCTTTTTATCTTGCAGCGAATCAGATGCACCACCTTGAGCGCGGTGATTCAGACTTTATGTAGTTTTTGTATGTTGTAATATTTCTTCAATAAATCTCCTATAAAGCGCCGTGAGGGTGACGCATGGTTGTTGGAGGGGGCTGGGGGACCCCCTCAGTGACATCTGTGGGCAGGTCTCTGTGTTCATGGTGCATTGGGGGCTGCATTGCCCCCCACCCTGTGACTTTGCTCCTGCCAGTGACGCATGAGTGACCGCAGGGAAGTCTAGAGGGGCTGTCATGGGTCTCGCCTGGCCTGGAGCCCCTCTGACCTGGGAAAGGCTGGGATGCCTGACAGTGATGTGGCTCTGTCAGGACCACCAGGCCAGGAGCCCTGGCCCAGGCCATCACACCAACCCCCTTTGCCCAAGCATCTGGCATCGCCAACAGATTGCAGGGGCCCAGGTCAAGCCTGGGAGCTCCAAGATTGAGCAAACCTGTTTCTCTTTGGGGAGGGACTTGCTGTAATGTGTCAGTAAAGCAGAAGCAGATGGGTGAATCTAGCACCTGTGTGCTGCTCCCGGAGGGGGCCCTGACAACATGGGGGTGGCCTCTTGCTCAGCCCCCCCTTCACGAAGGCCTTGGTGAGGCTGCGGTCTTAGGGGGAGATGCAGACTCAGCAGGACACAGCGCTTCGCTGATGCCAGTAGCTTGTCCATCCCCTTCCAGCCCAGGGGCAGTTTCTCCCCTTTCTGCTCAGGGGACTAGATGTGCCAGTGGTTCAAACGCGGTGGGACACTTTGCAAGGGAGGCGCCCTAACTGGTGGTGCCCAGGACTTATTCTGGGCTCTTTGCTCAAGGGTCCCTCATGGCAGGTTTCAGGGACCACGTGGGGTGCCCGGGATCAAATCCAGTAGGCCCCATGCAAGGCAAACACCCTCCCCACTGTCCTGTCTCTCCAGACTCTCAGGCCAACCTAAGTTGGGTGGTGGGCCCATAAAGTTTCCCATAACTGAATGTAAAAGGCATGAAAAGTTTGTTTTGAAATATTATGAATACTGGGAGAGGTGGCACAGTGGGCAGGTGCTTGCCTCGTAAGCAGGCGACCCAGGTTTGATTCCACGAAATCCAATAGGATCTCCCAAGTCCTGCCAGGAGTGATTCCCTGAGCACAGAGCCAGGAGTCAGCCCTGAGCACAGCCAGGTGTGGCTCAAATAAGCAAAACCAAAAACAATGATAAGATATTTATAGGGGCTGGGAGATAATTCAGTGGTTCAAAAGTATGCGCCTAGCACACACCCAACCCGGCTTTAATCCCTTGGCACCCTGAGAACCTCCAGGAGTGATCCCAGGTCATGACTGAGTGGCCCTAACCTCCCTCACACCAAGAAGTCTTGGGGCCAGGGAGATGCCTTACGGGTTGGAGCACCTGGGTTCGAGCCCTCCACAGGGTCTTAGCTTCTGCCTCCTTCGTAATCGAAGGATACTAGCTGCCATAGCCCTGCTCACTCCCGGCGCAACCTTAGTTGGGGTTGGGATCTTTCCCTTTTCAGGTCAAACACGATTCCGCTGTGTCCCCATCACACTGCTGACCTGCTTGCTGCTCGTTTAGGAGTGGACGGAAAGGGTGCAGGCAACATCTCTCGCAGCTCGTCTGCATTTAGGCAACATCTCTCGCAGCTCGTCTGCATTTTTAAGTTATCATTTTTAGGCTTTTTTGGGTCACACCGGATGATGCTCAGGGGTTACTCCTGGCTCTTCACTAGGGGGTGCTTAGGGAACCATATGGGATACCCAGGATCAAACCTGGGTCAGCCGCGTGCAAGACAAACATCTCCCCGTTGTACTATCACTCCGGCCCCAGCATCTGTCTGCTTTCTTAGTGGCTGTCTCCTCCCCGACTGCTTTCCCACATCATATCTCGCCAGCCGTAAGTGTAGGGTTCTGTGTCCTTAAAAACGCTGAACAGTAGTACAGTGGGAAGGGCATTTCCCTTTTGGCTGACCAGAGTTCAATTCCCGGCATCCCACATGGTCCACCAACCACTGCCAGGAGTAATTCCTGAGTGTGGAACCAGGAGTAACCCTTGAGCTTCCCCAAATCCTTGGCTGGCAGTGAAGAGCTAGTCCAGGAGTTAAGGCGCAGTCAACCCCCACACCACCAGGGGTCACTCCTGAGCACAAGTCAGAAACACGCTCTGGACACTGCTGGGCGTGAACCCCAAACAAACCCGCCAACATTTTGGGTCAAGGCTGGGAAGATGGTCCACAAGGCTTAGAGTGCAGACACAAAACCAAAACCAAAAAAATAATCAGGAGAGGGGCAGGAGAGAGAGCACTGGCCTTGTGCGCAGCTGACCTGGGTCTGATCCCTGGCAACCCATATGGTCCCCTGAGCCTCACCAGGAGTGATCTCAGAGCACAGTGCCGGGAGTAAGTCCCAAGCAAAGCCAGTTGTGGCCCCAAAAACAAAAATTTAAAATCGGGCCGGGAAGAGAGAATAGCAAACGGCGCTTGCAGCCTTCCTGGGTTTGATCCCCAGCATCCTGAGCCCCACCAGAAGTGATCCCTGAGAACCACCAGGTATGGCCCAAACCAAAAAAAAAAACCAAAAAACCCCAACACCAAAGGGGTCAAAAATGGTACAGCGGGTAGGGGTGTTTTGTCTTAAACGAGATCCCTGACATCTCCCTAGCACCAACGCAGGAGCCATTCCTGAATGCGCAGCTTCGAGTAACCTCTGAGTATCGCCGGGGGTGGTTTAAAACCAAGAAAACAAAACCAAAAGAAAAACTAAAAATTTTCAATGCGATCAGCCGTGAGGTGTATCTTGCTGCTCTCTGCAAAGGCTGCCCTGGTTACTGGCTTCCAGTCCGCGCACACGGCGGTGTTTCCGCCTCCTGCCGGCAGGGGGCACAGCCAAAACCTCCGCTGGGCTGCTCTAGGCGGCGGCACCGGAAGTCTCGTTGCACCTCGCTTCCGGTCTCTGGTCTGGGCCCGGGCTTCGTGGAGAGAGTTGCGCGATGCCGACCGGAGACTTTGAGTGAGTCGGGGGGCGGCGCAGCGGGACCCGGGAGGCCGATCGGGGGGTGGTCGGGGGTATGATGGCGCCGCGGTGCGCCGAGACCGCGGAGAACCGGCCTCGCTGACTCCCACCTGTTCGTCCTCGCAAACTTCTTCCCGCAGTTCGAAGCCCAGCTGGGCCGACCAGGTGGAGGAGGAGGGAGAGGATGGTGAGTGCGTGCGGGCGCCCCGCGGCCCGCAGCCCGCCCCGAGCCTGGCCCGGCCCGGCCCTGCCGTGGGACCACTCCTCACGGCCAGCCTGGGCAGCCGAGCCCAGGTCCAGCCGGTTTCACTGACCGCTCCCCCCCACCCCTTTCCTGCGTCCCCCACGGCCGACCCCCCCCACCCCGCGGCCGCCTCTTCCCTGGGCGGAAGTCGTAAGATCCGACTCCAGCCTGTGAAGGAGCACCCCATATCCCGACGATCCCGCCCTTCGGTTTTCCCCCTGCCCCTTCCCCCCCACAATCCTCGATGCTTGACAATGGCGGGATTGTGGGTCCCCACCTACCCTACCTGGTCCGGCTCCCAGGGCTGGCCATCGCCCCAGAGTGCCCCCCCCCCCCGCATCCGCCGACCCACCGCACACCCCCTCTTGCAGACAAATGTGTCACCAGTGAACTGCTGAAGGGAATCCCTCTGGCTCCTGGCGATGCCAGCCCAGAGCCTGAGCTAGTTCCGGGAGGTAAGTGACAGGTGACATCCCCTTCCCTTTCCCCCCTCCCTCACCCCGTGGCTCAGTTCCCGGAGCTTCTTTCCTTGTCCCTGTCTCAGCTCCACTGCCACCTCCCAAGGAAGTCATCAACGGGAACATCAAGACGGTCACCGAGTACAAGATCGATGAGGATGGCAAGAAGTTCAAGGTGAGACCGCTGGGGCAACTGGGGACCCTCAGCTGGGAGAGGGCAGGGGTTCTCCTGCTCTCCACCCCACTTCTCCCCAAGAGCCCCGAGGTTCAGGGCGCCTTTTCCTGCTCCTTCCCACCTGCAGATTGTCCGCACCTTCAGGATCGAGACTCGGAAGGCGTCCAAAGCTGTTGCAAGGAGAAAGGTGAGGACCCAGAGAGTAGGGCACTTACATCCCTTGCACACGGCTGACAGCGGTTTGATCCCCAGTATCCCTGAGGGTCCCCTGAGCACTGCCTGGTGTTAACCCCAAAATAACAAAAGGCAGGAAGGTGAGGTTCCCAAGATACTGGGGATACTTTCGCCAAACATGGGCTTGAACTGTTCGTCTCTACGCTCCTGGAGCTGATAGGGGGCCAAGGGAAGCAGTCTCAGGGTCCCCAGAAATGCCAGGGCGCCTCAGAGGATAGGTCTGGGATCTTTCTCCACCTGACGTGGACCCCAGGGAGGTGTTGTCAGCGGTGAGGTGAGACCAGACCCCAGCCACGCCACATGCTAGCGGGTTCTTTCAGTGCCTTTGGCAACCCAGGGAGGTGGGGAACACTGGCGTCCCGTTTTATAGGAGGGGAAGCTGAGGCTTAAGGTTTTATTCTGCCCTTTGTTGTGGGCCACTGACGCGGGCCCTGGCATCCTGATGCTCCTGGCGGTGCGGTTTGCGCTCCCCAGGGGTCGCTGTGGTGCTCCTGGTCTGCAGGTGCCTGCCAGCCACTTGTTTGGAGCTGGGGATGGGGCTCACCCTGCTCTGCCCCTGCGTCTTGCCCCGGGCCTCCTGTGCACTCTAGTTGTGCTGTCTTTTCACATTGCCGGGAGTCACAGCCACGGGTGCTGCTTGGACCATGCTCAGGGCTTGTGGTTTCAGACTTGCAAGTGGGTACCTTGTAGCCTCACTTGGTCCATCAGCCTGAGTGACCCCACTCCCCAACTCCCCTGGGGAATTGTTAGCCCTGCAGTGCCCCCACTTTGGCCCCCTCCTTCACTACTGCCATCAGTGCTGTGGGAGGTGTTTAGGGGACCTGAAACATGGGGCTCAGGCGCAGCCGTGGGTCCTTTCTAACCTGCACGCCCGCCTGTCCTGCCTCCGAGCCCAGAACTGGAAGAAGTTTGGAAACTCTGAGTTCGACCCCCCAGGGCCCAACGTGGCCACCACCACGGTCAGCGACGATGTCTCCATGACCTTCATCACCAGTAAAGAGGTGAGTTTGGTGGGGTGGCGGAGTCTTGCGGGGGCTCTCTGAGATGTTTGACCAACCCTCCCTGTCCCCACCCCAAGCAGGATCTCAACTGCCAAGAGGACGAGGACCCGATGAACAAGCTAAAGGGCCAGAAGATCGTGTCTTGCCGCATCTGCAAGGGTGACCACTGGACCACCCGCTGCCCCTACAAGGACACCCTGGGGCCTATGCAGAAGGAGCTGGCAGAGCAGCTGGGCCTGTCTACCGGAGAGAAGGAGAAGCTTCCTGGAGGTGGGGGCGGGGCCACACGGAGGGGTGGGGCTGTCTCCTTGTGTGTGGCTACCAGAAGCGGGGTTAGGTTGTGGGCGTGGCTAGGGGTGCGGGGCTCAGTGCTCCCGTTGTCCGCTTTTATGTTGCCGGAGGGTGGGTGGTCCCAGGGATTGAACTCATGCCCAGTGCCTGTCCTCCAGCCCTCAGAACATCTCTCAGGCATCTCTTGTGAGATTTTCTCTCACATGGCCCGGGCCTGGAAGAACCGGGTGCTGGAGGCTGGACTCAGCCCACCTGACCTTTCCCCCCTCTAGAGCTGGAGCCCGTGCAGGCTGCCCAGAGCAAGACCGGGAAGTATGTGCCGCCGAGCCTGCGGGACGGAGCCAGCCGCCGTGGGGAGTCCATGCAGCCCAACCGCAGAGGTGAGGCGGGAGGGGCTCCCTCCACGACCGTCAGCCTCCCCATGACACACCTCCCCCCCTCACCACCGCCTCTGCCCGCGCAGCCGACGACAATGCCACCATCCGAGTCACCAACTTGTCGGAGGATACGCGTGAGACGGATCTGCAGGAGCTCTTCCGGCCCTTCGGCTCCATCTCCCGCATCTACCTGGCGAAGGACAAGACCACCGGCCAATCCAAGGTGTGTGGTGTCGGGGAGGGGGGGAGCGTGGGGGGTGGCACACATCCACTCACCCAGGAGCACCCCTGACCCCCGGGCCTGCTTCTCCCAGGGGTTCGCCTTCATCAGCTTCCACCGCCGTGAGGATGCTGCGCGGGCCATTGCTGGGGTGTCCGGCTTTGGCTACGACCACCTCATCCTCAACGTGGAGTGGGCCAAGTAAGTGAGCTGTGTTTACAGTGGGGACAGCATTTTGAAGGAGCTGCACACTCGCTTTGCACGCAGGAGCCCTGGGTTCCCTTCCTGCGTCTGCCAGGGCGCATCCTCCCTTCCAGCCCCCATAAAGGGGGCGGCGGGCCTGCCTCCCTCCCCATCCTTCCACCCTCCTACCACCGGTTGGGGCCCGTAGGGATTCAGCGCATTTATTGTCCGTTTCCATTCGTTCCGTGTTGGGAGGTCCCGGCTGGACCCCTTGGCCTTGGTAGTTGCACGAGACCATCCTATTTGCCTCGAGTCCTCACTGAGGGGACTGTGTCTTGATGCCCTCTGAGGTTATGGGCCCCCACACTGCCCTTCTGTCGCCCTCCCCAGGCCTTCCACCAACTAAGCCGACTGCTGCCGTCCGTGCCGTGGGGCTCCCGGCCCGAGAGAAGCTGCAGGTGGAGAGCGGGACCTCGAGAGCAATAAAAGTTCCGATCACCCTCCACGGTTCCTTTATTCCGGGGTGTCGCTGTCCTGGGCTGGGGTGGGGCCCGTCCCACTGCCGGGTCTTGGGTGTGGAAAGTCTCACTGCTCCAGCCGTGGTGCCCCGCCAGCCTTGCCCAGCTGCTGAGCTCAGGATGGGCCTGTTTGTGGGCACAGCTCTGGGGCCCCCGAGACCTGGTGGGTAGATGTGCCAGCAAGTGGCAGGGCCTGCCCAGAGCCCTTGGCATCCAGGTCCTCGCCCCCGGGTTGGCGCGGGTGACAGCAGCGCAGGCTGGACACCACAGCCATGTAGAGCAGCGGGTGGATGCACATGGCCAGTGGCACCAGGCCCCGGGCTGCCTGGTAGGCCTTGTAGGCGCCCAGGTCCAGTGCCTCCCGGGCCTGTGTCACGTTGGCAAAGTCGGGGCAGCGGCGGTTCCAGCGGCGGCGCGCAGAGAGGTTGAGTACCCAGGTGACGTAGTAGGGCACGTAGGAGGTGGCGTAGAGGAGCAGGCCGCTGGCCACCAGCACCGCCACGCGCCGCTTCTCGGCCGCCGTGATGCTGGGGCTGTGCCGCAGAGCCCGCACCAGGGCACCGTAGGCCGCCAGCGTGAGCAGCAGCGGCAGCACGCACCCCAGCCCTGCCAGTGCCAGGCTGTAGGCCCAGTAGGCCTCCAGGCTCCTGTTGTCCGCCGTCCCCAAGCACCGCGTGCAGCCCTCGGACGCCTGCTCTGAGCAGTTGGCGCCCGGCTGGGCCTCCTGGAGGCGGGTGAAGTGGAAGGTGGGCGCGGCCAGTACAGCAGCCAGCACCCAGCCTGCGGCGCTCAGCGCCCAGGCGTGCTTGGGTCGCAGGTGGCTGCGGGTGAAGAAGGGGTGCACCACCCCCAAGTAGCGGTTCAGGCTGATGCAGCTGATGAAGATGATGCTGCCCAGCAAGTTGCAGGCGAAGAGGAAGCGCTCGAGGCGGCACAGGGCCAACCCGTAGCGCCAGTGCTTGGGGGGGTAGAAGTAGGCGGCCTGCGGGAGCAGTGTGAGGCCGTAGAGGAGGTCACTCGTGGCCAGCTGGGCCGAGAAGACCACACCTGGGTGCCATGGACGCGGCTCGCGTGTGCGGAAGCGGTACAGCGCCAGGCCGTTGCCCACCACGGCCACCAGGAATTCGGGCACCAGCATGGCCCACAGGAAGCTCTCCTGGATGCTGCTGAGGTGGTGGTCCACGGACTGTAGGATGTGGCGCGGGCAAGACGGGACTGCTCCTGCGGGCACGGTGGGGCGGCGGGTCAGGGCTCCCCCGAGACCCCTGGGGCTTAGGCCGCACCCCGCCTCCTCCCTGCCGGTCCCAGGGAACCTTGTGGTTCTGAGGACCGGCCTGGCTGTGAGGGGTGCTGGTGTTTGGGCCATGCCCAGCTGTATTCGGGAATCACGGTGTAGAGTGGAAAGCAACCCATGGGCTGTGCAGGCCGACCCCTCCACCTCCTCGGAACTGTAGGGCCCAACGGACCCCTGCTTCCCTTGGGGGGCAGCGTGTCCCGGGCCTCTGTGTTGGACTGGGTGTGGCCCTGTTCCAGCCCTCTCCCTGTGGCCAGCAGGGGGCGCCCACACTCAGCTTTTGCCTTTGCTGGGTCAGGTCCCACCCACCCTCCCTGGCGGGCGCTTGAGTGTGATTTGCGAATTTGTCATTTGGGCTGTTTCAGGGAGGGGCCCTGCCCCTCAGCTTCCTGTGTCAGCCAGGGAAGGGTATTTGGAAGCCCTGTGGACACCTATGAACGGCCCTGTGGGGTTTTCCCTGGATCCTTTTCACTTTGGTGGCCTCTTGCCATTAGCCTGCCTATGCTTAAAGCCACCAGGTGTTGCCGGGAGCTGTCAGGGCCCTGCCCCTCAGCGGCCTCCCACCGGTGACTCAGTGCCCAACACTGCCTCCACACTGGCTCCCCTGGTCCTGACCCTGCCCATCCCGGAAGAGCCCTGCCCTATCATGCCCACCCTGGCTTGACCAGACCCCGTCACTGCTTCCTGTCCAGCCTGAGCCATCCTGCCCTGCCCAGGCCCAGCCTCATAACCTGCACCCCTTGGCTGCTCCCAGCCCAGAGTGGTCATAGCCCCTCCAGCCCCTGGGGCCCCAGCACCCACCAGCAGCTCCTTACCTGAGTTGGTGGCCTCCGCCATGGCCCAGCTGAGACTGGCGGGCCCTTCCACTGCCCCAGGTCCCAGCCCACCGGCCCCGCCCACTCCACAACCCCGCCCCACACCACCCACATTTCCTTCCTCCTTTCTGGTCTCTGCTCAGGGGACTGGGTGGCTTTGGTGCCATGTGTGGCCTGGGGGCCCAAAACCCCCCTAACACAGCCCCCCCCCCATGCAGACAGAGACGCGGGTAGAACAAGAGGTTTATTGCCAAGGGAAGGGGAGGGGCTGCTCCTTCATGGAAGGAAACTGAGGCCCCAATCTGGGGCATGTCGCCAGCTCCACCTCAGGCAGGCTTCTTGGGGCGCTTGGCAGGGCCCCGGGCCCGCCCAGCACTCCCAGGGCCCATCTTGCCCTGGGCCCCCCAGGGCCTGCCCTGGGTCTTCGAGGGTCTCCCCTGGGCACGTCTGTTCCGTCCCTGCTCCCTGCCCTGTCTCCGGCCTGGTGGCCCTCCTGGCCGCCGCCTCTTGGCTGCCGTGGGGAACATGTCTGTGGGGGGAAGAGCACGTCAGGGATGGGGGGCCCCAGGACAGGCCCACAGGACACCCGTGTCCCCCCCCGCCACGCACCCTCATCGGGCTCCTCGCCCACAGCTTGGCGGAAATACTCGGCTTCGTCCTCCTCGTCACCAGGCTGGCTGGTCCCCTCTGCCTCCGGGGGGGCCCCAGGGTCCTCGGCATCACTGTCCCCCTCAGCCCGGGCCCGCTTCATGCCCGCCAGGCTCTTCTTTCTGGGTGAGGATGAACAGGGCAGTGCGGCAGCCCCCCACGGGCCCCCGCCCCCCAGGGCTGCACCCACTTGTGGGCCTCCCGCCGCTCGCGCTTGAGCTGGACATTCTTCGCCTGCTGCTCCTGCCTCTGCGCCTTGGCCCGCAGCTTTTCCTCTTTGGCAGCCAGCATGGCCTGCAGCTCCTCCTCCGTCTTATGCACTGCGCGAATGCGGGAGGGCATGTCAGCTGCGGCCGCATAGGACCAGCCCCCCGGCCCGCCTGGGGACCCCTCAACGCACCGAAACTGTGGTACAGCACGTTGCCCTCCCCGACGCCCTCCTGGATCTTGATGAGCTGCAGTGTCATGCGGGGCCCGATCTGTGATGAGGACGGGCAAGGGACGGGGCAGTCAGTGTGGTGGGCGAGGGGGTGCCAGCCGGCCAGGGCTAAGTGGGGCTGGGGGGGCGCACCTCACCTCGGTCAACCGCACTGCGCTCTGCTGCGCCCGCATGTTCCCACGCCCTGCAATGGCCTGCGGCAGCTCCGTGATGTTGTGCTCCCCGTCGGGCTCAGCCTCGCTCTCCGACAGACCCGCGCCCCTGCGTGGTGGCAGCAGACAGCTCTCAGCCAGGGGGTCCTGGTGCTGGGGATCCCCTGCCCTGCCCCACCCCGGGGTCCAGCTCACGTCGCCAGCAGCTCGCTGATGTCCTGCAGGCGGCTCATGTTGGGGAATTTTTCCTGCAGCAGCTTCTTCATCCCCCGACTGGCGCCCACCGGGACCACTTTGATGCTGCTGTGGGACCCAGGGAGGCGTGGGGCAGGGTCAGGAGGCGGCGGGGCCCGGGCTGTCCCACGGTGCCCCCTTAGTGGGGTGCATCAGAGCGTTTACTTTAAGGCTGAGCCATCACCAAGTCTCAGCAGCAATGCTGTCATCAGCTGCACCCACGTACACAATGCAGGGGCACCCCCCTCCCCCCCCCCGCGCGCCGGGCCCACACTCACTAGTGGCGGAACTCCAGCTCCTGGGAGTCGGGGTCAAAGCTGAGCAGGAGGCAGCGTTTGATGGTGTTGAGGTTCACCTGCGCAGAGCAGAGGGCGTCAGGTCAGAGTCTCCCAGCAGGCTCGCGAATGCGGGGTGAACAAGGCAGGGGGCGCCACTCAGCGCTGGAGTTCACTCCTGGGGTGGCGGCAAGCAGAAACCCACTGAGCTGCCCTCTAAACCCCCGGGACTAGTCGAGGCACAAATACATCAGATGACTGAGGCCCCCAGCCAGCCTCAGTTTTCACGCCATTGGCATGCCCCCACTCGCCTGGTGCACATTGATAGAGGGAAGCATGTTCTGGAACATGGTGGCCATGAGCTTCACATGCATGCCATGGGGGCCGAAGCTGTTGAGCACCAGGAGGGGCGCGTGGACGAACTGCTGCTCGTGCATCCGGTGGCGGCGCAGGGACGACACCACGTCCCGTACCAGCGTGTACTGTGGACAGGGAGCAGAGGAGGGTGGGCTGGGTCCACAGGGCCTGCACACCCGGCCCACACCCCGGACAGGTAAGTCTCTCACCTTGAGGACCCGGAAGGTCAGCGTCGGGCCTCCCGGGAGGCGCATCAGCTTCTGCGGAGAAGGCAGATTCAGAGGGGGAGCCCGGGGGAGGGGAAGACCCGCCACCACCCCCCCTCGACCCCGTCTGATCAGAGCGTTTACTTTGAAGCCAGAATCACGGTGGCTCAGAGGCACTTGTGTATCATCATTAGACTTGGGGACAGAGAAGGAAGAGACAAGAAAGGAGGGGGGATGTGTGTGTGTGTGTGTGGGGGGCCGCTGGGACCCACTCACAAAGTAGATGTTGGTTTCTGTCTTGCTCAAGACCAGAAAGTGTGTGACGCCAAGGGGCCCGGCCACTGCCACACAATCCTTCAGAGAGTTCTTCTTCCGGACCTGCAAGTTGCCACAAACGAGGGAGGCAGTTAGCTGGGCTGGGAAGACCCACCTATGGGCTAGCCAGAGGGCGGGCTTGGCGTGCGGGGCGTGGGGGGGTCCCAGGTCCCATCCCCAGCACCGCCAGGTTCCCCCGACCAGTACAATCCATGCCTGGCCCGGCCGGGCTTAGGCCCCACGAGGCCCAAAAGTCAAACCCCAGCGAACAGAAAAAGATCTGTCGGGTAAAGCTGGTCGGATACCCTAGATCGCGGCACCCGGGGCTCGAATGTGCCAAGCTATGTTCCCCAGGCCCCGAGCCAGCCAGGCTCGCTCTCGGGACCACCCCCCGCCTTCCCCTCCAGCCATTCACAAGCAAGTCGGGGCGCCCCTCCAAGAGGGTCGCCCGATTCGGTCCTCTTTTCCAGCCAAGAAGGCAGAGACCTCGTGCGCTCCGCACTGGGGGATGCCGGGGGGTGGGGAGGAAGCGGAGGGGACCGGGCACGGGGGCGCCGTTTGCAGACCTGCAGGCGGGTAGCAGTGAGGGGCTCCATGACCCGCCGCAGGTCCAGGCTGAGCTGCCGGACGCTGCGGCCCGCGCGGCCGCGCGTGAACACGAACGAGTGCGGCTGCGCGGCGTAGGCCTCGAGGTTGCGGAGCTGCGCCTGGGCCCGAGCCCGCTTCTGGTGTCGGGACTGCGGGGGCGACACGGGCCGGGTGAGCCCCGCGACCTCGCGGGGGACCCTGCCCGCACGGCCCCCGCGCCCCCAACGGCCCAGCCGCCGCGGCTCACCCGCCCCGACTGCCCCATGCTGCCGGCGGCTCCACGCGGACCCTACTGCCCGCCGCTTCCGGCGCGGCGCCGCTCACTTCCGGCGCCGGGCGCGGAGGGCGGCGCGGCGCGATGACGTCACGGGGCGGGCTGGAGGCGTTGCTGGCGAGCCGCCTGCGCCCGTAGTTCCCGCCTCTGCGGAAACAGGGGCGGGGCCTCGCGGTTCTGGGGGGCCGCGCGCGCGCCGCGGGGGCGACGCCGGCCTTCCCCTTGTCACGGTTTCTAGAATGTCCTGAAGTGAGGACGGGAAGGACTCTCCCTCCCCGCGCCCCCCCCCCATTAAGTGAGATGATGCATGCTAGGGTCCGGGGTGGGGGTGGGGGCAGCCGCGGCACGTGGCAATGACTTGAGGGTCATCTCCCCCGGACGTGCTGTCTGTCGCGGGCGATCTGAGGGCTGGAAACTTGACGTCACCTTCTTGGAAACTCAGAGCGGGGCGGCAACTTCGTGCCTCATTCGCCCCCTCTTGGTTTCCGCCCCAAACCCCAGTCTTGGCTTCAGCCTGTGGCTCCTTGCCCAGAGCCTTGTGGGGGCCGGTCATCGACACCACCTGCCCCTCGCCTCTGTCTCCGCTCAGCGTTTCCTTCCCGTTGGTCTCCCCTCCCCCCCCCCCACGCCCGCCCTTCCCTGCCCAGTTCTTTCTCGTCTTTTCCACTTCTGTTCCCCCCCCCACACACACACACACCCAGCTTGGTCTTTGCCACCAATGATCTCTGTCCCCGGAGCTTCAGAGATAGTACAGAGGGGAGGGCACTTGCTAAGGCACGACTGACCCAGGTTCCATCCCCGGCATCGTCCCATCCGGTTCCTGAGCACCAGCAGGAGTAAATCCTAAGTATCGCTGAGTGTGGCCCCCCAAAAAGTATCTCCGTCCTGATTCCCATTCTTTTTTTTTTCTTTTTTGGTTACACCCAGCAATGCTCAGGGGTTATTCCTGGCTCTACTCTCAGGAATTACTCCTGGCGGTGCTTGGGGGACCATATGGGATGCTGGGAATCGAACCCAGGTCGGCCGCGTGCAAGGCAAATGCCCTACCCGTTGTGCTATTGCTCCGGCCCCCTGATTCCCATTCTTAAGGCCCCATTTCTGTTCTGTCTCCCTCCACATCTCTCTGCTTCTCTATCAGACTTACCTGCCTTGTTCTGTCTGCCTCTATCTGTTTGTCTGTCTCTGTCTCTGTCCCTCTCCCCAGACCCCAACCCCAGCCTGGCCATTTTTCTCCAATATGCCCATTTATTTATTCATGCTGCCCCCCCTTTCTTGTTTTTGGGTCACACCCAGCAATGCTCAGGGATTACTCCTGGCTCTGAACTCAGGAATTATTCCTGGTGGTGCTCGGGGGGGCCCCTATGGGATGCTGGGGATCAAACCCAGATTGGCCATGCGGCTGACAAACACCTTCCCTGCTGTGCTGTCACTCGGCCCCCTTGAACATCTATTCTTCTTGTCCTTTTTGTGTTCTTGGGATCCATGTTCAGGGAAAGGAACTGGGGAAGGGGGACTGGAGCGTCCCTGCTGCCCCCTGGCTTGCTCCCTGAACCTCTCACACCTTCAGATGGACCATGTCCTCTACACCCCTAGGCGGGCAGGGTTGGCTACCTCGAGGGTGTGACAGCCAGTGAGGATGACAGAGCTGGACGTGCGTGCTGGGCCGGTGGAGGCGGAGGAGGGGGTGTCTGGGTTTTATGTGTCTCTGGCCTGCATGTGATGACCTGTGGCTGGGTGTGACAGATTTACCGGTAAGCTGTTGGGTGTGTGCCCCAGTTTTTATTTCCGGTCCTGTCTGTGGGTCTATCTGGCAGACACCCCGGGGGCTCAGGAGCTATTCCTGGTGGTTCTCAGGGAGTCTGTGTGGTGCCAGAAACCAAACCCAGGGACCTGGCACACGGAGCCTGAGCTCGGCCACTGAACCATCTCTCTGGCCCTGTTCTGGTGTTTGCTGGGCCGGAACCCAGGACCTCACCATGCCAGGAAATGCCACTCAGTCAATTCCAGCCTCTTCGGTTCTATCTGTGTACATCCCTGACAGATCCAGGAGCCCAAGTGCGCACACACACACACACACACACACACACACACACACACACACACACTCTGCCCAGCTTTGCCGTGTTTTTCCTGCAATGCTTTGCTTCTGTCCCAGGCGTCCCTTTGTGCATCTGTACTGTTAGATGCTGTGAATCTGTATGCATGAATATGAATCCTACTGTCCTTCCCAAACTTCTCCTGCGGGTGAAGTCGGGCCGATGGCTCATTCTTTCCGAGCACTATAGAGAAGTCGTTGAGACTGGGAGGAGGAGACACGGGCAGGGAGCTGCGCCTTGGGTTCAGCGGGCACTGAAGCGCTCCGTGGGATTTTTTAAGAAATGGTGTGTGGGGCTGGAGCAGTAGCACAGCAGGCCAACCCGGGTTTGATTCCCAGCATCCCATATGGTCCCACCAGCACTGCCAGTAGTGATTCCTGAGTGCAGAGCCAGGAGTAACCCCTGAGCATCGGCTGGGTGTGATCCCCCCCCCAAAAAAAAAGAAAAAGAAAAGAAATGGTGTGTGTGCACGTATGTCCAGGCCCAATTGTGGCTACATCCGTGCATCCGTGTGTGTGTGTGTGTGTTTGCGTGTGTGTGTGTGTGTGTGTGTGTGTGTGTGTGTGTCTGGATTCCCGGGATTCTCCTTCCCCAAGGGCCTGCAGCCTCCCATGGCCTGCATTCAGCCAGGGGGTGGGGGACCTCCCGAGCAGTGACCTGTGTTTATCAGGCCCTGATGGCCTGGCCCAGGGGTCTGGCAATTCAGCCTCCGTTCCCACGTGGGAAATGCTAAATATTTACAGTCAGCTCCCCTGAGCCCGGAATTACATTCATCCTCCTCCTTCCTTCTTTCCCCCTTCCTGACCCCCCTCTCCGGCCTCTCCCTTTCCCTAGCTTGGAGGCCAGGCAGTGATCCACTCTTAATCAGACTCCCAGGGTCCCCCAAGCACTGGCCAGACTCAGCAGGAGAGGTGAGAGGCCAGAGCGAGGCGGCCTGGAGTTGGCTATGAGTGTCTCCTCCTAGGCCTGCCTCTACCTCCCTTTTCCTGAGCCCCTGGAGAGGACTCACACGCTAGCTCCTGGGGGGGGGGGGGGTGTGGGGTGACTCGTCTCGTCCAGGGATCCTAGGACAGGATCTTGCTTGACACGTGAGTACAGGACAATGGGGCGCCTCTGCCCACCTCGGTGTGAAGGCCGGAGTCCTCCCCGTGGTGCTCAGGCCTCCTCTTCCCTCCCCCGTCCCCCTGGCTCTGGGAACACTCTAGTGAGTCTTTCCATCTCAGGACCTTTTTACCCTTCTTCCCTCTGTCTCGCATGCTCTCCTCCTCCCTGAATAGCAGCTTCTCACCCCTTCTATTTAAAATCCTCACTGCTGGGGCCTGAGCGATAGCACAGCGGGCAGGGTGTTTGCCTTGCACACCCTGACCCAGGTTCGATCCCTGGCATCCCATAGGGTCCCCCAAATGCTGCCAGGAATGATTCCTGAATGCAGAGCCAGGAGTAAGCCCTGAGAACTGCCAGGTGTGGCCCCAAAAGCAAAATAATAAAATTCCCACTTCCAGGACCCGGGGAAGATGACACAAAGGGCTGGAGGGCATGCCTTGCATTCTCAAGGCCCCGAGTTGGATCCCTGCAGTGCATGGCATGCAACTAGATTCGGCCAGCCAAGCACCTTCACCCTCACCCTTCTTTCTCTCTCCAGACTTGTTTATTTATAAATTATTCCCCCCCCCTTTTTTTTTGAGGGACCACACCTGGCAATGCTCAAGGCTTACTCCGGCAGTGCTCAGGAGATCATATGGGTGCTGGGGATTGAACCTAGGTCAGCTGCATGCAAGGCAAAGTGCCTTACCCACTGTACTTTTGCTTTGGCCTGACTGACCCTGTTTTAGTTTATATAAGGTAAAGGCCCTCCCGTTGATCGTCGATTTGCTCGAGCGGGCCCAGTAACGTCTCCATTGGAGACTTTGTTGTTACTGTGTCTGGCATATCGAATACTCTCGGTAGCTTGCCGGGCTCTCCGAGAGGGGCGGAGGAATCGAACTCGGGTCGGCCATGTTGGCTGCTTGTAAGGCGAACGCCCTACCCACTGTGCTATCGTTATATATTTTATTTGTTTTGGTTTTGGGACCACACTCCACAGTGCTCGTATGTTACTCCCGACTCCGCACTCAGGAATTACTCCCAGCGGTGCTCGGGGACATAGTGGGGTGCTGAAGATCGAATCTGACTTGGCCGCCTGCAAGGCAAGCGCCCTCCCTGCTCCATTATCACTCTGGCCCCTGTATTTTATTTATTTGGTTTGGGGACCACACCACAGTGTGCTTGGAGCTTCCTCTCCGCTCTGCACTCAGCAGTCACTCCTGGTAGGGATTGGGGGACAATTTGTGGTACTGGGAATCAAACCTGGGTCTGCCACGTGCAGGAAAAGCAACCTGCGCGCTCTATTATCTCTTTGGCTGCTTCCTTTATGTGTGTGTGTGTGTAGGGGTGCACATGTGGAGGTGCCCAGGGATTACTCCATGCTCAGTGCTTAAGGGACCATGTTTTGTTGGGGATTGAACTCAGGGCTCCTGCGGTCTCCAGTCCTCTGAATCACCTCCTCAGCCCCCGAGCTGGGGACAGAACAGGGAAACGAAGGCAAGGTCGGATACAGCCTCTGGAACTGCTATTTCGGTGTAACTGAGGTGGTCAGCTGTCCGTTTCAGAGTGATGAATGCTGATGCATTAAATCCAGATGTGCCAGGGGAGGCGGGGGAGGGCCACCGCGGAAGCTCAGGACCCCTGGGTAGAGCTGAGTACCTGAGTACCGGGAAGCTGAGGAGCGTGGACCGGGCCTGCGAGGCTCATAGGCGCCCTCTGGCGGCCAAAGGGGAAAAGACTCAGAGATGGTGGCCTGCCCATGAGAAGGAACAGAGGTCAGGAAATGCAGTTGGGGTCTCCAGCGGGAATCTTTGGAGAAGGGGCTCGAACAGAAGCGCTGGGAGGCTGGAGGAAGCTTGGGTTCAGCCCTGGAAAAGGCAACGTAGGTTACAGGAATTTTAGCCTGGGATGCTGGGAGATGACTTAGGACTGGCCCCACCTGCTCCCACGCTTTCTTTGTGACCTTCGAATTTCCACAAATACATCAGGCAACCTCAGGACCTTTGCACCTGCTGTCATTCCCCCCACTCCCCACCACCACCGTGCGATTCTAGGCCAAGGTTTGATGCCCAACATGACATGATCTTCCAAGCCCCTCCTGAAAGAACTCTCCAGAAATGCACGGAGAATAGCCCCTGTGCACCGCCGGTGTGGCCTACACCCCTCCAAAGTGACCTCCTCCCCATGATTACTTCTGCACAGATCTCCACTTCTCGCCTGCTTTTGCTGTTGTGCCTTCTGGTACGTTCTATGCATCCTTCCCTCCATTCACTTGTTTCCTTGATCACCAGGGTAGAGATTTTGTGCGCAACGTCTGCATACCCTAAGTGCTCAGTGATCGCTCGCGCCAACTTGGGAGGGGCGCGCGCGCTATGTTCATGCACGTGTAACCGTGCAGATACGCTTCAGCCGCATCTGTGAGTCAGGGTTCGGGGGTCGGCCCCTCCTTCCCATTGATCCTCTGCCTCCAGGTCTGCCATGACGGCCTCCCGACTGTGCAAGATGCCCCAGCTCCTGCCCCTGCTCCTCCTCCTGATGGGCGCACGCTGGGCGCGGGCAGGCGCCCCACGCTGCACCTATACCTTCGTGCTACCCCCACAGCAGCTCACGGGCGCCGTGTGCTGGAGCGGGCCGGCGACCGCTCGCCCCGCGGCGCCCGAGGTGGCCAACGCCAGCGAGGTGGCGGCGCTGCGCGTGCGCCTGGACCTCCTTGAGGTGCAGCTGCGGGAGCTGCAGAGGCGGGCGGCGGCCGACGGCGCCGTGGCCGGCGAGGTGCGCGCGCTGCGCCACGAGAGCCGCGGCCTGAGCGCGCGCCTGGGCCAGCTGCGCGCGCAGCTGCGGCACGAACCGGGGGCGGAGCCAGCGCCGAAGGCGGAGCCAACGGCCAAGGCGGAGCCAGCGGCGGAGGCGGGGCCAATGTGGAGGGTGGAGCCAGCGGCGGGGGCGGAGGCGGGGGCGGCGCTGGCCCTGCTCTGGCAGCGCGTGCTCAACGCGTCAGCCGAGGCGCACAGCGCCGCAGCAGGTCTCCAGCAACTGGACAGCAAGTTCCGGGAACTGGCGCAGCTGGTCAGACAGCAGAGCGGCCTCATCGCCCGCCTGGAGCGTCTGTGTCCCGGCGGCGGCGGCGCGGGTGGGCAGCAACAGGTAAACCCCAAAGCCTGCCCTCCCAAAGCTCCCCACCTGGCGCATCACGAGTGAACAGCGCTGCTGGCAGATCCAGAAGCTTTTAACCACAGGGTCGGAATTCGAAGAGCTCTCGAAGTCTCCCCCCAAAACATGCGTGGGTCAAGACGAAGTAGCAGCTAGCGCTGCTTCAGCTTTATCTGCTTGTTGTGCATAGTGATGGAATCCGGTAGCCAAGTCCGTTGTGTCGTTAAAGACCAGATACCCCCCCGCCAAGGGCTGGAAGACTGTACAGGGGGTGAGGCGCTCATCCTGCATGCGACTGAACCGGATTCCATCTCTGGCACCCCATAGGGTTCCCTGAGACCCACCAGGAATGAGCCAGAAATGAGCCTTGAGGGTGGCCCAAAAACAAAATGTAAAGAACCCGGCAGCAAGGGGCTGGAGCGATAGTACAGTGGGTAGGGCGTTTACCATGCACGAAGCCGACCCAGGTTCGATTCCCAGCATCCCATATGATCCTCCGAGCACCGCCAGGAGTAATTTCTGGTGCAAAGCCAGGGGTAATCCCTGTGCATCGCCAGGTGTGACCCAAAAAGCAAAAAAATAAAAAATAAAGAACCCAGCAAGGATGTGGGTCGGTGGTAGAGCACATGCCTCACCATGGATAAGGCCCTGGACGTGATCCTGGACACCCCCAAATGCATAACCCGTGTATTTCTAACACTTAGTCAGGCAGCAGTGTGGAAGTTCACGCCTACCTTTCACTCACTCCTGTTTTTTGGCCACACCTGGTTTCTCTTAGGGGTTGTTCCAGGCTCTGTGCTCAAGAGTCCCTGGCGGCACCCTGGGACTATACCTGGTACAAGGATTTAGACTGGGGTGGGTGGGATAAGTGGAAGTGTCTTAACCTGGACGCCCCTAGGCTCTTGGTGGCTAGAGTTTAGGCTGCAGGAAAGGGGTGGAGAGCCAGTTCCTGCCCTGTTGGGTTCTGGGAGACTTAGAAGTGCTGGACCCCCCGGGAATGATGTTAGCGCCTCAGCTTTGGAGTCTTGATTGTTCCAGGTCCTGCCACTGCCTCCAGCACCAGCAATCCCAAGCAGTTTGGTGAGCAGTACCGGTGCCACCAGCAGGCGCCTAGAACCAGAGTCCCAGAGAGACCAGACGTGGAGGCAACAGAGACCTCTGGCTTCCCCACTGTCTGCGGGGCGCCCGGCTGTGCCCACCAAACCAACTGGTAAGCGGGCAGGAAACTTGGGGTTGAGAAAGCAGGTGGCGTGAGGAGTGGGGAGGCAGGAGACAAGATTTGAATGGCAGGTTCCCCTACTGCCGAGGAAACGGGAGGAAGTGCTGCCTTTATTCTGAGAATGGCACAGGGACTGTGTTGTTGGACAAGATAAAAGTCCTGACAATCATGGGAAAATAGAAAAGCCTTTTCAGGGCTCCAGAAATAGCCCCCAGGATCTCACAGTGCAAAGCATGCACTCTGCACACTGGTCTGTGATCCCTACCCTTGAAAAAAAGAGGGACTGGAATTCAGGTATTTTGATGAGAATCTGACCTATTTTGGAATGATCAAGTTGAGGAAAGAGTAGATTTGGTATTAAAAAAATGAAAGGATCCCCATTTGCTAGTGAAAGAGCTGAGTCAGAATCTCACACAGGTAAGAAGATGGAGGTTGGGGGCTCTTATTATGGCCATGGACTGGAAGGCAAGGACTACTGTTCTGGTGAGGGGGCAAGAAAGGATCAGGAGCTTTCTTCCTGTAAAAGGAATGGGTCAGCTTGTGCCTCTTGTCATATACCTATGCCCACAGGCCCATGGCGGGACTGTGCTGAAGCCCAGCAGGCAGGACATGGGCAGAGTGGCGTGTATGAACTGCGGCTGGGCCGCTATGTGGTGTCAGCCTGGTGCGAGCAGCAGTTAGAGGGCGGAGGCTGGACAGTGATCCAGCGGCGGCAGGATGGCTCAGTCAACTTCTTCACCACCTGGCAGCACTACAAGGTGGGCGCACGTAGGGGGATTGGGGGACAGAACAGAGCAGGCAGAGGACCTGTCCCTGACCACTTGGCTTTCCTGCCCTGCAGGTGGGTTTTGGCCAGCCAGATGGAGAATACTGGCTTGGCCTTGAACCTGTGCACCAGCTGACCAGCCGCGGGGACCACGAGCTCCTGGTCCTCCTGGAGGATTGGGGGGGCCGCAGGGCACGAGCCCACTATGATGGGTTCTCCTTGGAGCCTGAGAGTGACCACTACCGCCTGCGGCTTGGCCAGTACCACGGGGATGCTGGTGACTCACTTTCCTGGCACAATGACAAGCCCTTCAGCACTGTGGACAGAGACCGGGACTCCTATTCTGGTAATAGGGGCTTTATTTTGTTGTGGGAGCTGGGCCGCGCAGGGGAAGGATGCAAGAAAGTAGGACAGGGTGGCCCTTGGGTGAGGGTGAGCAAAAAAGCAGGAGAGGGGCTTTTATTCTGGTGAGGGGATGCAGAGATCAGATATTTTCTTGGATGTTACAATGTTATACATTGTTGTATATGGACTAAGTATGTATATGTTAGCTCATGGACTAAGGGGGAGTTGGAGCAGTGGCAGGATGTTTGCTTTTTGCGTGACTGACCCAGGTTCCATTCCTGGGACCACTACAGTCCCCCAGAACCACCAGGAGTAAGCCCTGAGCAGAACTGGGTGTGACTGGAAAATCAAATAGGTGACAGCACTTGTAATTTGCAGCGTGGGGGTGGGGAGGGAAATGTGTGACTTCTATTTAGCTTTCTTACGGTGGCAGACAAAGGACGGGGCTGAGAACCCATCCCGGTGGACAGGTCAGAGGATGCCTGGCCCTGGGAGAAGGCGAGGCTAGTTTTGGTGTGGAGACATGGACGCTCTCTTCCCCTCCCCCTTCAGGTAACTGTGCCCTGTACCAGCGGGGAGGCTGGTGGTACCATGCTTGTGCCCACTCCAACCTGAACGGTGTGTGGCATCGCGGGGGCCACTACCGCAGCCGCTACCAGGATGGCGTCTACTGGGCCGAGTTCCGAGGTGGGGCTTACTCGCTCAAGAAGGCCTCCATGCTCATCCGGCCCCTTAGGTTGTGACCGGCTGGTGCATCTGCTCAACTCCCAGGGGAGATGGTGTCACCCGCCACCATTCCTCTCTGGCTCTGCGGGTGGTCACACGGCTCTGACTTGCCCTTACGGTCAGCCCGGGCGCCCCTTGCCAGTCCCCGGGACCCAGGGCCACTGAAATCCAGGATTGAGCTGATCACGTTCTCTAAGAGAAAACACCCACGGACTCCGTCTGCATTGCATCTGACCCCGCGGCGGGGGTCGTGTTTACTCCCCGCGCCCCTCTTCCTCCTCCTCCTCTCTCAGGTCTTCCAGGATGAGGTTGTCCAGGTCTTCGATGAGGCCGCACTGGCTCAAGCAAGTGGCCACGGTGGAGCCGCTGCTGATGTGCGGGTTGCTGGGGTACAGGACCTTGGGGAGATGGTTCTGCTTCCGGCTGTGGGGGTGCGCGCAGGACGTGCCGGGCACGTGGGGCTCTAGGGGAGGGAGAGGCGCTGAGGTCTGGGGGGGGAGGGGGGCTCTGGGGAGAGCAGGGACCCAGAGCGATGGGGACTCCGGGACATGAAATTCACTGGGGGAGGAGCCCCACGCACCGTAAGTGCGACTGACCAGGGGAGTTAGCGGAAGTGAAATTGACGGGCGAAAGCCCCAGCAGACTCCGAGAACTCAGAGATGCGCAGAGGCCAAAGCGGGCCCAGGGAGAGGCGCCAGAATGGAAGGGGGGCGTCCCGCCCTGGCACGCGAGGGATGGCGCGGGGGGTCCAGACATCGCGTGCAAGGGCCCTGGTCTGCAGCCGCAGAGATGAAGCGGCCCGAGAGCACATCTTCCCTTAAGGACTGCCTGGGCACCGAAGTCAACCCACGCCAACCCAGAAAAGCCCATTCCCCCCCCACCAAGGGGAGGGGGCGCGGCGGGGCGGAGGGGCTCACCCCGCCGGTTGTAGCAGTCCTCGGCCGAGCAGGAGTGACTGTGCATGCTGCGGCGATCTCCGTCTCGGTCCCGGCGCGCAGGGAGGATCCGGGTCGGGTACACGGTGAAGCCGCAGCCGTAGCAGGGGGACGAAGACCCCATCTGGGCCCAGCCCCTGGGGGCGGGCAGGGCCATGAGGCTCCAAGTCCCGACCCCCCGCCCCAGGACGGTGGGGGAAGGAGGCGGGGGCGGGGTTGCGGGGCTGGGGGGTCAGCGCCCTCACCCGAAGTTGTGCCGACATTTGGGGCAGTGGAACTCGGCCAGGCCCCACATCTTGTCCCCGGGGACCGGCTCGTACCGCATGCGGCATTTCTTGCACCGGGACACCTGGGGGGTGGAGGGGGTAAAGGGGAGGTGGAGGCAGGGGGCAGGGGAGGGCTGTCCCGGGTTTGCACAAAGGCCGTACATGGGAGCCCCCCTTCACCCCAAGATACACAGTTCCTCCCCCCTTGCCCCGGTGAGGGTGGGGGGCCGCTCAGACGCCAGAGGTGGGATTTCAGTTGCAGGGAGGTCAGGCTCCCGGCACCAGTGTCCCTGGGGGTTTGGGGGCAGCAGCCACTTTGTGGGGGGCTGGGTGGCCACCTCCTTCCGCTGGGCCACCCGGCGCCACCACACATGGTCGCAGGCTGAGCAGGCGAACTGTCTGTCCACGGCCGGGATCAGGCCCTCTTGGGCACGCTGGAACATGCGCAGGTTGGCCTCCGTTAGCGGGAGGAGGGACGTGGCCACTGCCTGGGGGGGCAGAGGGGGATTAGAGGGCTGTCACTCCTGCACCTGCCTAATACATGCCCCCCTTCTGTCCCCCTCACCCCACGACCTGGACTCACCTGAATATCCTGGTCCTGCTTCATGTCCTCAGGAGGGTCCTGGGTGAGACACCAGGGGCAAGAGCTAAGGGTGCTCGCTCTCACTCATTGGAGGGGGGTGGGGGTGTTCCCTAATCCACAGCGAATGGACTCAGCAACACCCACTTATTTTCTGAGCCCCACCCAGTGATGCTCAGGGAGTTGCTTCTGTCTGGCTCTGCTACTCTGCAGAATCACTCCTGGCCATGCTTGGGGGTCCTGTGGGGTGCTGGGGATCAAACTGGGTGCAAGGCAAATGCTCTTCCTGCTTTCCTATAGCTCCAGCCATGGCAGCACCCACTTCTCTGGGGCCCAGGTGGATGTGCCTCCTCCAGAGAAGTGGGGACCTCCCCACTAGCCCCACTGCTCACATGGGAAGCACTGAGACCTAAAGCCGGGGCATGTGCTGAGGGACTGTGCTGGGCTGGCCCCCTGCCCTCATCCCAGGGCCAGGCTGCTTCAGGCTGGGGGGTTTATTATTATATTTTTATATTTAAAATTTTGTTTGGTTTTGGTGATGCTCAGGGCTGACTCCAGGCTCTGCCCTGAGGAATCTCTCCTGGGGGTGCTGGGGGGACCATATGCGATGGCAGAGACTGAACCGGGTCAGCCACGTGCAAGGTGTGCCCCCCAGGGCTGAGCCTTCGAGCTGGGCCACACCCAGTCCCAGCTGGACTCGATTTCCCCCAGTTATGGGCGCCCACGGAGTGAGGGGCCTCTTGGAGCTCAGCTGCTGCCTGCCCGCTGCTGGAAGACACCGCGCTCCGGGCCTCAGTTTCCCTACGTGTAAACCCTGGGTGGGAGGCTGGGTCCTGGAGTTCCTCCTGGCTCTGTGGGATGGCAGGGTCCTGCACTGAGGGTCCTGCCCAACCATTCTCTGCTTTGAAACCCCAAGTGTGCATACCTCCAGATATGCTCGGGTGGGGAGGGCGTGATTCACCCTAAATTATGTAAGAATATCCTTGGGTCTGTCATACCTCTCTGGGAGGCAGGCGATGCCCTCAGGGCACCAGCCACCAAAGTGCACAAGTGCCCATTTGCTTGGGCTTCAAAACCTCATTCATTCGTTCATTCATTCGGCTCCTCTGGCCCTCAGCCCCATCTACTCAGCCCCACCTGAAGACCCGCTCCTTTGCTCACATCAGTTCCTCTTGGAGAAAGACTCTTTCCATCCCACCCTCTCAAGAGATCTTGCACCACCTCCTCCAAGAAGTCTTCCCTGACTTCCTGGTCCCCCCCCCATGATGATGCCATTTATCTGCATTTGTGACCCCCCCCATTGGTTGTTTTTCTCCTTCACTTTCATGTAATAAGCACCAACTGTTTGCAGGCCTCTGGCAGGACACTGAATTGAGATTAGGTGCCTGGGGTTCGACCAGGGGCCGTGGAGGAAGCCAGAGGAATGATGGCAGGGGGCTCCCCAGCACCCCGGTTTACCTGGGCGTCCAGGTCATTACTCAGCTCCTGTCCATCTTTCTGCTTGACCTCTGGGGGTGCAGGGGCAAGAGAAGGATTGGTTAGTTCAGAGGGGTTCACTATGTTACATAACAAAGGCCCTGAAAGGAGCTTGGGAGAGTTTGGGGACTTCCCCCAAGCCCCCAAACCGGCCATCTTCCTTGATCGAGTCTGAAAGGGCCTTTTCTTCTCTGGGTCCAGACAAACCTGCCCCAGCTCCCCCCTCCCCCCTGCAGCCGTGCGCGCGCAACTCTCCGTCACGGGCGGGGGAGGGGGGGGCACTGGCTCACCGTACACGATGGAGCGCCCCACTCCGGTGTGGTCGCTGCCAAATTTCTTCATCAGAGTCCCCGCCTTTTTGGGGGAGACCTTGCCATAAAACTTCTCCCGCAGACGCCGGACGCTCTTCTCCAGCTGGGGCGGGCACAGGGGTGCGGGGTCTCAGAGGGGGGCCCCCTTCCTCCTCGCCAGACCATCCTTCTCGCGCTCTGAACTGGATCCCGGGTTTCGGCTCTGTCTCCCTCCATCCTCCCATCCCACCCCCCCCCCGCCCCACCCCCGGCGTTTCCTGGAAAAATCCAAAGTCCCCCCAACGGGAAGGAGGGAGGGAGCCGTCGGGGGCGCGCGGCGCGCCACCCGGGTCCAGGGACGCGGCCGCGCCAGGTAATCCCGGGCCCCTGACCTCTGACCCGGCCGCCCTCCGCCTTTCCTCTCGGGGGCGCCTGGAGGAGGCGGGGTGCGGTGGGATGCGACCGTCCCCGTCCTTTTCCGAGGGAGCGCGCCCCGGCGCGGCGGGGAAGGTCTGGGCTGCGGCTGAGGTCCCCGGGCGCTGCGACCCTCCCGTCTCCTCCCCGCATCCCCCTCACGGCCCCCGCGGCCGCGTCCTACCTCCACGCCGTCCTGGGACATGGTGGCGGGGGTCGCGGGCGTCCGCAGTGCGCGCGCGGCGCCCCCACCCCGGGCGCGCCTGTCGGGTCCAGCAGCCGCCGCCGCGCCGCGCAAGGCAGGGGGCGAGGCCTGTGCGGGCTCCGCCCCTCCCCCCTTTCGGTTTCGATTCCCGGGACCGGGGCTGCACTTCGGGGCGGGCTCCCCGGCTCTGCGCCCTGCGGCGCGCGCGGGCCCGGGGCGAGGGAGGCGGCGCGGCCGCGGAGCCGGTCACATGTCCCCGCGCTGCGCGGGGGCCGCGGCCTCACGTCCCTCGCGGGGGCGGGGCCGCCGGGACCGGCCGCGCGCGGGGGAGAGGGTGGGGGCTCCGCGGGAACCAGCCGCGCCCCGCCCGAGTGGCCCGACCCCCCTCCGGCACGACCCGAGCTTACTGCTCTGTAAAATGGGCAGAGGGCGCCGGGATGGAGTGAGACCCGGAGGAAACGCGAGACACACCGGGCCTGCCGTGGGGGTCCAGGGCCGGTGTGCAGGGTATAGGGGGCATTGGGGAGGGGGGTCCTGGTGGGGGGCAGTGGGAAGGGGCCCTGCAGAATTCTGAGGCGTGCAGGGAACTCGAGTTGAAAATCAGTCTTTTGTTGTTGGGGTTTTTTTTGGGGGGGGTCACACCCGGTGGTGCTCAGGGCTTACTCCTGAACTTACTCCTTGGCGCTGCGCTCAGGGATCACTCCTGGGGGGCTCTGGGAACCCCATGGGGTGCCGGGGATCAGACCCCAGATCGGCCTTGTGTAAAGGTAAATGCCACACCTGAAGTGCCAATATCCCCCATGTTCGAACTGTGACAACTGGAACCTGCCTGGAGGGTTGGAGGGTTGGTAACTTGGGAGCGCCAGAGGTTCGCCTCATCTGAAGTACCTGTTCAACACCAAAGCTTCTTGTGTTGCAGAATTCTTTGGGGGAGGGGGCTGTCCTGGTGTGTGTGTGTGTGTGTGTGTGTGTGTGTGAAATTGAACTCAGGTCAACTGCGTGCAAGGCAGTTACCCTTATTAGGGCTTAGACCCCGACTTTTGTTTTTTTCCTCTGGCTTTTGGGGTCACATCCAGCGATCCCCAAACCCTGTCTGCCGCGTGCAAAGCAAACGCCCTCCCCGCTGTACCATCGTTCAGGCCCCAAGACCCGGCTGTCTTTTTATTTGGGAACAGACTTGACCAGTCTCCAAACATCACCACATTTGGGACGCAGAGCAGAGGAAGTGCATTAGGATCAATGTCTGCAAATTGTGTTTTTTCTCTCATGTGCCCCTATCAGAAATGCCAAATGTGGAAGCTCCAACTCCCCCGTTGGGTATTGGCTGACAGATTGTTTGTAAATAGTTACAGCAGTGTTCAGGGGAAGGCTTTATGATAAAATTAAGTACATAAAGATACTTTTTGTTTGTTTCTTTCCAGCCATAGTACAGCAGGTTGGTACTTGACCCTCCCCCCGACCCTATCTGGTCCCCCTCCCCTAAAACTCTCCAGGAGTTAGTCCTGGGTGTGTCCCCTCCCCCTTCAAACGAACAACAACAAAACGAGGGGCTAGGGAGATGGTTCATTGTCCACTTGCATTCAGCCCTAAGTGGTCGGCTGGGTGTGGACCCCCCTCCTGCCCTCCAAGATCAAATCACTAAATCCAGGATGGGGACGGGGGGAGGGGGGTGAGGAGCCCCATCCTCCCTGTCCTTATTCCATGCTGGGGTCCCTAAGTGGCCAAGCCTGGAGGGAAGCAAGCAGGCAGGAGAGAGCAGCCTGGCTTGGAGCCATGGGTGCCCTGGAGGTGGGCTTGGAAAAAAACAGTTTGAAATTTAGAGGCGCAACCGCAGCCATCACGAGGGGGCGCTGTTGCCCACCGAGGCATCCCGGGCTGGGCCACATGCGGCGGGCGCTGTGCAGTGAGTGGGTTGGCAGCCTAGAATACTTGATTCGGAAGTGGGAGAAAACCAAACGAGCTGGTGGCGTAGAGACGTCGCCTCCAGCTCCTGAGTATAACTGAGCCAAAGATGGAGATCCAGAAAATCCAGCCACTGGGTGGATTGTTAAAGCATCAGCCCTTCCAGAGTCTCTGGGAAGGTCGGAAACATATGACCCAGTGAGTTCTTTGACCGTATTTGTGGTGTAGACTCCAGGAGAAAAGGTGACAAGTGGCAACCGGACCTGGCAGGGCATTCAGGTCGGGCTTCCTGGGGGAGGTGTCCCGGGAGCCAAAATTTAAATCTTTTCTGAAAGCCTGTGTCCAGGTGTACAGATCAGTATCTCAGGGCCGGAGTGATAAGATAGATATCCAGGAGGGCACTTGACTTGCATGCAGCTGACCCAAGTTCACTCCCCAGCCTTCATAATATCCCCTGAGCACCACCATGAGTGTTCCAGAGTGCAGAACAAGGAGTAACCCCTGAGCATTGCCAGGTGTGGCCCCCACAGCAAAAACAACAACAAAAAAGACTATCTCATTAGATCTTCAGCACAGTCCGAAGAAAGAGATGACTTTATTGAAAGGGGGACTTGCTGGGGACAAAGAGATGGTTCAAGGCACTGAGCACTGTTTTGCACGCAGGAGGCCCAAGTTAGATCCCTGGTACCACACGGTTCTCCCCACATACTACTAAGCATGACGCCCAAACACACACACACACACACACACACACTTGCATGTAAGAAACCCGGAGGGAATCTCTTGACCAGGGACCCCACCCCCGAGGTGAGAGGTGCCCTGGGATCACGTCCTCCCTGTCGTCCGTCGGGAATAACGGGAAGGACCTTCATAGCCCATGAATTCTGTTGTTTGCATTTTGCGAAACCAACCCCACATGCCTTTCCCGGAAAGCATTCGGTGCAGAAGTGCAGCGACTTGTTTGTTCTTCAGCACAAACGAATCGAGGCGAAATCTGGGCGCAGTTGCATCAGCCGGAATACCGTGGGGACCCGAAGAAATAGTCCATTTCCTGCCCTCCTGAAAGAGAATCATATGCTGGCCTCACAGGCGGCCAACCCTCATTCCATCCCGTAGCGTCAGCAGAGGGCGATCTTGAGCAGAGCCCTGAGGATTTACCCCCCACCCCCCACCACCACAAGCACCAAGGTTGGTTGAAGGGTGGACTAGAAACAGAATAACCAAACAAACAAACAAAAAAAAAAAACAGAAACACACTGCAGCCAAAGCAAACAAGAGGCCTTTGCTTAAGGGAGTTGCAATGTTGAAATTCTGTTGCTTAATGCTAACATTTGCAGCTTCTGCCCGAAGGAGTGATTTTCCAAGGCTCACCGTGCTCGACTCCACCCACATCTGATAGGCACACTGACACTGGCCCATCAGATCATCTATATCCAGAGGATAGAGGCAAACAGCCCAACTTTTTTTTTTAATTTTATTTTTAATTAATTTATTTTTTGCTTTTTGGGTCACACCAGCGATACTCAGGGGTTACTTCTGGCTCTGCACTCAGAAATCACTCCTGGTGGTGCTCAGAAGACCATATGAGACGCTGGTGATTGAACCTGGGTCGGCTGTGTGCAAGGCAAACACTACTTGCTGTACTATCGCTCCGGCCCCACAGCCAGACTTTTGTTTCAATAGACACACCAATTTGGTTTCCTTTTTTTGGGTGGGTGGGTGGAGGTCACAACTGGTGATGCTCAGGACTGACTCCTAGCAGTGTTCCAGAACTCTGTGAGATGCCGGGGATGGAATGGAACCCAGGTTGGCCGCGTGCAAGGCAAGCGCCGTCCCCACTGTTCTATCTCTGGCCCTTGGTTTATTTACTTTCTCGAATTATTTATTCTGGGGGAAGAATTTGGGGTTGTACCCAGTGGTGCTCCAGGCCCTGCATGAGGATTTTTCTTACTTTATTTGCTTTGCATTTTGAAATCCATCTGCCAGTGCTCAGGGCTGACTCCTGGCTCTGTGCTCTGGGATCACTCCTGGCAGTGCTCAGGAAACCCCATAAGGTGCTCGGGATCGAACCCGGGTCGTCTGCATGCAAGGCAAGTGCACTTCGGGCTGTCATATCTCTCTGCCCCCCTCTGTTTTGTTCCTAGTCAGCGCCCTGATGTCCTCAGGTGGCCACTCCCGATGTGGTGCTGGGGGTCCTCATGCCCAGCCTGAGCTCCGGCCCCTTGAGCCGCCCCTTGGCCCAAGCACCGTCGGACTAGAGGATTCTTCCGCGGGGTGGCCCACGGGGAAGGAGCTGCAGCTGCGGGGTGTGGGCGCCACATCCTCGCTTTTGGCAGTGGAAAAAGCATCACAGTGCATCACCAGTTCCGCTTGCGGGGAGCCGTGGACTTCAAAGAAGCAGAGCAGCGCCGGGCATGTGGGATGAGCCGAGGCTGTATGTGCACCTTTGGGGTCTGCGATGGCTGCTGCAGGCCAGCAAGACTGGAGCCAGGGGCACCCGGGGGCCATCAAGGCCCTCCCAGGGACTCGCCCCTGCCTGGCTTGGTCCCCTGCGCTGAAGATCCTCTCCCCAGCCCCCTCCAGTTTCCAGGCTGGAATTTCAAATGTGTGAATCACTTCTTCCCCTCTCAAAAAAAACGGGGGGGGGGGGGAGCGTGTGCTTTCTTTTTCTGGGCACAAAAGCTAACAGTGTTTGTTCTTTGGGATTTTTTTTTTTCCGGTTTCGGAGCTACTCCCTGTGGTCCTCAGAGCTTCCTCCTGCCTCTGGGCTCTGCTGTACACATCCCAGAAATACATCTTTATGTTTCCTCTATCTTTTTCTTCTTTTTTTGCTTTTTGGGTCACACCCGGCAATGCACAGGTTACTCCTGGCTCTGCACTCAGGAATTACTCCTGGCGGTGCTCAGGGGACCATATGGGATACTGGGAATCGAACCCGGGTTGGCCGCGTACAAGGCAAACACCCTACCGGTTGTGCTATTGCTCCAGTCCCTCCTCTTTTTCATAGCTTTCTCTTTTCATATTTTTGTGTGGGGTGTGGCTTTGAGCCACACCTGACGATGCTCAGGACTGACTCCTGGCTCTGCACTCAGAATTACTCCTGACAGTGCTCGGGGGACCCTGTGAGATGCTGGGGATTGAACCAGGGTTAACCCCATGCAAGGCAAATGCCTTTCCCACTATCCTATTAACTCCGGCTTCTTTTGTAAGAAACTGCCAACTGTGTTCCAATGTGGCCCCTCTGGCACCTTCGTTCCCGGATTGAGTTTTAGTCACTCAGCAGGTCTGAGGTCAAGTTGAATCACCATTTTATGTTGCTTTGGGGGACGTGTGTGTGTGTGTGTGTGTGTGTGTGTGTGTGTGTGTGTGTGTGTACAGAAGCGCTCAGGGACTATTCCTGGCTCTGTGCTCAAGAGTGAGCCCTGGCAGTGCTGACCAGACCATAGGTAGTACTGGAAATCAAACAAGAATGGGCTCCTGCCAGGTGAGAAACACTTTACTCTCATGCACTCGATGGACCCCAGGAGGGGACAGTTCAACAGTACAATTAAGACAGGACCAAGCCCTGCAGGTTTCTGGAAGGTGTCAGGTGGAGGGGACCAACAGTAAAAAAGTCGCCCTGTGAGCAGAAAACAACCGTGGGTATTAGAAGGAGCCACCAAGACCCCATGGTGATAAAGGGGCTTGCAGGGGTGAGTATGAGCAGGGCAGGATGGGCTGCAGGTTGGAGATGGGAAAAGAAAAATTATTTCTGGAGATCTGTGTCCTTGAATGGGAGCGACCCCCAGAAAACTCAGCCCCCCAGAGCCCATTGGGGGGGGCGTCCAAGCCTTGGGGAGGACTCAGGTCTCGCAGCCGTGGGCGTGCATGTGCTCCGAAAACCCCTCCAGCTCTTCCACGGAGTCCTTCCTGCCGACATCCCCGTCGGCTGGCCAGGGCATGAGGAAGGTGTTTTTGGTTAGGACATAGGTGTAGCTGTGAGACAGAAAGTGGAGTGAGGAACACCCTGCTACCCCACAGGCACGGAGACCTCCCACCCCATTCTGCTTCTGGCTGGAACACAGGTTCCTCTCTCGAAAATGGTGGTCGTGGTCACTGGGCTTGTGCAGTGCGCAACCTGCACCTCCTTTCAGGGCGGCCCTGAAGCCCTGAGACTCTGAGACTCTTGCTCATGGGTCGAGGATGGGGGAGTTCTGGGGGGAGACTAGGGCCTCAGTTCCTGGCACAGCGAGGGCCCCTCACGCACTCAGATTGGATCCGCCAGAGGTCGGAGGTGTGGCCCATGATGAGGTATGTCTGATTCTCATGCAGCTGCAGGACATCCTGGCAGGTGGCGTGGGAGATAAATTTCTTCATAGTGAGGGGTTTGACAGAGTCTGAGCCTGTGGGGAGGAGGTGCAGTGAATGTGCAGAGCCCTCTCTTAGACATCTCGGTCGTTTTTTTTTTTTTGGGGGGGGGGCGGGTTGTACCGGGACTTGAACCCGGGTGCAAGGCAAGTGCCCTACCTGTGCTCCTCTCCTGGTCCTGGACCTACCTGTCTTGATGATGGTCTGGAGCTGCATGTTGTAGTAGATGTAGGGGTTGGAGGCTGAGGTCCCCACACTCTCCAGCCTGACCTTGTACACTGTGATGGGGGGGGGGACACAGGACACTGTGCTGGGGTCTGACCTGTAGGGGCGCCTGCTGTTCCCATGCCCCGTGGCCCTCTTGGCACTCACCAAAGTCCACACCGGCCTCACACGCTGCCACCTGGAGCTCTTCCTTCTTCATTTGGCTGCTGCCCTTCGGGGCTGGGCACTGTTCTGCGGGGTGGGGGTGGAACAAGGCTGCCCTGGCTGCCCTGGCAGGGCGGGGGGGGGGGGAGCTCCCTCCCCTCCATTTCCCAGATCACTGGGTCTGATCTTTCTTTTATTTTTGTTTGGGGCCCACACCCGGGGATGCTCAGGGTACACTCCCGGATCTACACTTCATGAATTATTCCTGGTGGCGTTTCTTTTTTTTTGGCGGGGGGGGGGGGGGGCGTTGGTACCATATGGGATGCCGGTGATCAAGCCCTGGTTTGCCGTGTGCAAGACAAGCTCCTTCTCCTTCCTCCCTACCATTGCTCCGATCTTCTTTTCGATCTTTTGTCTATTTTTTCCCCCTGTTTTCTGTCTCTCCTGGTCACTGTCGGGTTTCCTATCTCGATGCTGTCTCTTTCGGTCTAAATGCGCAGCTCAGGTGACCACTCCCCCCCACCGAGAAGGCGAAGGGCTCCTGGACCCGCAGCCCCGCCCGGCGGGTCCGCATGACCTCACCTTCCGCACAGCGGCAGACCTCTTTGTGGCAGATTTTGCGCAGAGAAGATGGCTCTTGGGGCAGGTTGTAGAAGGTGCTGCACCTCCGGGCTGTAAGCGGGAGCGCTTGGGGTTGCCCGGCCTCAGCCCTCCAGGCCGTCCCACGCCCCTGCCCAGGCCCAGTCCCCAGAGTCCCAGCCCTTCCAGGCCCCACCTTGCTCCATGCACAAGACCCACCCACAGGGAACCCCGCCCTCCCATCCACCCAATCCCTGGCAGGCCACCAGGGCTTTTGCTGGGCTCCACCCAATCCCCTTCCACACACGCAGGCCACGCCCACGCGGCCGGCCTCTCTCCTCGCTTTCTCCCCCTCTTGCCCCACCCATTCCAGGTCCTGCAGGCCACGCCCCCTGAATGCTATCCCCCTGGCCCCGCCCTCCAGGCCACGCCCACAAACTGTATCCCTCCTGTCCCACCTGTGCCAACCCCTCCAGGCAACGCCCCCTTGTCTATCCCTTTTCTGGCCACGCCCCTCATTTTCCCTGGACCCCCAGCTCCAGCCTACCCAGCTCCCTAGCAGGAGAGCCCCCCCTTCATCCCATACCCATGCTCACAAGGCTCATAGTAGTCATAGATGGTGACCTGGGCGGCCTGCAGGAACTCTGCCTGCAGCATCCTGTGGACGCGGAAGCCCAGCACTGTGTCTTCCTTGTTTGAGACCTAGGGAGGGGAGTGTGGCAGGGGCTGACCAGGCCACTGACCGCAAGGCCTTGACTGTCTGCGCCGCTCTCAGACCTGGTGTTCTCTAAGCAGGGAGCGTGCTCTCACCTTTTCCAGGTACAGCACCACTGTGCTGTCGCTGGCGCTGGGCTTGCTCTCGTACTGGAAGGCATACGTCTCCACCTCACTGGTGAGCTGCAGGTCGAGGGGCGCCACTGAGCAGGAGGGTCAGCCAACGGCCCCCTACCAGTCCCCCTAGTTCTGGGAGCTCCAGGCTGTGTGAGCCTCCCAGCCCTTGTCCAACCTTTTCTAGGTCATGCAGGGAATTGGCTAGGTACAGCCACAATGTCCTCTGGGGGGCACTGGACCCCCGGGACGCAGTCTGGTCAGGTGCGTGTTCGAGGGAGTGCGGGGTCACACAGCACCGCAGCCCTGCCCTGCCCTGCCCTGCTTAGCGTGGGAGGGTTGGGCTGCTTGCCTGTTTGAGGTCCTCCTGGTTGGGGTAGAAGCCGGTGAGCAGGGAGATCTCCACGATGCTCATGGTTGCCTCCTGCTCTCCCTGGAACCTGGGGGTTCCCAGCTCCAGTCTCTCTTCAGACTGTGCCCCCACCTCCCTCCCACCCCAGGCTCCTATCTGGGTGGATGCGGCAACTCCCTGCTCCCAGGATCCCACCACTCTTTTCCCCCCAACATCATACAGTACAGGTTTAGCAAAGAGGTTTCTGATACGCTGCACCCTTGTTTAAATCATTTCCCCAAATCCGGCTCTCTCTCCTCTCTCTCTCTCTCTCTCTCTCTCTCTCTCTCTCTCTCTCTCTGTCTTTTCTTGGTGGGTGGGCACACTGGCCATGCTTAGGGGTTACTCCTGGCTCTGTGCTCAAGAATTACTCATGGCGATGCTCAGGGGACCATATGGGATGCTAAGAATGGAACCCAGGATGGCTGCGTGCAGGGCAGGCTCCTTACCCACTGTACTCTTTCTCTGGCCCCCCATTAATCTTTCTTGCCACCAGGCCTTTGCACATGCTCGGCGATATGTGCAATGATTCCTGGTGATGGGTATTGTGTGTTCCCAACAATTCCAGAGCTGTGAGCTCAGTAAATTGCCTGAGTTTATTCATAGCTGTGCCCCTAAATCCCGCCACAGAGCCTGGGCACAGGGTTGCCACCCTACAAACTGGTGTCAGGGGTGACCTGAGTGATGGCAGCTGGGAGGCCAGAGCAGGTCTGGGGTGAAGGTTGAAGTGTCTGAAAAAGATGAGTGTCTGGAGGATCTGTGAGGCTTGGAGGAACCCTGGACATCTGGTCATGTGGCCCCTGAATCTCCCCCAACGTCCCGACCTCCACCCTGGAGGAGGGTATGATGGAGGCTACACTGGGGGTGGGCTGGAATGAGGAGAGATATGGGGTGGTAAAGCTGGCTGGCGCAGAGCAGGAGCACGGCAGGGAGGGCACCTGCCTCGCATGTGACTGACTGGGGTTCAATCCCAAGCCCTGCCAGGAGTGATCCCTGAGCACAGAGCCAGGAGTAAGCTCTGAGCATCTTCAGGTGTGACCCCCAAACAACACCCCACAAAATAGGGTGTCTCTCGGGAGAGCCGCTTAGGGGTCCTGATGGGGTACCCGGGGACAGTGTCTTTCTCTGCCAGGGCCAGTCCTGCCCCCTGACCTTGTCTTTATCCGCAGCTGGAAGGTCTCTTCCCCACTCTTAGTCTCTGCGGAGGGAAGCGAGGCAGTTAGGGTGCCCCGTGGCACAGATGCTAAGCGCACAGCCTGGCTGGCTGGGCTCAAACTCTGGGTGCGAGGCCTGGGGGCCTTGGCCCATGGGTCAGAGCCCCAGCCTTGCAAGCCGAAGGTCCAGAGTTCAAGCCCCGGAGCTGCCGCGTGCGTCCAGCACGATGCCAGCAGCTCTGCTGTGAAATCCTTGGTGCTGCACGTGACTTCCAGCCACCCAGCCAGCACGTGTGTAGGAGCACCTCAGACAGGGGCGCGACACTCCCTCCCCCCACCATGAGCACCACAGCTAAAAAGATATGTGAGGGGAGGAGCAATGGTACAGCCAGAAGGCACTTGCCTTGCACACAGCTGACCCGGGTTCGACCCCCGGCATCCCATAGGGTCCCCCGAACACCTTCAGGAGTAACTCCTGAGCGCAGTCAGGAGTAAGCCCTGAGCATTGCTGCATGTGAACCAACACCCCCTCCCCAATTACAAAATTAAAAACCTCAGTAGATCTTGAAATATAATAAGGAAGATAAACAGTGAGGGCCAGGCACAGAGCTCAGTGGCCGAGTGCATGCCTCGTTTGTCTGAAGCCCTGGGCTGGATCCCCAGAATTGCAAAAAACAGAAGAAGGGAGGGGGGTGTTCCTTGGACGCAGGCTCACGTTTCTCGGGGCGCAGGAGGGTCACGTTCAGCTGGTAAAGGTTGCACGAGTCCTCCCCAGCCTCGGGGGCCTTATGGTACATGGTCACGATCTGCAGAACCCAGAGAAGTGTCAGTATTCAGCCCCCTCCCTCCCCTCACCACTGCCCAGGGGAGGCCCCTGCACACGGCACCGTCCCCACCCCAATCCCTGTGTGTGGAATCCAGAACATCTGAGGTCCAGGCCAGCTCTGAGTCTCAGGATTTCCTGTGTGTCCGTGTGGTTTGGGGATGTTTGAGCCACACTGGACAGTGCTCAGGGGCTACTCCTGGCTCTGTGCTCGTGAGTGACCCCTGGTGGTGCTTGGGGGAACCACATGAGGTGCCAGGGATGATACTGGGGTTGATTCTGAAGCTCATTTGTGTGTGTGTGTATGTGTGTGTGTGTGTGTGTGTGTGTGTGTTTGATGGTGCTCAGGGGTTATTCCTGACTCTGCCTTTCCTTCTTTCTTCTTTTGGGGGGGTTTCAGATTTTCCAAAGTCCTGGGCACAGAAGCCCCACATCCTCTACTCTCCAGACTCTTTGTCTTGACAAAGAATCACTCCTGGTAGGTTTGGAAATCCCGTGGAATGCAAGGGATCAAACCTGGGCTAGTCACATGCAAGACCAGCGCCTGGCCTGCTATACTATCGCTCCGGCCCTGAGAAGTTCATTTTAAAATTTCTTTGGGGGCCACACTCGGCAGTGCTCAGGGCTCACACCTGGCTCTGTGCTCGGGGGAGGGGGCCCCTGTATCATATCGGGGATTGCACCTAGCTGTGCAAGCAAGTGCCTGAACTCTGTGCAATGTCTCCAGCCCCTAGGGAGGGTCCTGAGTTTGCTCTGCTATCTGCTATGACCGTTCAAATGACCGCTCATTTCCATCGTGTTTGGGGGAGTAAGTTGGCCTCAGCTGGGCCCAGAAGATGCTCTTGAGGGGAGACCCCCCGCCCCGACTTACTGAGATTGTCCCCGTCCCTCTGCCGCTGGCTTTGATCTCCAGGTCATCCAGAGCTGAGAACTAAGGGGAGACGAGAGAGAAACGACGGTAAGGCGCAATGCGGGGCAGAGGAGGCGGGTGACGGACATCACTTTGGCCCCTCCTTCTTTCTTCTTTTGGGGGGCTTTGCAGATTTTCCAAAGTCCTGGGCACAAAAGTCCCCTATCCTCTACTCCCCAGACTCTCTGTCTTGACATCCTTGTCTCTCTGCCCTAACCAGCCCTCCCCGCACGTCCCTCATGACCAGAGTGAGCACTTCACTGTCTGCTTCTGGCAACTCAAGCCCATCACTCCTGGGCTGAAGGCCTGACTCCTGGCCCTGCCTGGCTTTGTACCCCACCAGATTCCCCTGCCTCCTGTCTGAGCACCCCTGTGCACGCTGAGGGTGCCCCCACTCAATGCTGTTTCCCAGCCTGTCACATTCTCCACCTCCACAGCCCTCCCACTGCCCCACTGAGCATATGTGTGACCTTGGACACATCCCTTTCCTTTGTGATCTTTTTTCCCCTGCTATATTTGGAGATGCTCAGGGCTTACTCTAGACTCTTCACCTGGGGATAACTCCTGGAAGTGCTCAGGAGACTCTATGGGGTACCAGGGATCGAATCAAGGTCAGCGTCATGCAAAGCAGGCTTTGGTGTGTGGGCCCCACTGGCGGTGCTCAGGGGTTACTCCTGGCTTTGCTCAGAATCACTCCTGTGGGCTGCCGGGGATCAAACCCATGTCGGCTGCGTGCAAGACATGCTCCCTCCTTGCTGTACTATCACAAGGCAAGCGCTGTACTCTCTCTCCAGCCTTAATGCGTAGTTTTGTCTCCTTTCCTTCCTCCCCCAATTTCCCATAATAGGCTAATAAATAGTGCCCACTCTCTAGCTCACTTCCTGTTAGCTGTTGCCCTATGACAGCTTTATATTATTCTGATATAAATATGGAGATAATGCCCTCTCCTGCTCAGAACCCTGCTTGGCTTCTATTCCCTTGAATAAAAGTCAAAACCTCACCCCCAATTCACAAGGTCTAACCCTGTGGTCCCGTTTTCTTGGCTTTTGGGGTAACATCCTGGCGACGCTCACATGTTACTGCTGGCTCTGTACTCTGGCGTTACTCCTGGCATTGCTCAGAGGATCCATGGGATGCCAGGCAGTGAACCTGAGTTGGTCGTGTTCAAGGCAAACACCCTCCCCACTGTACTATTGTCCTGCCCCCTCCCCACAGTGGTCCCTTGACCTTTCTCCTCCTTGTTTCTGCATCCACACCAGCTTCCTTGCTCTTCTGGGAACATTCTTGCCTCAGGGCCTTTGTACCTTCTCTCTCCTCTGCCTGCAAGACTCACTACTTCCTAAAGGACCTTGCTCAGATGTTCTTACCTTGGTTGAGATATACCCTCCCCAGGCTGTCAAATATTGCAACTCTGGGCACACTATAGGATGCTGGGGATTGAACTTGGGTCAGCCATGCAAAAAGGCCAGCACCCTGCCCACCCAGGGCTGTTCCTGGCTGTGCGCTTCTGACACTGCTTGTGGGACAGCATAAGGTGGGTGCTGAGCAATTGAAGCAGGGACTTTCACCTGCAGAGCCTATGCCCTCAGCCCTGTGAGCCACCCTCCAACCCCCGCCCTCAAAGGGGCACGAATCCCTCGTTCCCTCCTTGGGATTACCTTGGCTGTGCGCTGCTGATAGGCGTTGCTCTGGTCGACGACCCACTCCAAGTTAAGGGCTCTCTTGGGGATGCTGATCTGCACATAGAGATCCTGGATTCCCTCAGCGTGGACCGCCTGGCGGTAGCGGGTCAGAGCCTCCATGGCCACTACTGTGGTCTGTGGGGTTGGGAACCAGGAGCGCGGATCAGCACCGCGGACAGCGCTTCCAACAGGGCGTCAGCACCACGGACAGCGCCCGGCCCCGCCCAGCGCCGCCCTCTCACCTGGGTGGACCGGAAGCCCCCACCCAGCTCCCTCTGCTCGAGGAGCCACTTGGCGATGGTGTGTGTCTCGTTGTGCAGACCCAGCCGCAGCTTCTGCATCAGGATATAAGCCATGGCCTCGATGCTGGACAGGGAGAAGGTCTGGTGCTGCCCCAGCATCAGCGTTTTACCTGGATGACAGGGAAGCCCACCCTGTCACCCCAATATGATTTTTTTCCTTTTGTGTTACATCCTGCTCAGAGGTTACTCCTGGCTCTGCCCTCAGGAATCACTCCTGGAGGGGCTCAGGGGGTAACATAGGATGCTGGGAATCGAACCTAGGCCGGCCTCGTGCAAGGCAAACGCCCTCCCCGCTGGACTACCATCCAGCCCCCCTCACTCCCATCTGAGCCGCATCTCCCTACACTCACTTTCTTGCGGGGGGTGGTTTCCTCTGACTTATTTATTTGCACGTGTGTAGCGGCAGGGGGTGGGGAGTTAGGCCGCACCCAGCTGTGCTCAGGGCTTTCTCCTGACTTTGCTCAGGGGACCCTACATGGCACCGGGGGCCCCGCTGGGGCTGGCCATGTGCAAGGCAAGTGCCTTCCCCTCTGTACTCTATTTTGGCAGCCACACCCATCGGTGCTCAGGGCTTACTCCTGGCTCTGTGCTCAGGGATCACTCCTGGGCTTGGGGACCCTATGCGATGCCGGGCATTGAACCTGGGTTAGCCACGTGCATGGCAAAAGCTTTCCCCATGTAGGATCACTCTGCCCCCCCCCCCATGGTTCCCCTTTTGTACGAGGCCTTTTCCACAGTATGCTGCACCCCAGTAGAGAATGGTGCCTTTGTACTCCCTTTGGACCTCCCCAGGGGCATCAGGGGTGCTGACAAGTAGAGATCACATCAGTCTCCTTCCCCTTGGTCACTCACAGCCAACGTCAGCTATAGGTGCTGAGCCCTGAGACCCACGCAGCGGGGATGGGGCAGCTCCAATTGCCACCTCTCCCCCCACACTCCTCCTGGGACTGTACGATGGTTAACAGGTTCCCAGCACCCACCAAGGTGGTCAAAATTCTGAAGGCAGTCATTGGCTCGGGGGCTCTCGGTGAGGGCGAGTGCATAGGACGCGATGGCTGTAGCAAAGATCGTCTGAATGTGGGGCAGGCGCATCTCCAGGAAGCTGCGGGCACGCTCCATGCTGGCGGGCAAAATCTAGAGAGTCAGAGAGAGGAGGGTGTGGGGGCCAGAGGAGAGGGTTTTGTTTGGGGACCAAGCCCAGCAGGGCTCAGAGCTGACTTCTCCTGGTGCTGCTCTCAGTGCTCACTCCTGGCAGGGCTCGGGGGTCCCTTTGGGATACTGAGGACTGAACCCAGATCAAGCTGCATGCAAGGTGGAGTGCCCTCCCCGCTGTGCTAATGCTCCTTTTTTTTTTCTCGGGGGGGGGGGGTGAGGTTCCAGCTAGCAGTGCTCAGGGCTTCCTCCTGGCTCTATGCTCTGGGATTACTCCTGGTGTGGGTCATGGGCAGTGCAGGGGATAGAACCGGAATCAACCACGTACAAGCACGCAAGGCAAGTGCCTAAGCCCTGTGCTGTCTCTCGCCTTTGTCCTCTCCAGCACTTACCGGTACTTCCTGTTTGCACATGTCCATCCCCTCCTCCAGGGCGATCAGGACCAGGGCCGTAAGGGACACGTCTGCCTCAGAACCCTTGTAGCCACCCTGTGGGCACAGAACCACACTCGTGAACCACCCCTGACAGTGCTCAGGGATTCCTCCTGGCTCTGTGTTTAGGGGTCACTCCCGGCAGGACTTGGGGTGTGTGGAGGGACATACGGGATGGTCGGATTCAAATTCCCAGCCTGTCCATCTGACAGGCTCACACTCCCGCCCTCTGAGCTGTCTCCCTGACTTTGAACTTCACCTTTAATGTGATAGGGGCCATGGCAGAGACAGGCCTGGGGGATTCAGGGGAGACTTCCTGGAGAAGGTGGTGTCTGAAGGCCCAGCACAAGGGGGTTGGGTGAGGGGGGATGGGAGGGGGGATTACCACGAAGAGGGGGCAGCCTCAGAAAAAGACAACTGAGTTGGAGTTGGTGAGGATGGTGCAAAAGGGGGGAGAGAGCGAGAGAGAGCGAGAGAGCACTGTAATCCAGGAAAAGAGAGCACTGTGAGCCAGGGAGACCCCTTCTTTCTGAATGTTTGAAAGTGGCTGGTGGGGCCAGAGCGATAGCACAGCGGGTAGGGCATTTGCCTTGCATGCAGCTGACTTGGGTTCGATCCCCAGCGTCCCATATGGTCCCCCAAGCACCGCCAGGAGTGACTCCTGAGTGCAGAGCCAGGAGGAACACCTGAGCACTGTGGGATGTAACCCCTGAAACAACAACAACAAAAAAGCCAATAAACAAGAAAGTGGCTGGTGGAGGATCCTTTGGTAAGAACTGGGATGGTGAAACTAGAGAGAAAAAACAGTAGGAGGGTTTCTGCCTTGCACGCGGCTGACCCAGGTTCAATCCTCAGCACCCCGCAGGGTCCCCTGAGCCCCTCCAGGAGTCAGCCCTGAGCACTGTGGCGTGTAACCCCTGAAACAACAAGAAGAAAAAACTGAAGTCCTGGCTGGGGCGCAGGGACTTCAGCCCTGGGGTGAGGAGTGAGGGGGGCCAGGGCGGAGGCCCCTGCTGGGCTGGCGGGTGAGTGAGGCACATGCACTGGGGGAGCCCCAAGCGCACTCCATGGCCCTGGGGTGGCGGGTCCGAGGTACCTGCATGGAGGCCATCACCACGGGGCCACGCTCCACGAAGTGGCCATCCTCCGCCTGCCGCTCCCGGCAGAGCCAGTCGGCCATGGCGCACAGAGACTTGAGGTCCAGCCCGGGGATGGTCGCAGTGTGCTGGGCCAGTGAGTAGATCCGGAACACATAGCTGGTGAGCCTGGAGGGAGGGAGGGGAGCCGCTCAGGACGCCCCGTTCCCTGCTCCCGGGGGCAGCTGACCCGCTGGGGCCGTGCCCAGCCCAGCACGCGAGGCACCACGAGGCGCTCCTACCACGTGATGGCCACTGCTCTCACCAGGTACTCCCAGGGCGGCCCTTGCTGATGTGGTAGGTGCCATCTGCGCTCCGGTGCGTCACCATCCGGGTGTAACCTGGGGGTGCCGGGTGAGGAGAACATGTGGAGCTGGGATGTTGGGGTCCTGGAACGGGCTGGTGGGTGAGATGACTTGAAGGGGTAGCCTTGGGACTTCCTTCAGTTTTGTTGAGTTTGGGGGCCACACCCGTGAGTGTTCAGGGCTGACTCCTGGCTCTGAGCTCAGGGATCACTCCTGGTGGGCTTGGGGGGACCCTGTGGGGTGCCAGGGATCAAACTCGGCTTGTGCAAGGCAAGTGTACTTCCCGCTGTCTCCTTTCTGGGCCAGGGCTGGGCGTTTCTGTTGGAAACAGCTGGAATCTGGAGTCTGGCCTCACTGGAGAAGTGGGGGGCCCTATGTCTGGTACCTGGGGGTGCTGAACGTCACCTTGGGAGGTGTGGTCATTTGGGTGTGATCAGGCTACCAGAACCCCCCTGCCTGGTTCCTCTGGAGTTTTCTCTTTGGTGGGGGTCCTGGGGGTGGAAGAAGGGAAGCAGTCATGGAAACCGTTGCTTGGGGTAAGTAGGGGTATCTGGGTCAGCCCAGAAGAAATTGGAGTGTCTGGGTCAGTTTGAAGGGAATTGGGGTGTCTGGGTCAGTTTGAAGGGAATTGGGGTGTCTGGGTCAGTTTGAAGGGAATTGGGGTGTCTGGGTCAGTTTGAAGGGAATTGGGATGTCTGGGTCAGTCTGGAGGGAATTGGGGTGTCAGGGTCAGCCTGGAGGGAATCAGGGTGTTTGGGTCGGCCTGCGGCCTGGGAGAAGATGGGGTCATCTGGAGGAGGACTTTGTCACTCTTGGGGTGGGGATAGCTTTGTTATCTGGGGGAGTTGCCAGAGTTCAAGTGTCATCCCGGGATTCCCAGGAGGCACCTGTTTTGGGAGCCCCCGGGTGGTTGGGTCTGGTAGCCGGCCAGAGTCTGGGCATTTTTGTCTGGGGGTCAGCTTTACCCCCAACCCTGTCCAGGAGGGGACACTCACCGCTGACAATGTTCTTGGCCACCTTTTCCCGGAGCTCCACCCCGACCTGGCCCCACTGGCCGGTGGTGTCCAGGTAGCGGGTCAGCAGGACGAGGGGTGCCAGGGAGCTCAGCGTCTGCTCAGGGCACCCCGTAGGGATGCTCAGTAGCCTTCTGCTCTCTTGGGGGGTCAAGCTGCCCAGGACAGTCTCCGCCAGGATGTCCCCTGGGAGTGGTGAGGGGTGTCAGCCGTGGAGTGGTCCCCTCCGCCTGCCCCACGCCCCCGTCCCTGTCCCCACCTTGAACACTGATGAAGACTTCAGCCTCGGTTCCGGGTACTTGGTTCTGGATGTCCTTCCGGGGCACCCTCATCATCTGGGTCTGTCCTGTCCCCACCATGCGATGTTGGGACCGAGCAGGTTTGGGTGATGGGCACGTGGAGGAGACCACACAGGGTTTGTGTACCCCATCAGCACCCTCAGTTCAGCCCCTTCCACCACCCTCCATGCACCCCTCCACCCTGCCCCAATTCCTACCAACCTTCAGGGCTCAGCAGGAAGCTCTGGGAATTCTTCTCTATCTGCCCTTCGGGCTGTAGGAAGCAGAAAAAGACGGGTTCTGTAGCAGCTGGAGGAAGCACAGCACAGGCACAGCACACAAGGGGGTGGAGGGAGACAGGGCGGAGCTGTAGTCCAGTGAGGAGGGCATTTGCCTTGCATGTGGCCAACCCTAGTTCAAGTCCCAGCAAACCATAGGGTCACCCAGGCACTGCCAGGAGTCATTCCTGAGTGCAGAGCGTGAAGTAAGCCCTGAGCACTCCTGGGTGTGGCCCCCAAACAACAGCACAGAAAGAAAGAAAGAAAGAAAGAAAGAAAGAAAGAAAGAAAGAAAGAAAGAAAGAAAGAAGAAAACAAGAAAAAGTAAAACTATAAAGAGCTGGGCTTAGATCTCAGCTCTTCTGTGCTTGTGCTGTGTGACCTGGGACTGGCTACTTCATCTCTCTATGCCTCCCTTGTCCCGTCTGTAAAAAAAAGGGAGAAAATAGTAACATTTCTGGCTTCCCAGTCCAGAAGGCTCAGGGAGGTTCCTTAAAACTTTCTATCGTTACGTTCTTTTTTCTTTTGTTGGGGGACTTTGTACTACGCTCCAGCTTCACGTCCAGTCATTATGATGAACAGGATTTAAAATTTATTCATAAATAAAAAAAATTTAAAAAATGTATTTGCATTTTTGGTTTGGGGGAGCCACGGTGTTCAGGGCTTGGTTATAGATGGTGCTGGGACTTAAAGCAAAGTTGTTGGGGCCAGAGTGATAGGAACAGTGGGGGGGTGGGCATTTGCCTTGCATGAGGCTGACTGGGTTCGATCCCCAGCACCCCACAGGGTCCCCTGAGCACTGCCAGGACGATTCCTGAGTGCAGAGCCAGGAGTGACGCCTGAGCATTTCCGGGTGTAAGCAAAAAACAAAACAAAACAAAAAGCCCAAACCCCAAAACAAAACCAAAAAACCAGTGAGGGGCCAGCGCGATCTTACTGAGGGCAAAGCCGACCCGACTTCAGTCCCCGGCACCCCAGAGGGTCCCCCTCAAGCACCACCAGAAGTGATCCCTGAGCACAGAGCCAGGAGTCAGCCCTGACCTCACTGGGTGTGGCCCCCAGACAAAAACAAGCTCAGCGTTGTTGGGATGCGAGACCAGTGCTTCCAGCCCTGGACTGTCCAGCCTGAGATACTGGCGGGCTGAGTGACCCTCAGCTGAGCACTGTGGGCCTGACGATAGGGTGTTGGAGCCCAGTCATGCTCCAGCAGGGATGGAGCTCGGGACCTCAGACCTGTGCCCCTGCTCCAGTTATTATTACTAAAAACAACACCAAGTGGGCCCAGGGCAGTGTGTGCAGTTTTCACGGTGCTGGTCTCAGGGACGTGGATATTTTTTTACCTTTTTGGGTCACACGCGGTGATGGACAGGGGTTATTCCAGGCTTTGCACTCAAGAATTACTCCTGGCAGTGCTTGGGGGACCAAATGGGATGCTAGGAATCGAACCTGGGTTGGCCACATGCAAGGCAAACGCCCTACCCACTGTGCTATCGCTCCAGCCCCTCTCATGGACATGGAGATGCGTCTCATCCCACGAAGGAGGCAGTGGGAGCACTGTGGGGGGAGGCATCCTCCACACGGGCACACAGCGGACAAAGCAGCCAGCCTGGCACCAGACAGCCCCCAGGAGGGTGTCCTGGGAGTGAGTGTCCTGGTGTACCCCCCTCACTCCCATCCAGGGGCCTGTTGCTTGACCCAAGGGCCACCTCCCAACTGTCCCTCCCAGGGACTTAGCTGGGAGCCTGGGGAGGGTCCCTCCGCACCCCCATCTCTGCTTGGGTCCATTACCCGGACCAGGAGGGTCTTCCTTATGTGATCTCGGGCTTCGATGCTCACAATCTTCACCTCCACGTCCACCTGACCGGTCTCCAGGGGGATGAGCATGTAGGGTACCATCTTGGATGAGGTGGGGGGCACGACCACCCTCTGACGCCAGGGGGATCCTGGCTTGGACGCGCTGCACAGAGTCTCCTTGTGTGGGAATTCCACTCGGACCTGGGGGCGGGGCGGGGGGTGGTTGGGGTGCATGTCTGTCCTCCCTGCTTCCTGCGGCCCTGAGGATCCCCAGAGCAAAGATCCTTCTTTGTGTTGTGTCACCTCAGGGAAGCAGCTGCACCTCCCTGGCCTCCTTTTCCTCCTCTCTACGTGTGACATTGCAGGAACTGGGAGATCATATAGGAGTGAGGGTGTATGGTTGGCATGCGTGGGTTCAATTCCCAGCACCATGCAGAAACTCGGCCCCACAGAAATGGCTGGGTGCACTAAAGGACCTTTCGGGTGTCAGCCCTCGAGGCCTCTGGTCATCACTGGGGTGGCCCAGGTGACCTCCAGCACCTCATCCTTGAGACCTGCATTGAATCACCGCCCAATTGGCCAGGAATTGCCAGTGAGGACCCTGTCCAATTTCTTGAACACTGCTGTTGCCCCCCCCCCAACAGAAAGCATCATGGTCACCCCCTCCCCTCCACTTGGGTCAGTATATAAAGGAGGCAAAGGGGAAAACAGCGTAGACAAAACAACTTTGCCAAAGAGGTCGGTGGTTTCCAGTCCCTTAGTGCTCTCCCACTTTATTATTTAATTTTTTAAAATTTATTTTTGCTTTTGGGACAACAACAAGCGGTGCTTGGGGGCGACTCCTCGCTCTGCACTCAGGAATTACTCCTGCCGGTGCTCAGAGGACCCTCTGGGATGCCAGGAATCGAGCCCCAGTCAGCCACCTGCAAGGCCAGATCCCTACATACTGTACTATTATTACTCTGGCTGTCAATTTTATTATTTTAATTTTAAGGGTTCTTTTCCTTTGGGTGGGGGGACACACCTGACAGTAGTCAGGGTCATTCCTGGCAGTGCTCCAGGGACCCTGCCCAGCCGCCATGCCAGGCAAGTGCCTTACCCGCGGTGTAATCTCTCCAGCCCTGCCTCCCCCATTAGAAGGTGCACTGAGCAGTATCTCAGGGCGAGGAGGGTCTCAGAGGGGCTTTACCCGCACAGCCTGGTCTCTGAAATTGTACAGCACGGCTTGCACCTGGATCTGCTCATTCCTGATCACCGAGTGAGGTAACTTGAGATCCACAAAGAACGACTTTTGAACTGTCAGCTCCAGGGGCTCAGAGACACAGAGGCCTAGAGAGAGGAGAGTGCCCACAGGGGTGAAGGGGCTGGACGAGGGGCTGCGGGTTCCCCGGCCCCCTTAGTACTGGCCTGGGGGAGGTTCACCTTGGCCTTCCTTGAGACTCACAGCCACCAGCTGCCAGGTGGTGATGGAGTCAGGCATGTAGATCTCAGTGGTGTAATGGGATATGCTGTAAAGGAGAAAGGGCCGCTGAGTGCCTGCGACTCGGACAGCTGTCCAGGGGAGCCGTGACAAGATATGCGTGGGACCCGACCAGGAGGTTCCAAACAGGTTCCTCTTAGCGACCTGGCCTTGGCAATCCTCACTGATGCTCGGACCAAGGACCAGAGGCTATGGGGCAATGCAGAGTGATCCTACCCAGACTGATGCTCAGACAAGGTAAATGTTTTCCAGAGCCAGCTCTCTGGGAACGAAGTTCGAATAGGCAGATCCTCTAGGAAGAAATCCTCATCCTCATCGTCTTCGTCATCACCTGCAGAGGCACCAGGGGGCGTGGTCTCGTTTAGCCCCTCCCCTTATGTAGATATGGGCGGGGCCTCCTTCCAGCCCTTCCAATCAGACACTTCCAGGGGCAGAGTCAGCGCTCAGTCCCTCCTATTATGCCCTCTTGGGGGCGGGATCTGCTTTCCGTTCCCCCCCCTTTCCCCGCCCAGAGGCAAGAACTTCCCTCAGTCCCTCCTTTCAGACCCTCTTCCCGGGGGCGAGCTCTGCTCTCAGTTCCTCCTGCCAGATACCTCTGGGGGCGGAGTCTGCTCCCTGCTCCTCCTATCATAGCCCTGGGGGCGGAGTCTACTCTCAGTCCCCCCCTATCAGATCTTCTCAGCCCCTCCTATTAGAGCCTTCTGGGGGCTGGGTCTCCTCTCAGGTCCTACTATCAGATCTTCCCTGGGGCCTGGTCTACTTCCAGCTCCTCTCCTCAGACAAGGTTAGAGGTTTGGGGGAAGGCGGTGACCTCCTCCCGCTGTCCCTTCTGCACTGTGTCCCTTGCTGCTGCTGCTCACTTGTCCCCAGGAACAGCTGCTCCTCCCGGGCCTGCTGCGTCAGAGCCTCAGACAGGTGGCAGCAGCTCAGAAATGCGGCCACGCAGGCTGGCCCGGGTCGCACGTGCCGCTTCCTCTCCTCGCAGGTCAGCCCCGCAGGGCTCTCCCGGAGCCCGGCCTCACAGCACTTCCGCTCCAACTGGGTCTCGAACTTGTCCACTGTGGGGCGGGGTTAGGAGTTAGCATGGTGAGGCTGGGTAGGACGAGAGGCGAGTTGGTAGGGACACGCACTTCTCAGCCGGGGATGTCTGGCCCCACATGCTGCCCCTGACCCTCTGCTGAGCGCTGACCCCTGCAGGTTCACAATGAATCCCGAGGAATAGTTCTCCTAGGGAAGCTGAGTTTCAGAGAAGCCAATACTCTGGCTCAGGTCACACAGCACACACAGGCTTCTCCACTTCCCTTTCTCCTCCTTCCCTCTCTCTATCCACCTTTTTTTCTCCTCCTCCTTCTTCTCTGTCAACAGGAGGAATTACCATAACAAACAGTTTCTAGAATCCAGCATGTCTGCATTATATATATATAATATATAATATATATATGTATATATATATTGGTAGATGGGGGCTGTAGCGATATCTGACCAGGATTCAATTCCTCTGTCCCTCTTAGAGAGCCTGACAAGCTACTGAGAATATCCCACCCGCATGGCAGAGCCTGGCAAGTTCCCCGTGATGTATTTGATATGCCAAAACCGGTAACAAGTCTCACAATGGAGACATTACTGGTGCCTGCTCGAGCAAGTCGATGAACAAAGGGAGGAGAGTGCCACAGTGCTACAGTGGAGGGAGGCATACCCAGCTGTGCTCTGGGCTCACTCCTGCAGTACTTGGGGGACCCTGTGTGGTGTTGGGGGATTAGTTGTGTGCGAGGCAAGCAACTTACCCACTGTACTCTCTGGCCCTGAGGTTTGCATGATTTTGAGATCAAAATGAAAAGGTTTTTAACCTTTGCTTTTACTAGATTCTATATTTCCTCTGATCTAGCTCCACCAATTTAGCTTAAAGCAATGGAAACTAATATTAATACAAATCCCACCTCTAATACCAGCCAGTGAGCAGGTGATAAAAGTTTCCCTCCTCCTGGGGGCCAGAGAAATAGCACAGTGGGGAGGGCGTTTGCCTTGCACACGGTCAATCTAGGTTCCATCTCTGACATCCCATAGGGTCTCCCAAGAACCGCCAGGAATAATTCCTGAGTGAAGAGCCAGGAGTAAGCCCTGAGCACCAGCAGGTGAGCCCCCAAACCAAAAGTTTTCCCCTCCCTACTTGAAGTAGCTGACGGTTCCCGGTTCTCTGGTGCAAGCGCTGATGGCTTCAGTCCGTTGGGGCCAGGACACGCGTGCCCAGTTTCAGTTCTCACCTGCATTTTTCTTGGCCTGTATCCTCTTCAGCTCCCGGCGGCGACGAGTAACGGGGGGCTCCTGGGGGCATCGCCAATCTGGAGGTCAGAGGGAAGAGCGGGAGGAGAAGCCAGAAGACCTTTACCAACAATCCTGATCATTTCAGGGTTGCAGCTGCATGAATGTGTGTCTATTGCTTTTTGGGGTGAGTGGGGTGGGGGCACAGCCAGCAGTGCCCATGCTTACTCCTGGTTCTGTGCTTAGGGATCACTCCTGGCGGGGCTTGAGGTACCCTATAGGATGCTGGGGATTGAATCCAGGTTAGTGGCCACATGCAAGGCAATTGCCTGTGGTACTGCTCTGGTAGTACTGCTGTGGTATTGCTCTGGTCCCATTGGCCTTCCTTCCCTCTAGTCTGTGACACTGAAACCTCTATCTTCTTTTTGGGGGAGTCATTGGGATTGGGCTGCACCCAGTGGTTTTCAGGCTGTACCCAGGTTTGGTGCTCAGGGGTCACTCCCAGCAGTACTCAGGAAGTACACTGCGCTGGGGAAGCACACAGGCCACGTGCATGACAAGCCCACGCTCTTTTTTTTTTTTCTTGTTGGGTCACACTAGCAATGCACAGGGGTCACAGGGGTTACTCCTGGTTCTGCACTCAGAAATTACTCCTGGCAGTGCTCGGGGGCCCATACGGGATGCTGGGAATCGAACACGTGTCTGCCACGTGCAAGGCAAACGCCCTTCTCGCTTGCTGTCGCTCAAGCGCCACGTTCTGTCTTTTGAGCCCTTTCCCTAACCCCTAAAGTTCCATCTTTGTTTGTTTGCTTGTTTGGGGCCACACCCAGTGGTGCTCAAGGCTGATTCCTGACTCTGTGCTCAGGGATCACTCCTGGTAGATTCAGGGGACCTACAGGATGCCAGGAAGTGAACCTGGATCAGGCGCATGTAAGGCCGACACTCTCCCTGCTATGACTGTCGCTCCATCGCTCCAGTCCCTTAAGGTTCATCTTTTTGTTGTTGTTGTTTTGGGGGCCACACCTAGCAGTGCTCAGGGATTTCTTCTGGCTCTGCCCTCAGGAAGTACTCCTGGTGGTGCTGGGGGGGGGTCCTTGTGGGGTTCCAGGGATTGAACCAGGTTGGATGTATGCAAAGCAAATACCCTCCATGCTGCACCTTCCAGTTCCCTAAAGCTCCATCTTTTTGTTTGTTTGTTTGTTTTGGTCACACCCAGCAACGCTCAGTGGTTACTCCTGGCTCTGCGTTCAGGAATTACCCCTGGTGGTGCTCAGGGGACCATATGGGATGCTGGGAATCGAACCCAGGTCGGCCGCACCGAAGGCAAACGCCTACCCACTCTGCTATGCTCCAGCCCCTCCATCTTTTTTGGATTGTGAAGTGACAACAGTTCTCGACCTTTCTTGCACCTCTGTGGGATCATGTGACTGAGCGTCTGGGCCAATGAGATACAACAGAACCATCTCCCTTCACTCGGCCTTTCATTTCAGTGCCTTGCATGAGGTCCTGGGGAGATCACATTTTGGAATATAGTAGAGCACAAGGAGCCTGCATTCTGAGAGGGAAATAAAAATCTATCTTTATTCAGCCTGGAGGCACTTGCTTTATACAGGCTGATCTGGATTCGAGCCCTGGTATCCTATCCGAGCATCACCAGGAGTGATTCCTGAGCACTGAGCCACAAGTAACCCCTGACCACTGCTGGGCATGGCCTAAAAGACTAAAAAAAAAAATGGAGTGTGGCTAGGGGGCCACACCCCACAGTGCTTGGAGCTTCTCCTGGCTCTCCATTGGGCATTGTTCCTGGTGGTCTTCTGTGGACCTTGTGGTCTTCAGTGAACCTTGAATCAGGACCAGCTGTGTGCAAGGCAGATGCCTTAACCCCTGGACTATCTCTCCGGTTCCTATTTTATATTTTTGGTCTCCTGCAAAGTCATTGGGTGCCTGGGGGTGGGGTCCTCCCAGTGATCCTTGGTCAGGCTGAGCCTGCCAAAGGGCCCAATGCTTGAGCCTCATAGTCCTGGAGGACCATACTTGGCAATGACCTGGGGACACCAGGGCTGTACTCAGTAGTGCTCTGGGGCCAACTGGTACCAGGGGTCAAACCTGGGGTCTCACACATACTGCACATGTGTTTCGCACTTTGAGCTCTCCTCCCTCGCTTTGCCAGCTGTCTGACGAACAACATCATACTCGTTTCAGGGAGTCATGGGAACAGAGGAATTGTGAGTGGCCTATTTTAAGTGACAGGTTCTCAGCTCAACCACTCCACGGTGCTTCCCTTGCTCCCCCCATCTCCTCCAGACCCCCCTTTTGCCTGTACCTGAGCTTGCCAGAGTGTCCATCCCTGTGCTCAACTTTAAGTCCAGTCCAGCATCCTTGAACACAGCGAGTCTGTCTTTCCCGCTGCCCGCTGTGCAGCCAATGTCATGCTCCTCCACCACATCCCAGACCTGGGGTCAAAAGAGCAAGCCAAATGGTGAGCCAGTAAAATTCCCTGCCCACCAGGAAGACAGGCAGTACGATGAAAAATTGTCTCGGTTAATTCTCTCACTATCATCCATATATTAAGCCCTTACCACATGCCAGTCTCTATTATGGAATGGTGCCTTGAATACCCATACACATTGATATTGTCCCTTTTTAAAAAGGACCATGCCCACAGTGCTCGGGCTTACTCAGTGTCAGGGACTGCTGCTGGAGGTGCTCAGGGGACCTTGCAGTGCCGGGGATCAAGCCCAGGCATCCCATATATAAAGCAAATGCTTCTGCCCCTTGAGCCACTCCCTGATGTTGTCCATCTGGAGCTGAAGAAACTGAGGCTCTAGCTAGAAATTTCCAGGCAACCGGGGCTGGAGAGAGAGGACAGCGGGAAGGGTGCTTGTCATGCACACATCTGACTCAGGTTTGATCCCTGGCACCCCAGAGGGTCCCCTGAGCACCACCAGGAGTGATCCCCGAGAACAGAGCCAGGAGTAAGCCCTGAGCATGAATAGGTGTTACTCCGAAACAAAATGAAACAGAACAAAATCTCCAGGCTGCCTCTTGTCCCAAAGCCCACGTGCTCTCACCTTCTTCTGTGTGAGCTTGTGTTTGCTGTTCAGGACATGGAGAGCCTTGTCCACCACCAGCAGCCCAACTGTGGCCTCTGCATTGCCCGTGACCTTCAGTTCCACTTTGCTCTGAGGTGATAAACTCAGAATAGTGTCTTCATTCTTCAATCCAACTTTCAGCTGATCCAGAAAAAAGACACTCAGCCCCCCAGCTCATTTTCAAATTCATCCTCTATACAGAGCCTCAGGGAACTCCACCACCAAGTTCCAGCAACACACACTTGTGTGCAACCTTCTTCAGGCTCCTGGCTCAGCCCTCCCTTCTCTTTTTCTTTTGGTTTTGAAACCACATCTGGATGTGCTCAGCGTTTATCCCTGGCTCTGGGTTTAGCGATCACTCATGCTGGGGCTCTGTGAACCCTCTGGGGTGCTGGAGAAAGAATTCAGGTTGGCTGAGTGCAAGGCAGGTGGTCTATTGCTGTACTATTGCTCTGGGCTGAGCTCTTAAGGCCACACTATCTCCTTTTCCCACCTGTGCCCTTAGCAGGAGTCAGTCAATTGGGCGGGTACCCTGACTTATGAAGGTGCCTTACAACTTCAGGGAGTGTGACTCACCGTCCCCATACACCTGTCATTCACATCGATCCATAACGAATCAGACACCAGTTCAGGGTCCCCGCCTGTCCTCCCTGGGGGCAGTAGGTAGAAGGCCACGATACGGATGGAGGGCAACATGTCTGGGCTCACATCAATGATGGCTGTGGTGTAGACGCTTCCAGGACTCCTTGGCTGGTATCTGGCGCCCACGATCTGGCCCTTACTCAGGATCTTGGAAGCAAAGAAGTCCCAGAAGAGAAGGGTAGAAATAACCCTTCCCCTGGGCGGGCCCAGTCCAAAAAAGGGTCACAGTGTCTCAGGTTCAGCCCTTTTGGACTGAGTTTGTCCTAAGTAGTTCTCATAAATCCCAGATAGTGTTATTCCATGGTGGTCTGCATTGGTGGGGAATTCCTTCAAGTCCTGACCCTCCAATAATAGGGCCTGAGTCCGAATGGGAGAGGCCTGCTCTCAGCCCTCCTATGAAAACCCACTTGGGGATGGGGTCTGCTCTCAGCCCCTCCTATCATATCCCCACGGGGGACAGGTCTGCCCACCAGACCCTTCCCTTCCACCAGACTCTCTGGGGTGTGGTCTCCTTCCAGTCCCTCCCATCAGACCTTCCTGGGGGCGTGGTCTCCTTTCTGTCCCCCCCCCCTCAGATCTTCCTGGGGTGGGGTCTCCTTTTTGTTCCTCCTATCAGATCCTCTTAGGGGCGTGGTCTCCTTCCAGTCCCTCCTATCAGACTCTCTTGGGGGCGGGGTTTCCTTCCAGTCCCTCCTATCGGATTCCCCCGAGGGCGGGATCTCCTTTCAGTCCCTCCCACCAGGCCCGTTCTCACCAGAATGGTGAAGTGCGTGATCTGCTCCTTGGTGTGTGGGTCCCGATGCTTCGTATTGAGGTTCAGCTGGAGGACGCTGCCGACGTCTGTGCCCAGAGCCTTCAAGTCGATGTGCAGGAAGTTCCCTGACCCATCCTGGGTTGCGTAAGGCAAAGCCGTCATCGTGGCTGAGGCCTGTTCCTCTGGCCGGAGAGACTCGTCCTTCGTTTCCACCTGGGGAGGGGAGCGGGAGAGCAAACACCCCAAGGACCCCTGCAGCCGCTCTCCCCCACCCTTCATAGCCCCCAGCCCTGCCTGTCGGCTCAGTACCTGGATGGGCAGCTGCTGCCAGTTGGCGTCCGTGTTGATGGTCATGGCAGCGATCCCGCTGGGCGAGCTGAACACACTCTGGTTTCGGTAGCAGACGGAGACTCTGGAGGCCGGGGACCCATCGGGGTTCGAAACAAAGAGCTGGGGTGGAACGTGGGGTGGAATGAAGGGCGGGCTCTGGATGGAAGTGGTGTGATGTGAGGGGTGGGGACTAGGGGTGCCATCTGGTTTGATTTATATTGTTTTGTTTTGGGGCCACGCCTCCAAGTACTTATGGAGGGCTGATTCCAGGCTCTGCGTTCAGGGACACACCTGACAAGGCTGGCTGGGGGCGGGTGGGGGGACTGTCTAGCGCAGGGATTGAACTGGGATGGCCTTGCTCTCTCTCTCTCTCTCTTTCCTGAGGGTGTGATCTGGATAAGGCTGTCCTGGGACAGCTGTGTGGGTTGTGAACAATGCCATTTTGGAGCCTGGATTTTCTGGGCACACTTTGTGAAGGGGTGGGGTGTTGGGGGGAATGGGAGGCCTGGGTGTGGCTTTGGGGTTGGAGAGAGTGGGATATGTGGAGGGCTGCAGGAAAACTTCAGAGTAGGGCTGGCATCAAAGGATGTCCGGGAGTCTTTGGAGGAATCAAAGTTTTCCCAACTGCATTATCTGACATCACACAATCACCCTAAATGAATCTGTGAGACAGCATTCTGGGAGGACTGAAGGGGCCTCAAGACCTGCTCCTACGCACAGCTTGACTGTACCTTGAAATTTCCAGAGTAACTCTGGAGCCATCACCTCTTTTGGGGGTGTGGCGCTTCCTCCCTGAATTGGGCCACACCCCAATTCAGGCTCTGTGCTAGAAAGTGCCCCCTGGGGGAACATACATGGCTTCCTTGTGTTATACCTTCTTGTCTCTTTTTTTTTTTTCTTTTTGGGTCACGCCCAGCGATGCTCAGGGATTACTCCTGGCTCTGCACTCCGGAATTACTTGTGGCAGTGCTTGGGGGACCATATGGGATGCCAGGGATTGAGCCCACGTTTGCCACATGCAAGGCAAATGCCTTACCCACTGTGCTATTGTTCCAGCCCCTACTTTATCTTTTTGTTGTTGTTCTTCCTTGGGGCCACACCCAGTGATACTCAAGTGCGACTCCTGGCTCGCAGTGCTCAGGGAATCATATGGAATGTCGGAGATTGAATTTGGGTCGGCCACATGCAAGGTAGATGCCCTACTCATTGTATTATCGCTTCAGCCCCCACTTTCTTCTTGTATTTGGTGGGGGGAAGGCTGGTTTAAGAGTTGAGAAAATGTTGGGATTGGTCTAGGGAACATGGTGAACTCAAATTTCAGGTTGATGAACTGCAGGGGGTGGGGGAGGATGGCAGGCCAGTTCAGTGTGTGCAGAGGGCCCCTGAGCCCCTTAACCCAGACTCTGACCCTAAAGTGGAAGGGCATCCCGGGCTTGAAATACTTGGGCGTCCGGAAGAACTTGAGCTTGTAAGGACTCCGGACAATCTTCACGCCTGAGGCCTCAGCCTGGACCATCTCACCACCTGGAGAGATGGGAACTCCGTGAAGTCTGTGAACGAGGCTTTATTTGGGGCAGGGGATGGGGGAGAGAAATGCCAGGGGTGCCGGTTTTGGGGGTCCATCTTGAGGGGGGCAGGGAAGGACATCTCCTCCCACCCCAGTCCTTCGGACAAGTCCTCGCTTGTATGACAAGGAACAGAGTGTGGGTGTAGACCGAGGTCCTATAGATCTTTTTTTTTTTTTCTTTTTGGGTCATACCCGGCGATGCTCAGTGGTTACTCCTGGCTCTGCACTCAAGAATTACTCCTGTGTGCTCGGGGGACCATATGGGAAGCTGGGAATCGAACCTGGGTTGGCAGCGTGCAAGGCAAATGCCCCACCCGCTGTGCTCCAGCCCCTCCTGGATCTCTTTAGGGTCCATGTCCTGACCTTGGCGTGGGGCGGGTCGTGCTGGGTGAAGGGGTTCACCTGAGGAGAACACGGTGACATTGGCGAACACAGAGGCCCCCAGGAAGTCGTCCTCCATGCCCTGGAATGTAGCCATCAGCGTGTCCTTCTGGAGCACAGCGTGTCCCAAGCCCCTGGAGATCTGATCACGGACAAGCAGGGAAAAGGAGTGGGGTGATTTCTCAGGGAGCAGAGGAGAGGGGTGGGAGGGGGACGTGGCTGGGTGGGATCGGGGTTCAGTCACCTCCACTCTCTGCAGGGAACTCTGGATGGGGATCCGGCGGGAATCCAGCTGCACCCCAAAAATGGCCAGCGCGTGCCCATCTAGGGGCTTGTTGAATATATACCTGGGGGTTGTGAGGGGCCGCCCTGCTACCTCTGAGGTGCTCACACCACCTCAGGGTGCTGCAGAGACAGCTGCGAAGCTCGGGGTGGGGGGCAAGGTGTCCCCGAACAGCTGAAGATGCTTTCGTTGCTGACGTATTCTCCCCTCTGGGAGGTGACAGCTGTGTCTGAGGAGACCTTTTCGGGTTTTAGGTTCTGGCCTGTGCAACCTCATAGGAGGGCAGAGGAGGGGCCGTAGTGGTAGTCCAATGAGCAGGGTGCTGGCCTTGCATGTGGGTTCAATCCCTGGCACCCCACTGGATCCCCCAAGCCCTGCCAGGAGTGATCCCTGAGCACAGAGCCAGGAGTCAGCCCCTGAGCTCCGCCAGGTGTGGCCCCCAAACAAAACATAAACAGTGAAAGGGAAGAGGAAGTGGGAGGGGCAGCACCTGGCAGGCGCAGTCCTTAGTTGGGTACTGTGATTTTGGTGTTTTGAAAACAGGGGAGGAGAGAGAGGAGAGAACACATGATTCTGTACAACCTCGGGGGCCTTCAAGTATGGTCAGAATCTGGAGGTGGGGCCAGTGTGACCTCCTTTACGTAAGGGTCTGTGCACTCTCATCTTTTTTTTTTTTCTTTTTGGGTCACACCCGGCGATGCACAGGAATTACTCCTGGTGGTGCTTGGAGGACCCTATGGGATGCTGGGAATCGAACCCAGGTTGACCGCGTGCAAGGCAAATGCCCTCCCCGCCGTGCTATTGCTTCAGCGCCCTCATCGGGCACACCTACCAGAACACGGCACGGGGAGGGCAACGTTCTGCCAGGAGAGGAAGCGAGGTTGAACCGAGGTCTGTGCAACCTCAGGGAGGGGCGATGCTAAGGACACGGGGTGGGGGTGGGGTGGGACTCACCGAGCCTGGATGTCCACCCCCAGAGCCTCATTTCTGAGGTGGAAGAAGGTCGTATTGGGTTTCAGTTGGACCTCGAAAGGTGGAAGCACTGTGGGGAGGGGCAGAGTGGGCTCCCTCAGCATCCCACCAACCCCCTCCCTGCCCCTCCAGTCCTGCGCCTTCCTGGGTGTCCTGGCACCACTGCAGGGGGGCTGGAGCTGCCCCAGGAGGTGTGACCCAGGAGATCCTCCCTGGGAAGCCTGGTGCTCCCTGCCGTATCTTCACTGTAGAAAGTGTGGTGTTTGGGCTGGAGGGGTGGGGGGTGGGGGTGGGGCTGCCGCCCAGCCATGTCCAGCCGCACTCAGGAGCGACCCCTGGTGGCACTCAGGAAACTAGATTAGGTGCTGGGGACTGAGGCAGCGCCAGCCTGGAGCCCCACACTCAATTTAATCCCTGTTCGGGCTCTCCCTGCCCTCCCCTTACCGTACTCCTTTACTTCGAAATCTGCCTTGAACTTCTGTTTGGCTGCACTTTGGTAACTGGCTTCGATGCTCCAGGTCCCAAAACTGAGGTGCACGCACAGATTGGGAGAGATGGGGAGAGGTGGCCCTCTGTCCCCTCCATCCTTCCACCCCCTCCCCTCCTTTCCGTTTCTCCTTCCCTCCAACCTCCCAGCCCTCCTCCCTCCAGCCCTCCTCCCCGCGACTTCCCCCAGGGCACCTGAGGAGCTCTGGGAGATGGAAGGAACTGACAAAGAACCCTTTCTGGGCCTGCAGATTCTGACTGAACACAGTGACTCCCTCCGGGTTCTGTCACGAGAGGAAGCAAGAGGTTCAGGCGCTAGCTCAGACCTCCATATCCCGGATTCCCAGGGCAGGCTAGCGACAGTTCACCTTGATGTCCAGAGTGATGGGCCGGCTCACTGGATCCATCTGGTGGTTGACAGTGAAGATCCGGTAGAGCACTGCAGGGTGGACAAAGGAAGCGATGGGGCAAAGGGTCAGTGAGGAGGGTTCTAGGGTGGGGGGCGTCGGAGGTGCAACCGGAAGGACATTGCAGGAGCCTGGTGGGGCGGGGGGAGGAACCTGCTGCCTGCCCCAGGCCAGGTGCCCGTTGAGCGCGTACCGAAGTGCTCTGGATTGTAGATGGTCTTGTCCGTCTGAATGAAGATGTAGCCGGCGTGGGGTGCCACGAGCACCGGCTTCTCCAGGACAGACGACGCCCAAGTGACCCGGATGATGACATATTGCTGACCGGGTTGCGGTGGGTAGACCAGGCTCTCAGGAATCTGGGGAGAGACGCCCTCCATCCCTCAGACTTCTGTGGGGACAAGCAGAGGCCTGTGCGACCCTCTGGTTCTGCTTTGGTGGGGTCTGGAAGCAGGTGGCGCCGGGCACGTGGCCCGCCGGCTTAGAAAGGGGGCGGGGCTGCCACGTAGCTCGGCGACCAGCAGAGGGCGCCTTTTGTAATTCGGCACCGGCTGTGCTCTCTTTCGGTTTTTGAACCACACCTGGCGGTACTCGGAGTTTACGCCTGGCTCTGCTCAGGGATGACTCCGGGTGGGCTCAGGGGACCACCTGGGATGTTGAGGATGGAACCCAGGATTGGCTGCATGCAAGGCACACGCCCTCTCCACAGTCCTATCTCTGGGCCGGTCCCGGGGCTCCGGATTTCGGTTTCTGTTGGTTGCCTGGATTTGGGGGATCCTCAAGCAGTGCTCAGAGAGGCGGGGGCGACTCCTGAAGATCATGGCCAGCTGGGGGAGGCAGGCTCAATTTCAGGCCCCGGCAGCGCTGTGGAGGCCACCAGGGGAGCGCTCCGGAGTTGACGGTACTGTTCGGGTGCGGTGCTGGGGGTCGAACTCGCCGCCTCTCTCACGTCACGCTAAGTATGCAACCCGACCTCGATCTATTACTTTGGTACATTTCAATAACTTTATTGGCATAGATCACATACAATGAAACAGAAAAAGGCCGCCATTCGAAACGCAAAGAACCCTACGTTGTCTTCAGGAGACTATGGACATTAGGGACAGGGGCGATATCACAGCGGGTAGGGCGTTAGCCTTGCACGCGGCTAACCTGGGTTTGATCCTCGCTGACCCATATGGTCCCCTGAGCACCGCCAGGAGTGGTTCCTGAGTGCAGATTTGGGAGTGACCCAAAAGGAAAAAGAAAAAAAAAAAAGAAAGAAAGAGAGACTATGGACATTAAGGCAAAGCTGGGGAGGTCACAGGTAGAGAAATGAAGACCGAGATACCATCGCAGGTCGCTTTACCTGGTGGGGAGCGAGGGAGGTGGCCTCCAGCTGAGTGTTTCCGCCTTTCTGCTTCACCCACGAGCACCTGAGCACTTACCCATGCTGACGCTCATGCTTCACCAGGCCCACGAGACAGCCACCAAGATACCTGAAGTTCACTTGTTCGTTCTTTTTTATCTTTTTGGGGTCACACCCAGCAATGCTCGGGGGTTACTCCGGGCTCTGCACTCAGAAATTATTACTCCTCGCAGTGCTCAAAGCACCCTATGGGATGCTGGAGATCGAACCCAGGTCATCCGCATGCAAGGCAAATGCCCTCCACACTGTATCCTGCTCCTGCCCCTTAAGTTCACTTGTTCTACATAGTGTGGGAGTGGGTCCCCACCATCCAACTTCTGGGGATCTGGGGTCAGGCTGGAACAAGGAATTGATCGTTCTTGGCAGGAAGGGAAGGTCCGTCCTAACCTCCACGCACGCTTTCCCAGTTCATCGCCTTCCCTCGAAGAAAAGAATTTCAGGAGGCAGCAAATAGTGAAGCAACATAGTTGGAAGAAATTTACTTAGAAAGATGTGAGGGGGTGCTGGAGTGATAGCACAGCGGGTAGGGCGTTTGCCTTGCACACGGCCGACCCGGGTTCGATTCCCAGCATCCCATATGGTCCCCCAAGCCGCCAGGAGTAATTCCTGAGTGTAGAGCCAGGAGAAACCCTTGTGCATTGCTGGGTGTGACCCAAAAAGCAAAGGAAAGATGTGAGGGGAGAGGAAGGGAGGATTGCGTGTTCAAGAAGGCTTCTAAGGAGGGGAACACGCCTTGGAGAGAAAGAGGGAGAGATGTGTGTTCATGAGAAAATGGAGAGAGAACAGGCTCAGAAGAGCAAGCAAAGCCTCTGACCTATTTTTTTGGCCTGTCTTCTCCTTTTATTGCTATGATTATTATTCTCATTACTATTTTGGTTCGAGGGTTATTCCCGAATACTAGGGATTCCCTGCCTTGGTGCTTAGGGGCTGCCCTTGGCAGGACTCAGGGGACCTTGTGGTACCCACGGGCTGAACCTGGGGCTCTGACGTGCAAATGTGCTGTAGCCCTTTGAGCATCTACTCAGACCCGTACTTTTATAGTATTATTTGGTTTGGAGCCACACGCAGTGGTGCTCAGAGCTTCCCCCTGGTTCTGTGCTTGGGGGTCACTCCTGGCGAGGCTCAGGGGACCACCTGGGGTGCTAAGGATGGTGCAAGGCAAATGCCCCACCCTCTCACCTACCTCTCGGCCCTCAAGACAGAACTTGCACTGGGAAGGACCCCAGACCCCTGGCCGGACAATGGAGACTGCACAGTCGACCTTTCTAAACCTCCTCACTCTCCATCACCACCCTAAATACACCCTCTTCACATTTCTCTGGCCTTTCAGTACATGCTGCTTATGGCCACCAAATCGCGCAGGCACCTCGGTCTTCAAGAAAATGCGCTCATGAATATGCATGAGCTTCGTGAATATGCATGATTTTATGAATAAGCAACCGTTTCCTGAAGGGGGGGGCGAGACGACTAGAATAACCTAGAAACTTTTCCATCAGCCTCTCTCTGAGAGCCAGAAAACTGACAGCCCCCACCCCCTTCCCTAAGCCTCGCAGAAGCTGGTGGACGGTGATCCTTCCCAATCGAAGTGGCCTGCGTGGCCCCCACGGCACCCGACGCCCACTTAGCCGTCGGCTTCCGACCCTCCACCCGACGGGGCTCACCGTCACGGCCGCCTGGAGCATGAAGTGGTTCTGGGGGGTGAGGGACAGCTCCGCCTCCGCCACCTGGCGCGTCCTCAGGGGAAAGTCCCACACGCTGAGCTTCACCTCCAGGTTCCGGGGCGGGGGCTGCCCCCAGTCCGGGTGGGCCTGCACGTGGACCTTCTCGGGGGTGCCCACCCGCAGCACCCGCGGGGTCACCAGTATCAACCTGCCCGGAGACAAACACGGGGGCAAAGGGTGGGTGGGGGTGGGGACTCATGAGAGGGGGAGGCAGGGTCGCGACCCCCGAAAGCATGCAGCAGCAGAGGCTCAGCCTGGGCCGGAGGAGCCCCCCAGACACCCTCCTGGATGCCCAGACTCACAGCGGTTCCGCCTGGGCCGAGGGGTACCCGCAGAGGAGCAGAATCAGCCCCAGGGGCCAGGGCAGGGCCATGGCGGTGGGAGGCGGTGTGGGGCGCCCGGGTCTGTCCCTCCATCTGACCCAGCCCTGGCGTGTTTGCCTTGGCCAGGCCGGGCCAAGTTAATATTTAAACAGACAAAATCTCCCAAATTCGGTGGGGGCAGGAACCTGTGCTTCCTTTTCAGGCAACCCCCCCCCAACCCTCCTCCCGAGGGCCAGAAACAGCTGTATGAAAAAGTGTTCCTCCGACCCCATCAACCTTTGGGGGCTCAGAGTAGGGGGTGTTGCCTAGCCCAGTGATCTCCCGAACCCCTCCCCCTCCCCCAGTTTAAGGTCGTTTAAGGTCTCTGGCGGGTGTGGAGCCCTGAAAGCGCCCACGATTGGCTAGTGGAGCTATAAGTCCCGCCTCTGGCCTTGGGAAATTGACATATGTGAGTTTCTGGGGTCAGGGCTCAGAGAGTTCAGCTTCCGGTTGTGTGTGTGTGTTCCTGAGTGTGTGTGTATGTGATTTTTGATTTGGACCCACACTCGGCTGTACTCTGGGGCATACTTCTGGCTCTGCACTCAGCGATCACTCCGGGGTCCCTGTGTGGAGCCAGGGACCATACCTGGGTCAGCCATGTGCCAGGCAAGAGCCTTACCCACTGTCCTGTTGCTCCGGCCCCAGCATTTATGCCTGACCTCAGTGGCCTGAGCAGACCAGGTCCCTGGCCGACACTGGGGTTGTGCCCTCTCACAGGCTGACTTCAGATGGCCGAGCACCCAGACTGGGAACTGTGCTTACTTCCTGGCGGAGACAATTATACTCAGTTACATCAGGACCATTGTTCATTGTTCCCAAATCATGGCCCTTGCTCTCTGAGTTTCTTTTCCAGAAGGCAAATTATACACATTAAGCCGGGGCACGCAACCCATGCTTGCTGGGACAAAAAGTCTTTCTCTTGTAGAATAATCGAGGGAATAGGACTAGAGGGATAAGGGGGTGGGGGTGGGTGATGTCTGCTGCTTTTTAAGTTTTTGCCATACCAGGCGGTCCTCAGGGCTGACTTCTGGCTCTGTACTCAGGAATTTACTCCTCGTGGTGCTCAGGGGACCATATGGGGTGCTGGGGATCGAAACTGGGTCAGCTGTGTGCAAGGCATGTGCCGGGCTGGCTGTACTATGGCTCCAGCCCCTCCACTGCCTTTTAGAAGCACATGGGGTTCTAGTTTGTTTGGTTCTTTGTTTTTCAGTCGACCCAGCCAACTTGATATGTCTTGCCTAGGATAAGGTCCCAGATTCTCTCAAACAATAATCCTCAGTCTGGGCATTTTCAGAGGAGGAAATGTATCTACCAGAAGGACTGAAAATGCCCTTTATCCTGCCTCATAGTTTCCTGTGACTTAAGCTGCCTTTGCTGAGAGCTGGGGAGCAGAGATGGGCCAGGGTGATAGTAGAAACCCACTCAAGCAATTTTGTTGTTGTTGGCTTTTTGGGTCATGCCCGGCGATGCTCAGGGGCTACTCCTGGCTCTGCACTCAGGAGTTACTCCTGGCTGTGTTGGGGGTACCATGTGGGAAGCCGTGGACTGAACCCGGGTCGGCAGCATGCAAGGCAAACACCCTACCCCGTGTACTATCGCTCCAGCCACTCACCCAGGCATTCTGATTTGGAGGCCACATCCTGCAGTGCTCAAAGGCTGCTGTGTGATGGATGACACCCCTGTTTACCTGGTCTTGTAGGAGCCAGGATGGCTCTCTGGATGGAAAACCCTTTACTGCAGAAACGGATATTGACCCATTTTTCAGCTATCAAGTGCAGACACTCCGGGACTGGGACGAGGAGTCCCCCTTCAAAATCGTGCGGTGAGGAAACTGAGGCACGGGGAGGCGGAGTGACTTAGCACCCTGGTTGGAGCCTGAAGCCGGCTTGGACAGGTGGCGGTCGGGTGCAACGCTCAGTCTTGGCCAGCAGAGGGCGCGCGGGGCCTCCCGAGCCCTGCTCGGGCCCCGCCCGCAGGAATGCGAATGGCGACCCGAGCGGGGCTGGGCGGCACGCCCGGAGCAGCTGCGGCCGCTGCAGCGCCTCGGAGTGCCTCGGCTTCCTCTCCCTGGGACCCCGGGGAGGTCTTGCAGGGATGTGTAGCCTCTGTTTTTCTCCCGTCGTGCAGGGCTTCCTGGGAAAGGCCCGGTAGGGGCCAGGAGGCACGGCGATCTGCACATTGCCTTGGGGCTGTTGTCAGTTGTGAAACGCAGGCGGCCGTTTCTCGGAGGCTCTGAGGCTCCAGAAGAGCCCAGGACGTCTTAGCCTGGATGGCACAGTTGCCACGGCAGGGCGTGGACAAGCTGGTCACTGCGGACCCGAAGCAGGCGCCACCACTCGCTTCTTGGTCTTTGGAGGAGAATCTCTGCGCACCTCCTATTTCCCCCCTCGGGTTTCAGGAACAGGCTTTGTGTGAGCTTGTGTTTGGGTCGCACCCAGCGGTGCTCCGGGCCTATTCCTGGCTCTGTGCTCGGGGAGCAACTATGCTGCCCACTGTGCTATCGCCCTGGCCCGGAAGTGGGCGTTCTTGCTGAACTGCTGGTAAAGAGCATCTTGTCCCTAAGCCTATGGAAGACTCACTCAGTGTACCTTTGGGGTTGATTATCGTGTTTTCCGGACTCTGCGCGTCCAGAAGTGCTTTGAAATTGCAATTACAAGCAAGCACGCAACCCCCTCCACCACGCCCCCCCCCCCCCCACCAGCTCACAGTATAGTCGAGACTTCACAGCTCTTCTAGGGAGGCTACGACAGTGGCGGCTGGAGCTCCTGCTTCGCATGTGAGAGGCCCTGGGTTTTATCCCTTGCAAAGGGAGATGCGCCCTAAGAGACTTACCCCTGCCCCCTTACTATATCTCGTTGGCCCATTCCTACTGTGTGTGCGTATGTGTGTAGGGATGGGTTGGGTTACTCCTGGCTCTGCGCCCAGGGATTCAGGAATCACTACTGGTGGTGCCCGGGACCATATGCGATGCTGAGGATCGAACCCAGGTCTGCTGCATTCGAGATACGACTGCACCGACCCATTCCTGCATTTTGTGAACTGGAACTTACTCCCCGCTGAATAATCTCCCAGCCGTGGGCACCCATCCTCCGCCTTCCTTTTACCCCTCCCGGTCCTCCCCTGACCCTGCCTCCGGCCGCCTAAGAGCTGCATCTCGAGCTCAGGGGCGCACTGCCTGGTTCTAGGCGCGGGATCTCGCGATAGTTGCTCTTCCGGCCCTGCCTGGGTCTCGCGCTGGATCTCGCGATAAGAGCTCTTCTCGTCCTGTGTGGTTCACTGGGGGGGAGATACCCGCAGAGCGTCGTCCTCACGGCTGCCGGAGCTTGTTTCCTCCGGGTCAGGCTGGGACCTTGGCCTTTGTCCGCCACCCCACGCTGGATGCTGAGACTGTGTCCGCCGCTGCCTGACGCGCTCGGACCTCAGCCGCGCGAGTGGACAGTGGCCACCCGCTTCACCCCACTCGAGGCTCTAGGGGGTCCGCTGCCCCCGTTTCCCACCCCCATGCACCCCGCGCAGAACCCCCGTCTCGCCACGTCCTCCCCGACACCTGGTTTTCTGTTCTTGTTTGGAAAACTTTCTTTGAGGGGACAGGGCACACCGGAAGGTGCTGGGCGCTGCTCGGGGCCCAGTGCTCAGGGGTCACACCTGGGGTGCTCAGCAGGGCAAGACCTTCCTTCCCTCCCGCACCTCCTCTCCCTGCCCTGGTGTGAGTTTGGGCGGTAGCTGGATGGCGTTACTTTTTAAAATCTATTTATTTTTAATACTTTTGCTTTTGGGGGGGCCACACCCAGCGATGGTCAGGGGGGACTCCTGGCTCTGCACTCAGGACTCACTCCTGGCGGTGCTCGGGGGACCCCATGGGATGTCAGGGATTGAACCCGGTCGGTTGCATGCAAGGCAAATGCCCTACCCGCTGTACTATCGCTCCGGCCCCTTGTTTATTTAATTTTTTTAATGGAAACCTGAGAATTTGAGCTTTCCCCAGTAGCCGACCCCAAGGATAAGCTTCATCGCCAAGACGGGGTCCCCAGTGTGGGGGGAGGGGACACTCCCACGCCCGGATGAACGGAACCCAGAGTCTCACTGCGTTCAGGAAGGCTGTGTGTTTGGGGGATCAGGCCGCTCCGGTTCCGCCCGGCTGGGCTGGACCCTGAGACTGGGGAGGCAGCTGCGGGCCAGACATCGGATGCTGAACCTGAGCAGGCGGGGCCAGCGGAAGAGCAGGTGGTGACTGATGCGAACGTACAGGCCACCGCCGGGGTCCATGGCTTTGAGCGCGATCAGCGGCCGGTACCTGGCATTGGTCTGTCTGCGCAGGGGAGGTCTGGCAGAGCCGATGACCTTAACAATGACCTATGGGTTCGAAACACCTCCCTGCTTTTTTTTCTTTTTTTTTTTTTTAGGGCACATCTGGCCTACCCGAGTTCGATTCCTCCGCCCCTCTCGGAGAGCCCGGCAAGCCACTGACCGTATCTTGCCCACATGGCAGAGCCTGGCCAGCTCCCCGTGGCATATTGGATATGCCAAACACAGTACCAAGTCTCACGATGGAGACGTTACTGGGCCCACTTGAGCAAGTCGAAGAACAACGGGAGAACAGTGCTACAGTGCTATAGGGCACATCTGACGATGCTCAGAACCACTCCTGGACGGGCATACGGGGTGTCCAGATGGAAGGCTGCAAGCCAGGCAAGTAAGTGCCTTCCCTGCTATATTCTCTCCCAGTAGCCCTGAGCTCTGCAACCTGGGCACCCCGCACCCAGGGACCCTGGAGAATCTGCAGGGATGTTCTCCAGGCTATATCATATATTGGGGCTCAGCACCCCCCCTCACCTGGGCCACATCCTGCGGTTTTTGCCCCACTGAGCTGAAAAGCTCCCTGGAGACTGGGAGGTAGCAATCCTGGAAGAAGCGCAGCGTGTCCGGGTCTGTGTCCAGGCTCTCCGTGGACGCTGCCTGCTCCAGGATCTTCCCCTCAAAGCTGGTGCTGACCGGGCCGGGCTCCACCAGGGAGACACTGGGAAGACAGATGGACATCGGGTGTTT